TTACCCTTTTGGGATTTCTAGTATTATATGCTAAATAAGAAGCTTAAAGGTGATTGCTTTTTAGGGAGTTTGATCTAAGGTTTGTTTGCTTCATAGTGACTTTACTCTGGTGTCGAAGCTACTTAGCATAAATTATACGGGTAGAACGTTGTGAGCCAAATGTGAAACTGTTGACTATAGTCTACGGTCTCTTTCAAGTATGTAATGGCGGAAATACTGTTGGCTAATATATCCTAAAATATCTGCATAATTAGACATTTTTCTGTCGTTACTTTGCTTGCATTGTGTTCTAAGTTGCTCTTGTTGAATTATTTCTGTAGGACATACTGCGTCTGCTCACACTGTGGTTCAACCATGGAGCTACTGCTGACGTCCAGACAGCATTGCGGACAGGATTCAAACATGTCAACATTAACACATGGCTTGTTGTGCTGCCTCAGATAATTGCTAGGATACATTCAAATAATCGTGCTGTCAGGGAACTGATACAGTCTCTTCTCATCCGCATAGGAGAAAACCATCCACAGGTTTGCAGTTTTTTATTAATCTAAATCTTCATTGGTATTACGAGTTTATGATGGGACTTGAGAAATATAAGTAATTCTTTTCTCTGCCATTTTGCAAATTTACTTGCTTTGATTTGGATTTGGATTTGGTATTACAGACATCTGATCTCTTTACCATTAATTAATTGTCATACTAACTTCGTAATGCGTAATTTCTCCTTCACTATTTTTTTCAAATGTTTTCAGGCACTTATGTATCCCCTTCTCGTTGCTTGTAAATCAATAAGCAACCTGCGGAGAGCTGCAGCTCAAGAGGTGGTTGATAAAGTTCGCCAACACAGTGGTGCACTTGTGGATCAGGTTAATAGTAGTCCTCTTTTGTTTAGCTTTGTCGATTTATTGAAAATATTTACACTATAAGTGAGCTAACGGGTGACCCCTTTCCTTTACCCCTCCTCACAACAACAACAAAAAACAGGCGCAACTTGTATCACATGAACTTATCAGGGTTGCTATACTTTGGCATGAAATGTGGCATGAAGCATTAGAAGAAGCTAGTCGCTTGTATTTTGGTGAACATAACATTGAAGGAATGTTGAAAGTGCTTGAACCATTACATGAGATGCTCGAAGAAGGTGCAAGAAAGGACAATGTAACCATACAAGAAAGAGCATTCATAGAGGTAGGGTAGTTTTCAATCTCTGATACGTCACTCGAGTATAAATTAGTGTTTTTCTTACACTTACGGGTCTTTGGGTGTGTCTTCACGTTATCTTTGATTTCATCTCTTCTCTAGCATTTAGTTTTTTTTCGCTATGTTGAATCAGATAACTACTGTGTCGAATGTTTGTTGTCCCATATAATTCAGTAAAGGCTAATTGTGAACTTAACGATGTTTTTTTTTTCATATTGTTGGTGCAGGCATACCGTCATGAACTACTAGAGGCATATGAATGCTGTATCAATTACAAGAGAACTGGGAAAGATGCTGAACTTACACAGGTGACCGAAAATTGAAAACAAAATTTCAGTTGAGTCCTTGCTCGTCAATTTAGGAAAGGGAATTGACATTTTGTTATTTTAATTGTTTATCATCATTAGGCTTGGGATCTTTATTATCACGTTTTCAAACGGATTGACAAACAGCTGGCCAGTCTCACGACATTGGATTTGGAAGTAAGTAACTCTTTTTTTCTCTGGTTCTATCTTTCCTTTTGTCCTTAAGTTTTAACCTGACTGGCACGTTACATGTTGGATAGTCTGTTTCTCCTGAATTGCTGCTTTGCCGTGACTTGGAGCTAGCTGTTCCTGGAACATACCGTGCAGGTAACATATTGAACTGCTAAAGCTCGTCTGAGCTGATCTATGTTCTTAACCACGCTTCCATGCTTAGCTTAACATCCATACTTCGGTTTTTTATATATTAGATGCCCCCGTTGTGACGATAACATCGTTTTCACGCCAACTTGTTGTCATAACCTCTAAACAACGACCAAGGAAATTGACTATTCACGGAAATGATGGCGAGGACTATGCCTTTTTGTTGAAGGGACATGAAGATCTAAGGCAAGATGAGCGCGTTATGCAGGTGATTCTTAAAATAAAAGCTCAGTTTTGCGGTATTCTGATCTATTTGGAGAGTAGTTTGCAATTATCACTTCGTATATATGTACATATTTTTACTACAAGATCAGACTTATCTGTTTCCTCTGTATTGTTTTCAGCTTTTTGGTTTGGTGAACACTTTGCTTGAGAATTCCAGAAAAACAGCAGAAAAAGATTTGTCTATCCAACGGTATTCTGTAATACCACTCTCTCCCAATAGTGGACTCATTGGATGGGTTCCGAACTGTGATACCCTTCACCATCTTATTCGAGAGTACAGAGATGCTCGAAAGGTTTGCCTTTCATTCATGTTTTCGATCTTGAAGTTTTCTGTAGTTCGTGTTGATTCCAACAGATGTCTTTCTGATTTTTCAGATCATTCTTAATCAAGAACATAAACATATGTTGAGTTTTGCTCCAGACTATGACAATCTACCGCTTGTATCAAAGGTTGAAGTGTTTGAGTATGCTCTAGAAAACACAGAGGGAAATGATCTGTCCAGGGTACTAAATTTCCAACTTCTCTATAAGTTTTCTCTTATGTAAAGTAACTAATCTGGAATGCTAAGTTGCTTCAACTCTCCTTCTTGGTAGGTTCTCTGGTTAAAAAGTCGCTCGTCAGAGGTATGGCTGGAGAGAAGAACCAACTACACTAGAAGTTTAGCAGTTATGAGTATGGTATGTGGTTGCTTTCATCCTTTCTTCTCCACTTATTTAGCATCAAAAAATTTCCGACTAAAGTGAACGCTTCACATTACTTTTGTGTCAGGTTGGTTATATTCTTGGGTTAGGTGATCGACACCCAAGTAACCTTATGCTCCATAGAAACAGGTACATAAAACTAACAAAAAGGTTTACAATACATAAAACAAATTCCATCTTTTGGCTCTATTTCTTCATCAATGGTTTCAATTTTGCAGTGGTAAAATCTTGCATATTGATTTTGGAGATTGTTTTGAGGCCTCTATGAATAGAGAGAAGTTTCCTGAAAAGGTATTAACTACACAATGTTTTCCTCGTATACTTGTTTTTGTGTGGTATAAAAAAAACCGACATGAGGAGAGAGCTTTAATGGTCTAAATAATGTTAGGTTCCGTTCCGTCTGACAAGAATGCTTGTCAAGGCGATGGAAGTAAGTGGCATCGAAGGAAATTTCAGATCGACGTGCGAAAACGTTATGCAAGTTCTCAGAACCAACAAAGACAGTGTAATGGCGATGATGGAGGCGTTTGTGCACGATCCTTTAATCAATTGGCGTCTTTTCAATTTCAATGAAGTCCCTCAATTAGCTCTGCTCGGTAACAACAATCCCAACGGTCCTGCTGTTGTTGAACCTGAGGAAGAAGATGAAGATCCCGCTGACGTGGACCTTCCTCAGCCTCAAAGGAGTACTCGAGAGAAGGAAATTCTTCAGGTTTCTTTGTTACTATACAACTCAATTCTTGATAAAAAAGTGACTTTTTGGTTGTTGTTGTTTGTTGATTTTGATTGTTGGATTATTACAGGCTGTGAATATGCTTGGAGATGCTAATGAAGTGTTGAACGAGCGTGCAGTGGTTGTAATGGATCGTATGAGTCATAAGCTCACAGGACGAGATTTCTCTTCGTCTGCAATTCCGAGCAATCCCATTGCTGATCACAATAACTTGCTCGGAGGAGATTCTCATGAAGTGGAGCATGGTTTGTCTGTGAAGCTTCAGGTTCAAAAGCTAATCAATCAAGCCACTTCCCATGAAAATCTCTGTCAAAACTATGTTGGGTATGTTCTTCTTCTTCACTCCTCTGCTTTTCTTTTTCATTTTCTTTTCTCATCAGCATAAACTCTGGAATTATGTTTAATAATTTTCGTTTTTTTTTCTTTTTCCCGCAGGTGGTGTCCTTTCTGGTGATGTGGGTCATCTGTACATTTCTTAGTGTAAATAGGCTCTGTAATTTTTAACTAAAGTTGCATTTGTTTGGATTTAGTTCGATAATAAACTATGTTCTTTTCAGTGTAAATAATTTATTAGGTCCATAGCCATGTATTATAAGATGAAGATGTACCAAGTTTGAATAAATGGGCATATCACATTCTTTACACTTCATCTGAAATAATACATTTCTCACCTCCAAAAATACTAATTTTATGAACGTCCTTCATGTAATAGAAGGTATTTTTATAACTCTGTTTTTGGAGTTAAAGTGTATTTCATAAAATCAAATTAATATTTCCAAATCAAGAACTTAGTTCACATTCCGTTCACCTAATATACTCTTGTCAAATGCACATTTTGTTACAAAAAACCCTTTACTTCTAAAAGAGAAATACAAATATAAATTTCAAATTTGGGTTGGTTGTTGTTGCTGCCTTGTTGCTTTGTTGTATTGTTGTTGGTATCTTTATGGTAATAAATTCTTATTAAACCTACCCAAACGAGACAGATTGAATCAATGAAACAACAACTTGTGATCGTACATTGGTATCAACTAAATTGAATTGATTTTTTTGTATTGTACCAAATAATTCGGGAAAGAAGACGAAAAATGAGACGTGGAGTCTCGCGTTACGTTACCAAATCTCCTTGCGGGCAATTTAGCAGCCACACACACCTTGAGAGCTATAGCGCATTTTAGTTCAATACGCCTTCTTCATGCTAAAATACGCCACCGAGTGTTAAAGGTGATAACTTTCACCCTTCTCTCGCCACCACTTGCTTGAATATTGACACATTTTTGCAATTTTCCCGAGAAAAAATCCAAACAAATAGAATTTTGCCGTCTGAATTTTCTGTAGCTATACGCAATCTTTCCTCGTATTTACTCAGCGGCAGTTGCTGGATCATGATTCTCTCCGGGAACTGAAGGAAACAAAGCGAATTTCGACTAGTGGAAGAAAGGAAACAGAGAAAAATGGCTTCTTCTCTGGAGATTGTTAAATTTTGTGGCTCTCCTGTATCGTTTTCCCGCGTTAAATTGGAATCTAGGAAAAGGGTTTTCAGAGTAGCCGATTCGAGGAGCTGGCATCGTCTTGGTAGATGTGTTAGGGTTTATTCATCTTCCCTTAACGGTGGTGATAATCAGTCCAAAGGTCAGCTTTGTCTTCTTAATCTCTCTAAAAGAGTTGATTTTGATTCTGATTTTTCCCTCTTTGTTTGAAATCTACTTGTTTCATTAATTGTTCTGAGTCAAATTATGTGTTTTAACATATGTTCCTTGGGTAGTTGGGTTGTTTCATGTGTATTTATTGCTTAAATTGAGTAAGAATTTTGATTTTATTGAGCTAAGTTATGTGTAGGTGACGAACCTCCAGAATCATTATTTATGAAAGAACTCAAGAGACGAGGTATGACTCCTACTTCGTTGCTTCAAGACTATGAAGTGGATGTAGACGAGATCAAATCCAGTAAAGAAAGTGCAAGTAGTAGCTCTAAAACGACTGCAACTACTCCGGCATTCGATCAAAGCTTGTTGAATCAAAGAGAGAGATCTTTGGCTTTAAACAGCGAAGGGCTTGAGGTCAGATTGTTACTTATGGTTCCACATAGTTGCTTGTTTGGCGAAAGATAGTTCATAACGACAACTTATGTAATTACAAAGGTTTACTGTTTTGTTGTGTGTTCAGGGATTGATTCCACGTGCTAAGGTCTTGCTGACAATCGGAGGGACTTTCTTCTTGGGATTTTGGCCGTTGATAGTCTTAACTCTTGGCGCCTTCTCCGCCCTTTACCTCGTAAGTCGCACCTTTGCTTTATATTATTCACATTTTTTGCTTATGAGTAGCCTTCGACATTAGGAAGTGTTCCCGAACTTGTATGTAATGCAAATGGAATGAATTTTTAAGGTTTTGTTTCCCACTAACAAACTGATTATGTTGTATTATTTTGTCTTGGAAAATGCAAGTACTTTGGAGCAGATTTCATTCATGATGGAAGCAGAACTCCGGTTTCACCACCACCGTACATCGACCCATATGCTCTGTTGGAGGATGAGAGGATATCAGGGATCGATCCTCGTGTAAATTAGTCTCAATATCGCTTTCTTTCTGCTCTACATAAGTAGTGGTCAATATATTGCTCTTAAGTATATATAATTATTTACCAGTCCCGTCTTTCTTTGTATCTCTTCCTTTACGGTTGTAAAAAGAATCGTTCCTTCTCTATTTATTGCAAGTTGCATAAAAAACGCTAGTACCAAAATGTCAAAATCTTTCGACACCTTCACTTCTCAAGAAATCAAAAATTACTTTCAAAACTGTTCTTTTCTTATAGATACGATTGCTTCATCTTCAAAATGTTAACAATGGATAAAATTGTGTAATGAGACCGCTTAGCTTCTCCGTCTAATCCAAAGACCGAAAGAAAAATAACGTAAAGATGAAAAAGAGAGAAGTTGATTCAAGACAAAATTCAGTTCCAATTTGAATGAAGGGGGCACATCCAATTTGAATTTAGATATTGAGACAGTTATTAGAAACGCAGATCAATAACCAAAATAGAGTATATAACACCAAAACAGAGAATTCAAACAGCAAGAGCCAGACAAGAAGTTGTAAGAAACAAACCAAGACTCGTTACAAGAGTGTTTCGAGCCATTTTTTCAAGTCACACAAAAGATGATAGAAACAAACACAAAATCCATAACAGTCTTCTCAGTACTCCTCACCTTCGTCATCCTCATCGTCACCACCTTCAGCGCCAACCTCTTCGTAGTCCTTCTCCAAAGCGGCAAGATCCTCACGAGCTTCCGAGAATTCTCCTTCTTCCATACCCTCACCCACGTACCAGTGGACGAAAGCACGTTTGGCGTACATAAGGTCGAACTTGTGGTCAATCCTCGAGAAGACCTCAGCGACACTTGTGGAGTTAGAGATCATACACACAGCTCTCTGCACTTTAGCGAGATCACCTCCTGGAACAACAGTTGGTGGCTGGTAGTTGATACCGCACTTGAATCCAGTGGGACACCAGTCAACAAACTGGATGGTACGCTTGGTCTTGATGGTGCCAACAGCTGCGTTCACGTCCTTAGGGACGACATCACCACGGTACATCAAACAGCAAGCCATGTATTTCCCGTGACGTGGGTCACACTTGGCCATCATGGAAGCTGGCTCGAAAGCGCTGTTGGTAATCTCAGCAACAGAGAGTTGCTCGTGGAACGCTTTCTCAGCAGAGATGACTGGAGCGTAGGAGGAAAGCATGAAGTGGATTCTTGGGTATGGGACCAAGTTGGTCTGGAATTCAGTGACATCCACGTTCAAGGCACCATCGAACCTCAGAGAAGCAGTCAGGGATGAGATCACCTGAAACGAAGTCGAGATAGTGTATCATTAGAAACGAAAAAGCAACAAGATTAGAGTTAAGAATAGCTTGTTTCTATCTCCATACCTGAGAGACAAGACGGTTAAGGTTGGTGTAGGTTGGCCTCTCAATGCTTAGGGAACGCCTGCAGATATCGTAGATGGCTTCATTGTCGAGGAGGATGGAGACATCAGTGTGCTCCAAGAGAGAGTGAGTGGAGAGAACACTGTTGTACGGCTCAACAACGGAGGTAGACACCTGTGGAGAAGGGTACACAGTGAAACCAAGCTTGGACTTTTTCCCATAGTCGACAGAGAGTCTCTCAAGGAGGAGAGATCCAAGACCAGATCCAGTGCCTCCACCAACAGCGTTGAAGACGAGGAATCCTTGGAGACCAGTACAGTTATCAGCGAGCTTCCTGATACGGTCCAAGCACAGATCAACAATTTCCTTCCCAACTGAGAAAATATTTCAAAAGCAACTCAGTTAATAAACAGATTAGAATCAACAATATATATATATATGGATTATAATGAAGCTAGGGATGAGTAAATTACTGGTGTAATGTCCACGGGCGAAGTTGTTAGCTGCGTCTTCTTTGCCGCTGATGAGCTGTTCAGGGTGGAAAAGCTGACGGTATGTACCAGTTCTGACCTCATCGATCACAGTTGGCTCAAGATCGACGAAGACTGCACGTGGGACGTGCTTTCCCGCACCGGTCTCACTGAAGAAGGTGTTGAAAGCATCGTCACCTCCGCCAACAGTCTTGTCGCTCGGCATCTGGCCGTCAGGCTGTGACATTCCATATCCAAAATACAACACATCAGCACGGCAACACATACGAAGGATATACAAAGTGCATAGGATCCGTAGATCTCAGGAAAACACAGAATCAATAACGAGAAGTCGGAAATGTTTCGATTGACGAGATCTAAGAAGAGGAAACATGAATCTAATCGATAGCAATTATTCAACAAATCGATATCAAACATAGATCTAATCAGGAAACATTTATAACAAAACTAATCTGGAAACATAGATCTAATCGATATCAAACATAGATCGAACATTTAAAAAAAAAAGAACGGATCTCCCTAATCGACGACATCGAAATCAAACACAGATCGAAGCAATTAGATAGAATATGATCCGAGAATTCCTAACATACAGGGAAATGCAGCGCCGTATACGTCAGATCTGAGCAAACTAACAACGAGAAATATAGCAAAAAACGCAGATCTAATCGGAAGAGAGGGAGAGAGGAGGAGAAGAACCTGAATGCCATGCTCAAGGCAGTAAAGCTCCCAGCAGGCATTTCCGACCTGGATACCAGCTTGACCAATGTGGATCGAGATGCACTCCCTCATTTTCGATTCGAAGAAGAAAGATCTAGAAAGTAGATTTGCAGGGAAGACGAAGAAGAAATCGGAGCGCGTTTATGAAGACGCTCTCCTTTATGAAATGAAAATGAATCTAGATCTGGGTTCTAGGTTTTGCCGATTGATGATTGAAGGTGTATTTATATGCCAACCCATCCATCTGTGGGGTAACGGCTCATGTACGACACGTGTAAAGATAAAACTGGGTAATTGCTAACCACGGATAATGATATCCTCGTGAGCTGCCGTATTTTCTAATTTTAAATTTTGCCGCTTCGGTTCTGTTTGGCAATCGGTTCATGACCGTTCTCTCTTTTTTGAAATGCAAAATCCCTTGAATTGCGGGAAGAATAATAACCGGATTTTAACCGGATCGGACCAATAACTACAGTGAACCGAAGCGATAAAGAGGTGTACCAAAATCTTCGAAATGGGAAAGAAAAAAAAATCGAAGCTTTGAATAATGAGAGCCCTGACGGCGGCTCGGCCGTTGTTTTCCGATTTGCCGAGTCTTGTCCGATCATGGCTTCCTCCTTCCAGCTTCAAGGCCTTCGCTTCTTCTGCTTCTTCGTCTCCTCCATCGGATTTGGACCTCCGTAATCAGTCTCGCGGTGGCCTCCCTCGATTCTTCTCCGATGATCTTCCATCGCACAAGGCATACTCTCTCTCTATCTCTCTATCTTATTATCTTATGTACTTTGTGTTCCATTTGAATCTGTGTAGATTCAGTCAAAATGAAAGTGAGAGTAATCACTGAGCACTAGGGAAATTTCTGGCAATTGAGTGTGATTCTATCAGATGAGAGATACTGATCTTCTCTCTTGGTGAATCGTTTTGATTATAGGGTGGAATTGTTCGTGTTCAGGGCTCTGAGTTTTGGCATATGGCTAAAGTTCTAAGACTGAAACCAGATGACAGGTATTACTACTACATTCATGAAAGACCTTGTAAAACTTATACTGTTCATAGTAGTAACCTCTTTATCATGAATCCTGTTGATTTTTTATACTGATGGCATCAAATGTAACTCTGAGCCCAACATTTTTTTCTTGGTTTAAGATCACTTGAGTTAAGTTTTTGTAGAAAGTAATTAATTGCACGCTTTATCTATGCAAGGGTAGAACTTTTTAATGGCAAAGGAGGTTTGGTTGAAGGTTGCATACAGAGCATAGACAAAACTGGAGTTGATTTTATCGCACAAGAAGATCAGAAGGTGATTCTTCCTCAGGGCATGCAGTGGCAGGTGTTTGCAGCTTTTGGTATGAAATGAGACTGCTCTTACTTTAACAATATCTCCGGATTGTTTTATTCACTGCTTAGCTCATGTCATGATATCTTTAAAATTGTGTGTTGACTGTCAGGCACTTTGAAGGGTGGTCGAGCGGACTGGCTGATTGAGAAATGTACTGTGAGTATTTACTTTTCGTCTGTCACTTTCTAAATCACATGTGAATGTTGTGCCACTGAATATGTGTATATTCTCATCTTAGGAGCTGGGAGCGAGTAGTGTGACACCACTTTTAACAGAAAGATCTTCTGTAATCTCTGAAAACCGGGTTGACAGATTGGAACGCGTTAGTTTTGCTGCGGCTAAGCAATGTAAGTGACAATAGTGTTAGCAAAAAACTTGATTAGTTACAATCTTGCTCAGTTTTTGTTGTTCTTGGCATTATAGTTGTATGATCACAAGCTATTTGCCTTATCTTTTAATGTCACAGGCCAAAGACTACATCAAATGGAACTGAGCCCTCCGATCAAATTCGCTACCCTCTTGGATCATGTATGTTTCGACAAACATCTCTCTAGCCACACACTAAGAAAAAAAAACATGCCTTTGAATGATACCTTTTGGGGTTTTTCTAGATTTCCAAGTCAAAGTTATGTTTGGTTGCGACGGCAGAAGCTACACCTCTTCTCAATGCAGTAAGCTCCTCAGCAAAAGAATCCAGCGGACTATTAATCGTTGGACCAGAAGGCGGTAAGAAACCCTTTCTTCAATACATGTCTGATGCACATTTTTCAGTCTTAAATCTTCTACTTCGTTGGTATGCTTTCACATTGTCGAAATCATTGGTTAGTACTCGATTAGACGCATAATGAATGGATCTTGTTTATGACTTTGAATCGATTACCAAATTCTGGTGCAATCTAACGATCAACAATGAAACTGGAGCAGACTTCACGAAGAAGGAGGTGGAGATGATGTTGGAAGCAGGCGGCACAGCAGTTGGACTCGGGCCACATCGGTTGCGAGTTGAGACCGCTACCATTGCTCTTCTGGCAACTCTAGTAATGTGGTCGGACTCTCAAGAGACGGTCTAAATGGTGCCTGGGCTTTAGGCCTTGTCTTGTGTTCTGAGATTTTGGTTAGCTACGGTCTTTCGATTTTACTGATAAAAACAAAAATGAGAAGGTTAAGTTTACACTTTACAGTATGAGATCAGTAACCAACAGTCCATCAATATAGACAACTTCGTATATGCCCTTGAATTTCTTAAAGCACAAATGCCAAGAAAGCAATAGGTCAAGCTAAGCTTTGGGAAAAAAATGAGGATTGTAAATAGATTGCAAAGCTAATGTTAACAACCTGCAAATTGCATTTAAAGTCAAACACAAAAGAGCAGACTTGATACAACTATAAAGAGCTAACGAATTTGTCCTAATTGTAAAACGAAATACATGAACATTACCAACTTCTTGTTTTGGGCGGACGAGGTACTGAATTGGAAATATTGTTGCAAAAATCCCTGTGGTAAGTAAATTGAAGACATGCCAAATTCCATTTGACAATGAAATCAATCCGACAGTTACATGCCTCATGTCTCCACTTGGATAACAAGCTCCCGTTACCGAACTCGACGTACAGTTATAGTTAGATAAACATATATATACAGGAACAAAATATTTGTCTCTTCCGATGTGAGACTTTTAGTTACTTTTTCTTTTCTTGTTCAAAACTTTGTGTGACTATATAAATAGATTGCAACGCTAATTTTAACCTGCAAGTTAAATCACAAAAGAGAAGACTTGATACTGGTAGAGATACTTATTAGAAACGCAGATTAAAAACCCAAACAGAGTAGATAACACCATAATAGAGTATTCAAACAGCCAAGACATATAGTCATAAGAAAACACAACCTAAGGACTCGTTACAAGAAAGTTTCGAGCCATTTTTTTTCACGCAACACAAACGATAAAAAAAAAAAAAAACACAACAAATCCATTTTTGTCGAAACAGTCTTCTCAGTACTCCTCACCTTCGTCATCCTCGTCATCACCACCTTCAGCACCAACCTCTTCGTAGTCCTTCTCCAAAGCGGCCAGATCCTCACGAGCTTCCGAGAATTCACCTTCTTCCATACCCTCACCGACGTACCAGTGAACGAAAGCACGTTTGGCGTACATAAGATCGAACTTGTGGTCAATCCTCGAGAAGACCTCAGCGACACTTGTGGAGTTGGAGATCATACACACAGCTCTCTGCACTTTAGCGAGATCACCTCCTGGAACAACAGTTGGTGGCTGGTAGTTGATACCGCACTTGAATCCAGTGGGACACCAGTCAACAAACTGGATGGTACGCTTGGTCTTGATGGTGCCAACAGCTGCGTTCACGTCCTTAGGGACGACATCACCACGGTACATCAAACAGCAAGCCATGTATTTCCCGTGACGTGGGTCACACTTGGCCATCATGGAAGCTGGCTCGAAAGCGCTGTTTGTGATCTCAGCAACAGAGAGTTGCTCGTGGAAGGCCTTCTCAGCAGAGATGACAGGTGCGTAGGAGGAAAGCATGAAGTGGATTCTTGGGTATGGGACCAAGTTGGTCTGGAATTCAGTGACATCCACGTTCAAGGCACCATCGAACCTCAGAGAAGCAGTCAAAGATGAGATCACCTGAAACGAAGTCAAGATAGAGTATCATTAGAACCGAATATATGAAGAAAGGTATTAGTGCTTAAGAGTTGCTTAATGGTTGGATATATACCTGAGAGACAAGACGGTTAAGGTTGGTGTAGGTTGGCCTCTCAATGCTTAGGGAACGTCTGCAGATATCGTAGATGGCTTCATTGTCGAGGAGGATTGAGACATCAGTGTGCTCCAAGAGAGAGTGAGTGGAGAGGACACTGTTGTAGGGCTCAACAACGGAGGTCGAGACCTGAGGAGATGGGTAAACAGTGAAACCAAGCTTGGACTTTTTCCCATAGTCGACAGAGAGTCTCTCAAGGAGGAGAGATCCAAGACCAGATCCAGTGCCTCCACCAACAGCGTTGAAGACGAGGAATCCTTGGAGACCGGTACAGTTATCAGCGAGCTTCCTGATACGGTCCAAGCACAGATCAACAATTTCCTTCCCAACTGAGAACAGATTTCAAAAGCAACTCAGTTAATAAACAGATTGGAATCAACAATATATATATGGCTGACGATTTTAAAGCAAGGGATGAGTAAATTACTGGTGTAATGTCCACGGGCGAAGTTGTTAGCTGCGTCTTCTTTACCGCTGATGAGCTGTTCAGGGTGGAAAAGCTGACGGTATGTACCAGTTCTGACCTCATCGATCACAGTTGGCTCAAGGTCGACGAAGACTGCACGTGGGACGTGCTTTCCGGCACCGGTCTCACTGAAGAAGGTGTTGAAAGCATCGTCACCTCCGCCAACAGTCTTGTCACTTGGCATCTGGCCATCAGGCTGTAACATTCCATATCCAAAATACAACACATCAGTACGGCAACACATACGAAGGATATACAAAATGAATAGGAACCGACGATCAAAGAACACAGAATCAATAACGGAAAAAAAAAAGTAGACCTCAACGAGAACAGCTTATCAAACACAGATCTAACAAAGTATCGTTGAATAATTTCGAAAAATCATAGGGATCTAGCATCAAGCATAGCAATTATCTAAGGCTTCGATGTCAAACACAGATCTAACAAAGTATTATTTGCAACAAAATCCAGATCGATCATTTTTGAAAATGGAAACGGACCTATAGTATCAACCGCAGGAGTTCTACATAACATCGAAATCAAACACATATATAATCAATTAGGTCGAATAAGATCTAAGAATTCCTAAGAGTCAGGGAAATGCAGAGCAAAATACGTCAGATCTGATCCACCAAACTACCGAAAAACAACACAGATCTATTTGGAAGAGAGGGAGAGAGGACGAGACGAACCTGAATGCCATGTTCAAGGCAGTAAAGCTCCCAGCAGGCATTGCCGACCTGGATACCAGCTTGACCAATGTGGATCGAGATGCACTCCCTCATTTTCGATTCGAAGAAGAAAGATCTAGAAAGTAGATTTGCAGGGAAGACGAAGACGAAATCGGAGTGCGTTTATGAAGACGCTCTCCAGAAATGAGATCTAGATCTGAGTTTTTTCGGTTTCTAGGTTTTGCAAACTCGGGCTAAATGTGTTTTTATAAGCGAAACCATCCCATCTGTAACCAACGGCTCATGAAGGACACGGGTAATGATATGAATGGGCTACTGCTAACCACGGTTAAATGAGATAGATACTCGTGAGCTGCATATTTTCTAATTTTAAAATTTTGCCGCTTAAGGTTCTGTTTGGCAATCGCTTTCATGACCGCTCTTCTCTCTCTTTTCGAAATGCGTAAAATAAAAAGATTAGCTTAACCGGAATCTAACCGTATCTGATCCCAAATCTCTACAGTAAACCGAACTGTACCAGATTCTGAGAAAAAATAAAAAAACGAAGCTTTGAAATCGAGGGCGTTACGCCTCTTCGAATTTTCAGGGATCTTATTTGCTCATTGCTTCCACAGTTTACCTATTTTTATGATTCCAAATATTCCAATGGAATCGGAGGAGCATTCATTGCGCCACGTCTCCAAGATTTTCATCTCAAGCTTAATTAATTTTTTATTTTCCTGATTCTTGATCTCCGAGCCCGATCTGTGATCACAAGAAAACTCTTCCATCAGGTTTTCTCGTACGTTGTTTAACCGGTGAATGTATATTATTCTTGTTGCTTATGCTGCTTGAAATGATGATAATTAATGAGCGTTTCTTTTTGTAAATCATTATTATTACTGCTTCAAAGGCTCTGAGTTTTGGCATACGGCTAAAGTTACAAGATTTGAATCTCTTTGTAAAAATTGAGTTGTTCTTTAGTTTGTTTGTTTGCTTGCTTCTATGTTACGTTAATATGCGAGACAACAACCAATTGTGTGTGTTTGTTTGTTTGCTACTACGTTAATCATGTCCAATAATACACCATTTAAAGTCATCACAAAAGAGCAGGACCTGATACATATTTATAGAGAGCTAATGAATTGATCGTGATTATAACATTAATAATTCAAAGATGAACACCCGAGGAACATGATTTTGCAAAAAGTTACAAACCTCCCTAACAAGGATAATCAAATTTTGTCCATCCACTTTGGAAGCACAAATTGGGATAACATGGTGAGCGAGGTTATATCGCGACCACCTTCCATATACTCCTTAGAACTGTGAGTGTTTACGACACAGCAACCTTCCACGCTACCACAAATCTCTGACTCTTTTGTCCGCAAGTTAACAGATACCAAACAACCGTGTTGTCGACTCCATAGATAGACGATATCAGAATCAAACGGATTCATTGCCATGGGACAACAATCAACACACTCCAAGTTGATTTCTTCCCCTGACAATTGCCACCATTCACTACTCCCAGAGTTGTTATCCAGCTTCCAAAGCTTCAATGTCTGACCTAGTACTTGAACGAGGAAAACATGTCCTCCTGAAGTAGTCAAGCATCTCCGAACGAATTTGTTATTCAGGACAGGAACAGGGAGAGATATAATATCCGGACATTGATAATCAGCTTCAGGGCCATAGAAGTCATGAGAAACAAGGACTCCAGGTTGAGTAGGATCCAAATCTCTTACCCACACATAAATCATCCCGTTGAGATTCATGCAAGGGAGAGAAACAGCAAACTTAAGACTAACATGATGATGATGAGAGGAGACAAGTCGCTTGAAAGTCCATTTCCCTGTAACAGACGAATACACACACACTCTCCACACATTCACTTCTCTGTCTCTGCTTTGACAAGTCCTAACCACTTTGAAGCTCGAAACGACGCCGTCATCCTCCACACGCGTTACCAAACCAGTGGCCTCGCATGGCTCTGGAGGCGGAGGGATTTCAAACCATTCTTGTAAAACTGGATTACCAACAAAGGATTTACGAGTGTAAGGCATGTTATCAGTGCGGGGAACAAAGATCTCGATCAAGACCAATCCATTGGAAGCAGCTACATAGTAGCAGTCGTGAGAATCAGGGAGATTTAGATACCGTTGAAAAGGCAAGATGTAAGAAGCTAGAGATTTGGGAAGATCCCATGTCTCGCATCCATGGAAGCCAATAGCTTCTGTGATGGGATGAATTCGGAACATGAGTGACCAGGAGGCAGAGGAGTTTTGGTGAAGGGAGATGAAGAGACGGCGGAAATACGGAGATTCTATTAACGATTTCCATGTTTTGCATACTGACTTGAATCTCGCGATGCTTCTCAACGGTAATCTTGCAATGATCTCCACCAACATCGCCTCTGGGAGGACTCTTCTTCTTTCCGTCCTCATTGAGCCACTCAATTTCCCACCAACATGGTTTGCAGATGGGTTTAAATATTATTAGCAGCTTTCCACTTGTGTTCACTTCCCGAGGAAATCGTATCAATCATACAGATGCAGTACAGATGCAGTACAAGTAAAAACAAGGTAACTACAGTACAAAGTACAAACCCGTTGGAAAAGGAGTGGTTTTTTTAATTAGAACTAGTATCTATTTGTAGTTGCAAGTTGTAACACAATCAATAACTTGAATAAATGTAAATCAAGAAAGTGAAATTAAAGTTGCATTATCCTTGTCAGAAATCGTGATTCGTTTTATACATGGAATATGATAATATACAAGTACTGTACCTAAGAAATCGATTTGAGGAAAACTTTGGACCATTTAACAAGAAGATGATGAATATTAGCATCCATGCGAGTGCCAACTCCACCCCACACTAACATATCAGCCATGTCTCCAAACGACGACCCACTCACTTCTTTCACTTCTTCGAACCCAAGTCTTTTGTAGAACCTAACCAGCTGACAACACACACATGCATACACACAAGTTCGGTTTGGTTCAGTATGCTGTTTAAACCGAATAGATTAGTACGATCATTGGTCAATTGAGATTGGAACCGAATTGAAAGGTTCACCTCTTCGAATTAGTCCGGTTCGGTATAAAACCAAATCAAATTCTCAATATCAATTTCGATAGAAAATGAGAGGGAGAGATAGAGACACACCTTGGAATGGTAGAGATCGGAGTCGTAGATAGCGAGAAGCTGAGCAGTGCGGCAACCACAGTCGTAGCCATGCCGAATAGCTACGGCTCCGACGTATAAACCAACTCCAAGAACAGACTTATCCATCGCCTTCGTCTCTTTCGTCAATCTTATCGTATCCAGATGCAGAACCAAACCGCGTCCGAACCATGGTCGAACCACTCCCTCTGCTCGTCCGACCTCGACGCCTGTGTCTGCGTTCTTCCCCGTCACTCTGAAAAACGGTCCTAAAGTCTGAATCTTTAAGTCAATCTTTCGAGCTCTTGATGACGTCAGGATGTCGGACATCGACGGTAAGGATCTGGGTTCGCTCAAGGAATTGGACGGTGAGAGATTGAGTCTCGGTGGGCTCAGAGCCATCTTCATTTCCGCTGTGTTTCGTTCCTGAAAGGGTTCAGTTGTAAATGAACACTGTGGTGAACTGGTGATGGGATAATATAAGTACAAGAGTGGTGATGGGATAATATAAGTACAAGAGTGACACGTGGCCACACAGAGAGCCGAACATCTCTTCAGGAAGAAACTTTACAAAACTGTGAAGTCATATGACATTCTGGACAGTAATATGAACAAGGCTTACGAGTTTTGGTTGCTCTTTGTGAAGAATGTGTGTATTGGGATGTGTTTGCTAACGTCCTTTTCATCTGATTTCTGCTTCTTCGCCTTGGAATTTCTCTTTTCCTTTCCGAGAATCCTAACAAGTGTTCGGTTATGAAAGTTTCAGCGAGAAGCAGAGAATTGTGAGAGAAAAAATAAACCAAGTAGGCTTAATGGCCTGTTACTATGAGCTGACCTTCGTTTTGAAGAAGGTGTTGTGGAAGAACTAGAGCGAGATTCTTCGTTTTGAAGTCTCTGAGCAAGATGGAAATCAGAGTGTTCTTGTCGTTCCTCAACAAAAGATGGAGGTAACTCGATCCCACACAAGTTGCATTTGTAGCCATCAACCCAAAATAACGGCTCCATTTGCGGTAATAGTGAAACTGCTGTGTCTGGTTTGCACTCCTTGTGTTTTATGAGCAGAGCATCTCCTCTCAATGCTTGCGGCCTTTCTTCTCTTTTCTCACATTCTTGATTTGGGATTAGTTTCTCGGCCTCGATTTCGGATTGCTCTTCATTTTCGACAACATCCTTCAGTTGAGCATAGCTTGTGTCATGGGAACCAAAGGATATCAAGCTCTCGTCGTGACTCAAGCCATCTAAGTCAACTGAGTCGTGATCATCCAGGTTTTGCATTGAGGAATCCTTTTGAACAATGAACTTGGTAATAGTTTCCTGTGAAGGATCGGAGTTTCGGATTTCTTCATTGAACTGAGACATGCGCAACCCTGAACAAATGGAATTTTAGTAGAGAGGATAAAATGTTTTATCTTAATGTTTCTAAAGAAAGAAGAGCTAAGAACATTAAGGAAACGCACCTATCAGCCTTATAGAAACAGGAAGTTCTGCCTTCAACAGCTTTGTAGCATGCTTTAGTATATCCTCGCTTGAACATGTGTACCTCTGCAGGCTAACAGCTCTGCTCCTAATCTGAGAATTGCAAAAAAAAATGTCTAAATTTCAGCAAAGATTTGGATTTCCGAAAAGAGAAAGAATTAATAAAATTTGGAAGAGCACCTCAAAGGTGGCAGTTTTCAGTTTTAGTGTCAGTGTTCTTGCCGTTAGACCCTCTTTTATCATGTCATGAGATAGCATTTCTGCAATTTCAGCTGCCAAGAACAGAGCACAGATACCAGCTTAGTGGCAATTATGTCGAAGCAAATCTTATAAGCAAACAATTTATCTTTTTAGTCTAAAAGTTTAAAATGCACCAGGAACAAACTATGATAATACTCTTGTCAAATAACAATTCTTCATTGAGTCCAAAATTCTATTGTGTTAGACTATTGAGTTACAGGTCTCATAAGGAGGGAAAAAAAGCACCAATGCGCAAAGTACTCACCTAACTTTGAATATAGCAATCTTTCCTCTCCTGTCGCAGCAAATGTCCTCTCACTGCTAATACTTTTACGAGACCTAGCCTGAGGGGTGTCTGTTTTCCCAAGCCCCAGTCCAACAGAGAGAAAAAAGTCTAAACAACAAAATTGTCGAGCAATAAACAACAAAATCCTTCACTGGAAAGCAAAATCATCTACCAAAAAAGGAAAGCAGGAGATACTGCTACCTGCTGAAGACTGAGTGAAGAGAGCATAGAGAAGAGATCCCTTCAGCACCATCTCCTCACATGTTTTAATTCCTAAAGCATCCTTCAGAATATGCTCTGTAACCTTACCGATTCCCCCAATCTGTTAACCATTTTCCAGCTTGCATTTTAGAAAACTTCGCCTATGATTTTCTCAACTCATAAAGAACAAACCCCCCAGCAACAGTGCGAGGATTTTCAAGTTATGCGTGGCATCTCTACTCTTACCAATATAATAAGTTTCTACTGAATATACAATCCCACCTACGTAAAGACAACATCATCTGCACTTCTATGCAATTAACTGAATGGGCTGGGGAATAATTGGAGTGATAGTTTCTCTTTATAGACTTTTCAGAACAAAAATGATTCCAAAAGACAACTCAACAATTCAGGATCACATACCTTTCTTATAGGAAGGGAAGAGATGAAGGTCATGACAGTTGATCGGTCATTTTGGAGGACAAACTGTCCATTAGGCTTGTTTATATCTGAGCAAACCTGAAATATGGTAGGGATAAATTCAGAAAACAAATTTCAGAATCAGGAAAAAAAAAGATTTGGACCATTACTAAAAGAGATAGATTTGGATGATATATATAAGATTATGAACATATAAGGAGAACCTTGGCCAGTAAGCGGTTTGCCGCTACTCCAGCACTGCATGTCAATCCAGTCTCGGAATGAACAGAAGCTCTAAGCTCGTCTGCAATCTGCAAAAGTGAAGAAATGATCAACGTAGTGTCAGCCGAAATTATACAAACGTCAAAAAAAGAATGCATATCATGAGCTCACACTTACTTCTCCACCTGAAAGACCTCTTTCTCGGCAAACCTCAGTTATGTCAAGGTAGGCTTCATCCAAGCTCCCAGCGATGAAGTTGGGATCATAGTTCCCAAAAACTAAACGAAACACATATATGCAAGTAAGAGCAGAGAAACAGACAAACGTGAACAAACAAGCATAAAAGCTACTCATGTCGAAAGAGGAACAAACAACTAACCCTTTCTTGTTAAGTCACTATAGTGAGTATACTTGGTGAAATCTACAGGAACAAATATCAAATCCGGACATAGTTTACGAGCAATGAAGCCAGGCATTGCTGCACGGACCCCAAATTTCCTTGCCTAAGAGAGATAGTAGAAATTTCAACAAGGTGTTACCATAATGGGTACCAGTTACAACATTTGACACCCACATCATACCTCATAATTAGCTGTGGAGATCATGGACAAGCCTCCAACAGCCATTGGCTTGCCCTTGAGGGAAGGATTACTCAAAGTTTCAACAGCAGCATAAAAAGCATCCATATCCACATGCAGCCAGATTTTGGATAGGTCGCGTGTAGCTTCAAGCTCTAAGATCCTTCTATCAACCACCTTCAAAAATGTAAAAGATTATATAGTTTACGGCTAAGGAAAAAAAAAAAAATGAAAGATATCACAACCAACATTGACATACCTTTTGATAATTAGTTAAATCAGAGGAAGAGAGCTTCGCGCACCTATCACGCATATGCTCAATCTTTTGTTTCATAAGAGCTTCCTTACGTTCCTCATTTTGAAAATATTTAGATCCTTTGCTCATTTCATAGACAATCCTCTGGACTTTCTCCTTATCAACTCCCTCCATTCCTAACGAATCAACACATTCACGAGTTTCAGAAATTTACTTGGAACATCATCCACTAAGTAAAGTTGCAAATTTTGAAGAATTTAATATTCCGCAATTTCTAAAATTTGAAATCTTCATCTAAAAACCAAAGCAGATGAAAGAATGTTCAAAGACCAAAAGAGATCGATTTTCCAGGAGTTTCGGAGTGAAATCTACTCGAGAAGAAACAAATTGGGAATTGAATCCGAGGACACTGAAAGAACCGTATCTGGAAAGTGGAAACAAACCGGCTTTGGCGTTGGTGAAGACGGTGTTGTAGGATTCCCATGGACGCGACGAATTATTGGTCGACGATGATTCGCCATCATCCATACTGTAGAGTCTCCTTCGTCGGAGAAGAGAAATCAAATCAGTTTGGTCGCCGGAATGATTTTGGATATTATTGGAAGGCGAGTAGAAAAACCCCGCCCGATTCATACCTAAACCGAACCGAACCGAAGCGAACCAATTAATTGCGATTTAAATCACTTGGTCAAAGATAAACCATTTTGAGTAATATCTTTTTTTGTAAAATTGCTAAATCAAGTTAAGAAATGTGATGAATTAGAGTTTGAATTAATATTTTCTTTCTAGCGTTTTATTAATTTCATTTTAAATAATCCTAATACTACCACCAATTGTTGGATTGTGATCACTTGGTCAAGACTTTTTATAAACTTACTTGTTTCTTTTTTTTATTGTAAAATAAACTAACTTGTTTCTATTTTAATGATTCAAACAAGGTTGTTATCCCTATCATTTTTATTGTTGATTTTAACTGATATTTTTCTTTAAACAAATAGAACAAACTTATATATTATGTTGGTGTTTTTGGTTATGTTAAGAAATTTCTATAAGTTAATTTCCAAGAGAATATGTTGGAGTTCAAAAACAAATATAATTGTGAATTTGTGTTAAACTTGTGCAGAGGTTGAAACAAAGAAAAAGCCAATGGCGAAACCTCATGCTCTTCAGGCTGCTCAGACTTCTTACGCCTCAAGCTGAGATATTATATATTGAGAAAAAACTTGAGAAACTTTCAGACTATGTTAATCCGTGGATGGATTTGCACTTCCAGGCAAATGGAAAGCACTTCCACGCTGTGGAAACTGTCAAACTGTGAGTCATCCCTGCAAGTAAGAAAACTAATGACAATTTGTATTCAACTTACATCCACAGTGTCAGAAAATTCCGGCTCAAAACAAGCAATGGTTGCTCCCATAGGTTGCTTCGGAAGCCTTTTAATGATTTCCCTTATATTATCTCCCAAAAAGAGAAAGTCGCATGTCTTAATTTCGAGTTCAAGAAATTTAAATTTAAACAAATTTAAATTTAAACATGTTTCGATTTCCAAGATAGAACACCATTGCCGTCGCTATCATCTGTAATAAAGCATTTAATAGCATCCTTTGGCTCATCCTTCTTAGTTAATGAACCATTCTCCCAAACCATCCTCCACTTCATCTTTGGTAACAATGCTGTGGGAGTTTTTACCATTTGCGATTTTCTTAAATATTTTCGCCCGCTTAGTGATGCTAGTTCCAGGTATCAGCTCCCTTGGTCTCAGAAAGGAGCCCATGCTTTTGATTGTTGGGATATTAGAGGAAGTGTTTCCAGATATTAGATGAGGATTGTTGCAATGGTTTGGGAGTACCTAAAAATTGGTAAACTCAATTGCCGTCAAGTTTAGTAATGATTGGTCGATGAGTAATCAAAAGATTTATTATTAAGATTTTTATTATACTCTTCAATCTTGTAATTATTTACTTTAATTTATTATTAAGATTTTTTTGGCAATATATATGAAGAAATTAATGGTAGATAACATATGTTTTAATATGATTGTCTAAAACATTTTGAAACATTAATTAAAGATTTATATTATAAGATAAAATACATAATCTAGTGTAATTTATATCAGTTGGTTTTATCTTCTCATAAATTAAAGATAATAATATAGACATATTCCACGTTTTGTTGTTATATAAGAGAGTGATTTTAATCATTTGATGAAAAGTGCTATAAACCCCAAACAAAAAGAAAGAAGTGCAAAATGAACAAGAATATGTGTGAGAGTGGCGAAGGGAACCATAACCCCTTGACGATACCAATGGAGATGGAGATGGAGATGGAGATAAGCAAATTACAAACAATCCTCGAGGTCATGTTGGTGGAGATACTCGCGAGGTTACCGTCGAGAAGCATCGCGAAATTCAAGTCAGTGTGCAAAACATGGAAATCTTTGATAGAATCTCCGTATTTCCGCCGTCTCTTCGTCTCCGTGCATGGAAACTCCCCTTCCTCCTGGTCACTCACGATCAGAAACAATGATCATCCTCCTATCAGGGAAGTGATAGGGTTTCATGGACGTGAGCCTCCCAAATCTCTGGCTTCTTATATCTTAGATTTTCAACAGAATCTGAATCTCCCTACTTCTGACTTCACATATCTTGCTTCTTCTAATGGATTAATCTGGATCCAGATCAATGTTCCCTCCACTAAGAACAGACCTTGCTATCATAAATCCTTCGTTGGTAATCCAGTTTTACGACAATGGGTTGAAATCCCTCCGCCTCCAGAGCCATGTCAGGCCACTGGTTTGGTAACGCGTGTGGAGGATGACGGCGTTGTTTCGAGCTTCAAATTGGTTAAGACTCGTCAAAGAATAGATACCAAACCGAACGTATGGAGAGTGTACGTGTATTCGTCTGAGACAAGGAACTGGACTTTGAAGCTAATTCTCTCCCCTCATCCATTTGACGATGATGCTGATTTTAAATCTCCTTTGAATCTCGACGGAGTACTTTATCTTCGGAAAAGGAGATGGGGTACTGGTGAACGTGGAGCCCTAATAGGTCATGACTTCTATGGCCCTGACGCCGATGTTCAGTGTCGGGTTATACCTTTCCCTTTCCCTCATAACAAAGAGGCTAGGAGATGTTTGACTACTTCTAGAAGACATGTTATGTACATGGACATACTACATCGAAGATTAAATGTCTGGAGGCTCAACAACAACAACTCTGCCTCTGAGGGTCAAGTGTGGCACTTGTTACGTGAAGAAATCAATATGGCGTCTGTCGGATTTGATGGCATTTGTTATCCCGTAGCAATGAATCCGTTTGACGCTGGCATCGTTTATCTATGGAGTCTAAAACACAATTCTATGGTATTTGGTAACTTGCGGACACACAAAATTACTCTTCAGAAGGAACCAGAGTATTCTAGTAGTGAAGGTTGTTATAGCATCATCAACACTTCCAATTTTATCATCGACATTCGTCCGCATATGGAAGGTCGTATCTTGTGGGTTGCCAACTTATCCCACTTTGTTCTCCCACAGTGGATGGATTCACTAACCTCGCTTAGGAGGGACCTTATAGCTTGCTTGCTGCACAAGTTTGTTCTTCGCTTATAATATCCATCCTTAAGAACTTATGGTTTGAACTTATGTTATGTGGATTTGATCGAACCATGTTGGATTAATCCGCTACATTCTCATATTTATTTTGTATAAATAAACAACCATATTTTGGACATTGTTCTTTTAAAAAAAGCAACCAGTTTCTTTTGTTTTTAGATCTAAGTCCTTTATGAAGAAAGTGTTTGTTTTTTTTGGTTCTTGAATCTTGTTTAGCCTTTATTTCTTTTGATTTCTTGCACGTTATCTTAATATTCTATCATGTCTAGCATTCTTCTCTTTAACTTTCACATTTTTTTTACCTACTGTTGTGTGAGTAGATTTATTTTGGATAATGGATCAATAGATTTGGTTGGTCCGGCTGTTTGGTTGTAATGTTTTATTATAATGATTTTCATCATTTGTGGCTTGTCAATGCTATATTGAAGCTAGCTTGATAAGATCTAGAACATGATTGTTAATTTCATCTTCGAGAAGTGTTTATGAGAATGTCTAGAAGATCTTTCATTTGAACTTGTCATTTTTAGTGGATAGAGATCATTTGTAGGATAGTTGTACTTGCATACAATGCTTGTTAACCTTGTAGTCGTAAATGAAAAATTTAACATAACCGCTTGATTACTAAATAATTAACTTCAAGGAATTGAGTTACTTTTTCTGTTGAAAGTAGTCTTTACCTTGAAAGTAAGTTTGCTTATGATTTTAGGATTGTTAACCAACCAAAAGACCATACATTTTCTATTACTTAAACCATTATCCATTGTCTCCATTGTCATTTACTTGTCTAGTTCTTTACACTTTTGCGTATTCGTTTAATTTGTTACATTTCTGTTTGCATTCTGTGGATAAGTTCTTAAGTCCATCATTGATATCTTAGCTTAAGATCGATGTTTAATATTCGTGATATTTCTCGTGTTCGTCTCATTTGGATTTGATCCCTGCTTGGGGTTATTGAGGTCCTGCTTAGAATTTTGTAAACTGTAGAACCTTTTTTTTCTTTATAATAAATTTCAACAAACTCATGAATGGATCGATAAAATAACATAACATGTCTCAAAACACACAACAAAATAAATCCTCTCCGAGGTTTTCTACTACTTCCTTTGAAGCTCCTCTTCTTCGTCTCCGCTTTCTTCATCGCCGCTAATTTCTTCATTGCCAAGTCCTAGCTTAGCCATGTGTTCTGTCAGCATCTTATCATCTCCTTCACTCACAGCTCTAGCTCCTTCCTTAACAACGAGCTTGCCTTTGTATCTCTCAATTGTCTCAGCGCAAGCTTCTATGGCTTTGTTTAGGATTTCAATCCCTTTGTCCTTGTCAAGTGTCTGAGTAGTAAGGACATAGAGTGGTGGAGCAACCAATTTAACCTTAACAGGACAGTCGTCGTTTCCAGCTGCTTCAGCCTTTTTCATGGCCTCGTTAATGTGAACAACACCATCAAACTCAAAACATTTCAGTTCGATATCAGCACGGATTTTCATTGGCTGTGGAGTCATTCTCCTCCTAATGTTCTTCACCAGTGCATCTTTCACTTCTCCAGGTATCTTGCAACTCAAGACAGAATCAGGATCAGTCACTAAGATCTTGAAGGCCTCAAAAGCATGACCATGTTTCTTGTACAAAGGCCAACCAATGTTCTCATACAACTCCTCCAAATCGATAGACAAAGTCTCTGCGACATGGCGCATGATAGAATGGACGAGCTTGCTCTTGCTATACCTTTCTTCACAAGTTTTAATATCATCTTCGCTGACTCTACGCTTGCTCAGATCAATGTATCCCTTATCTTTCTCCACACGTAAAACCATGACCGGCTCGATTCTTCCGACCTTGACCAAACTGCTCACACTTTTGATCCGACGGCGAGAGAGCTCGGAAAAAGGGATAATGCCTTCGATGTTGTTGTACTCGAGCAGTGAAACATAGACTCCAATGTCTGCGATGTTCTTGACCTGGATCATCACCGCCATATCCACCTCCGGGTACTTGGCCTCGTACATCCGGCACTCAAGATTCGGCGCCATGATTGAAAGATCTGATTAATACAGTACAGGTATGAGGTAAAGGTCACACGAATTTACTCTTTCTTAAATCTGAAAAAGCTATGAGGAAGAGAGAATTAGGTTTTGTAGCGAGCGAGCAATCACGCTGATTCTATCGCTTAAATTGTAGAACTTGGCATGCATGCATGCATCAATGAGCTATTTATTTAGTTTTGTTTAGCCTTGTAAGTTAATTTAATTAAGTTGCTCTGTTTAAATGTCTAAAGTTTGCAAAATCTTGATTTTCTGAATCCCTTGTAAGTATTTTATTTTTGTTGGTTAATAAATTTCCATTTCAACAAAAAGGAAAACTTTAATATTTTTGAAATACTATATATGTTTCTATATAAATTAATTTTAGATAACATATGCTTTATGCCTTTATGGATTAGCTCAATATTATTGGGTAAAATATTTTGGAGAGAGATATTGTTTACATGTAGATTTTAATACACTATAAGTTAATTTTTGGAATTACTTACATTAAATTATATTAAGATCTCTTTGGTCAAAATATATTAAGAAAACATTTTGGAAGAATTTTTTATTATTATTTCAAGATTTTAATTATAAGATAAATTATTTAGTTTAGTCTAACTTATATGAATTGATTTTATCTGTTCATAAATATACTAAAAGATTAAAGATGTTAATATAGATTCATGTCATATAAGAGAGATTTCATTTGCTAAAAAGTGCCAACCCCAAAGAAAGAAACAAACAAAAACTTGCAAATGAACAAAGAGCATGTGACTGCAAATGGCGAAGGGAACCATAATCCCTTGAGGAAACCAATGGAGATGGAGATAAGCAAATTACAAACAGTCCTCGAGGTCATGTTGGAGGAGATATTCGCGAGGTTAACGTTGAGAAGCATCGCGAGATTCAAGTCAGTGTGCAAAACATGGAAATCTTTAATAGAATCGCCCTATTTCCGCCGTCTCTTCGTCTCCGTGCACCAAAGCTCGTGTTCCTCCTGGTCACTCATGTTCCCAACTGACTATCGCCAGGGCATCACAGAACCTATAGGCTTCCGTGGATGTGAGACATGGGACCTTCCCAAATCAATACATTCTTATGTCTTGGATTTTCAACGGTCTCTGAATCTCCCTGATCATTCTCGCTGCTACTATCTAGCTTCCTCCAACGGATTAGTTTGGATCCAGATCTCTGGTAACATGATGCCACCCTTCGTTGGTAATCCAGTTTTACAAGAATGGGTTGAAATCCCTCCGCCTCCAGAGCCATGCGAGGCCACTGGTTTGGTAACGCGTGTGGAGGAGGAGGACGGCGTCGTTTCAAGCTTCAAAGTGGTTTCGACTTTTTATAGTAAAAATTATGTAGACAGAGAAGTGTGGAGAGTGTATGTGTATTCGTCTGAGACAGGGAAATGGACTTTCAAGCAAATTGTCACCTCTCATCCTGTTTACAACGCTGGTGTTTACTCTCAGGTGAACCTCAACGGGATGCTTTATCTGTGGGAAAAGAGACCGTTCTCTACTGAGCGTGGAGTAGTTATAGCTCATGACTTCTATGGCCCTGAAGCCGATGATCAGTGCCGGGTTATACATCTCCCTCCAGTCCCTGTCAATGTCCTGAACAACGAAGACGTTAGGAGATGCTTGACTACTTCAGGAGGATGTGTTTTCCTCGTTCAAGTACTTCATCAAACATTGAAACTCTGGAAGCTGAACAACAAGAACAACAACTCTGATGATACTAGTCAAGTGTGGCACTTGTTACGGGAAGACCTCAGCATGGAGTCTGTCGGGTTTGATGTCTATTTTTATCCCATGGCAATGGATCCGTTCGACACTAGTGTCGTTTATCTATGGAGTCGATAACAGGATGCTCTGGTATCGGGTAACTTACGGACAAAAGAGTTGGTTGTACTTGGAGAACCAGAGCACTGTAGTAGTACAGGTTGTTATAGCGTCAACACTAACCATTTTGGCCTAAACGTTCGTCTGAATTATACGGAAGAAGGTATGGTGTGGGTTGTCAGCTTATCCCAATTTGTGCTCCCACTGTGGATGGATCCAGTGCCTCGCCCGCCAAATTGATCACGGGAGTGTGTTTTGACCTATTTTAATTGCTTGCTGCAAAAGCTTCTTCTTCGGTGTTTATATATATAGATTTGTTTTATCTTCTTCTTCGGATTTATTTATTTATTAATATGTATATCTTTTGGTCGAGGACCGTAGAAGACATGTTCAATTGTACCCTAAACTAGCAATATATCACCATTAATTTCCAACCCACTCTGAATAAGTGCTTAGAGAAATTCAAAATAATTCAGCTGGTTTAACCAAATAATTCTTCTTGGGATCGGTTTAGAAGGACATTTGGTCAACCCGGGTTAGTCTCTCCTACATGAGATCCGTACGTACCTGACAAATTGGCTGCCATTTGATTGCTTATATGGCTTACCGAACCGAGATTGATCTTCAAAGAGGAAGATATTAGGTCAAAGAAGAGCTTTACTTAAGATGCAAGAAAACACATAAAAATGCATACTTGGGATGCAAGATCCCATCTGAAGGTTTTTTGTGTGCGTGTTTGTTTGATGATCTTGTGATGAAACCAGGCATAAGATCTTGAAAAACATACCGAGAGAAGCACAATTTCACCCACAAGAGAAAGGCATTGTAATCTCACCGGCTTAGTAACTTGAAGGATGCTTCAAAGGGTGTCTTGATGACGGATAACACATTCAAGAGCTTATAAGAGACTGGAGCTGTGGTGCACAAGTTTATCTGCGAATGGGGCGGTTTAAGCACTTCCTTAACCGGAAAAAAACAGACGGTTTAAGATCTTTTGAAAGCTCACAATTCCATGGATAGACTACGTACGAGCTTCAAGTCTCGTTTCCGCTCCACTCTCTTGATTCTGTCTTTGCGTCTATGAGCTTTAGCTTTGCACAGAGTATTCCTTTGCTTCTAGAAATTGTGGCTTATTGAGAAAGTGGAGGCACAAGATTCGAAATCCGAATTAAACAAGACTAATATTTTACTTGAAACAGTTTTTCTTTTTTTAGTTTCATAGAAACCAAACAAAAACTTTTCATCATCATTTGTTGGACTTGAGCCATTCGAGAATCCGTTTCTCAGACTCACTGAGCTCTGCTTCTGTCTTTCCCTTCATAGATCCTTCAACAAACTCAAAGTAGTCTTTATAATTCCTCTTGTAGTAACTGTCCAACCTCTGTTTCATTTTCCCAACATTTAACCAAAGAAAAATCAAAAAAAATATTCGGACAAAAGATTTGGGTTTATCCAAATTTGGTAAATTCGATGTTCTTTCTTTACCTCTTTGTCGTTCTTGGTTTTGTTTTCTTCAGTCTTCTTCAAATACTCTGAAACAATTCTTCCCCAAAAAAAACGACGTAGTTTAGGTAAAAGAAACATTTTAATCAATTAGAGAACACAATTAAGCAGTTTTAATTACTCTGGAGAAGCTGATCGCTGGTGGTCAAAGCGGCGGCGAGGAAAGAAGAAGAGGAGAAGAGTACGTTTCTTCGTCCAAAATCAGCGGTTAAAGAATCGCGTTTGGTATCGTTTCTGCGCACAGCTTGAACATTGGAGGAAGTGTATTTGTTAACGGTTACTGTTAAAGCCATGAGAATGCTTTGCCCTATGGAACTCATCTTTCTCTTCTTCACAACAAGGATAAGATTTAGTGTCTTATCTACAACACAACACATTTGGTCATTTGCAGAGAAGCAAACAACTTTTTATTTTAAAAAGGTCCCTAACTATATAATTTTACAAGATAAAGCACGGATCTTATTAAATGTAGACATTAAACCCAGACAATAGAGACAGAACCGGTTTAATAGACACGAATCGATCCGTACCGCAACCAAACCAAATCAGTTCTGGTTTTGACCAGAGATTTTCGACTGTACTTGCATCTTCTTCATCTGACGACAGCAAAAATGACAAGCAATCCCTAATCTCGCCTCAAAAAATACCAAAAACCATCCTTTGTTTCAAATTTCAATCAACTTCTGCTTCATCTTCATCGGTTGCTAAATCGGAGATGGCGACTTCTCTGGTTTCTCCTCTTACTTCACAGCTCAACCATGAAGCTGTCTGTTCAAAGTTTGCGCTTCCCAAATCACCGTTCATGTCGGGATCCAAGCTCTTCTCCTCGAACATGCCTTGCTCTACTGTTCCTCGACGCACAAGACGATCCAAATGCTTCGCTTCTGCTAAAGATATGAGCTTTGACCATATCCCCAAACAATTCCGAGGAGACAATCTCAAAGACGGAGGTTTTTCCCTTCTCTCTCACCTCTTTTTCGTCTTCCTTGTAATCGATTTGTTCTTAATTTCTTATGTATCACTTAGCAAAGATAATCTCTTTGGGATTAAATATGATTATCTTCTGTGTAATTGGATAATGAAATATGATTAGTTTGATTGCTACACTTCTTGGTTGGAACTAAATTTGTTCATATCTGAGAACAATATTCGTCAAGAAGTGAAAAAGATTGAAGAACATGTTGCAGTCCGTAAATATTATATTTGATCTGACATATCACATTTCTTGCCTTCTCTCTAGTGATGCAGAACTTCAAAAACGTACCGCAATATTTCTACGGGCTTAATCCAGCTCAAATGGATATGTTCATGACTGAAGATAGCCCTGTTCGTAGGCAAGCAGAGAAAGTTACAGAGGTTTTATATTTCTCTTCCAATCCTTCTTTATCAGTCCAATTTACAGTTCCAGAATCTGGAAACAGCTAGGAAGTGAATCTTATCTTGTCATTTTGGCATGCTTTTTTTTGGTAATAGGAAAGCATCTCGTCTAGGAGAAATTATTTAGACAATGGAGGAATATGGAGTATGTCTGGTATGAACACAGCAGATCCTAGAAGATATAGCATGAGTGTTCAAATGTACAGAGGTGGAGGCGGAGGCGGCGGCGGAGGATCTGGCAGACCAAGAACTGCTCCTCCAGATTTGCCTTCTTTGCTCTTGGATGCTCGGATATGCTACCTTGGCATGCCAGTAAGACTCTCATGCGTCGATAGCTTATTGTTAAAGCTATTTCTCCTCTTTGCTCAGGCATTGATCTTGCTCCGTTCGCTTGCAGATTGTACCTGCAGTTACTGAGTTACTCGTTGCTCAGTTTATGTGGTTAGACTATGATAACCCCTCAAAGCCCATCTACCTATACATAAATTCGCCCGGGACTCAGGTGAGTTTAAGAAGTTTATTTTACATATTGTTTGTTGATGGAATCATTTAAACAACCTGCTTGTTACCATAAACGAGCTATCTAATCTGTAGAATGAGAAGATGGAGACTGTTGGGTCAGAAACAGAGGCTTATGCCATAGCTGACACCATTTCTGTAAGTCATCTCACTAAGACTATCTGTACATATATCTATACTGTGATGATAAGGTAATCATATATGCACCTAATCTGCTATCTTTTGAATTAATTCTCATCTCGTCATTGTTTATCCTTTTTTTGTGTGGCTTAAAAGTATTGCAAATCAGACGTATACACAATCAATTGTGGTATGGCTTTTGGTCAAGCAGCAATGCTTCTGTCTCTCGGGAAGAAGGGTTATCGTGCCGTGCAGCCACATTCATCAAGTATGGTCCTCTTCTCTCAAGCATTTGTACTTTTAACCTTGCATTTAGATCATGATTATGTGGCCACTTGTGGAGGATTCTAAGTTTGTGATGGGTTATTGGTGCAGCAAAGTTGTATCTTCCTAAAGTTAACAGATCAAGCGGAGCTGCAATAGACATGTGGATAAAGGTGGCACTCACATTCTCTTACACTCTTATGTTTTTCTCCTCAAGTTTCTTCACCTGTACTGTAATGAATAATCCTCTGGCAGGCCAAGGAACTTGATGCAAATACTGAGTACTACATCGAGCTGCTAGCTAAGGGAACAGGTAAATCCAAAGAGCAGATCAACGAGGACATCAAGCGGCCTAAATATCTCCAAGCACAAGCAGCCATCGACTATGGAGTTGCAGACAAGATAGCTGACTCGCAGGATAGCTCCTTCGAGAAACGGGTAACACTCAAAATTCATACTTTATATTCACCCAAAACCAAGTTATATTTGTTCCTGCTTCATTCATGCTTAAATGGAATAGACGTTTTGGTTTAGGATTACGATGGGAGTCTTGCTCAGAGAGCCATGGGAAGACCTGGAGGAGCCAGTCCAACAGCTTCAGCCGGACTAAGATGATCAATTCACACAAGAAAAACAAAAACTTTGAATCTCAGTTTGCCTAGTCACTCTGGAACATGTAGCTGTTATTACAATCTATAAGCAAAACACATGTAGTATTAACATGCAAAAAGTGTTGGCAAAAAGAAGCAATAACATACAAAAGTTTCTTGGTAGAAGCTTGTTTTGTGGTATATTTATCTATAGACGCAGGTTTCAGAAAGAAGGGAAGAATCGGTTGAGGTTATAAGGCAATGCGTAGAACTCGTCGGTTCGAGTATCAGTGTGGTAGACTCTGAATTTCTCCCACCAGTGTCTTCCACTGTCTCTCCTCACGGAGGCGTGTCCATAGCTGTGAGTACAGTCCAGCAAGAAGGCAGCCATTATCCCAACCGTTGCAGCAGAAGAGAATATCACTTGCATTATCACATTGAACTTTGTCCATGGCAACACCAAAAAAAACGAATCAGTACACAAGACAACATGATGATGTTAGGTTTCTGTTTGCTTGGGGCACTTACAGCAGATGTACGAGTGTGAACAGGTCCACGACCAGAGACGAATAGATATTCGGTGAAGTATTGTGCAACAGAGAGACCGATGAAGATGGAGAAGCCGAGGATGAATTTAGTCCTGAAGCTGTTTAGGTTGCAGAATTGAAGAAGGCCAAGTCCTGCAGAAGCTGTTCACAAGGTTCTCTTGATCTCAGTCACATTTATAGAAAAGTTCAAGGAGCAGAAAGAGTTTAGTTCTTGAGCTATACATACCGACATAGGCGAATAGAACACAGTACAAGGCTGCAAAGATCGGTAATGGTATCGATGCAAGAACAGCCCCAAATTTGCCTGTTTTTTTCCACCAAGTTAAGCAGTCAATTACAAAGAAAGACGGATTGTTTCAGAGTGATTTCATGGGTCTGAGCATTACCGAAAATGGAGAAGAAGATCATGAAACCTGCAGCTATCTGAACCACTCTTCTGCTCCCAACCTTTGTTAGTCCCAGAAGCCCTGCATTTTCACTACACATGACAAGAACAACCAAAAACACAGTTTAAGATCCGGAATATGAGTGTTCTTGATTGAAGAAGAGAATGAATTCTCTTACACCAGAGCTGTGGAACCGGTTGCTGTTCCAAAAAGTCCATCCAGCAAAACGCCTATGCCCTGTGTTTTTCAATTTCCACAAAGCACAACACATTGGTTTCACTTTCACTTACTAACATTCTTGAAACCGAATTATATATCAATCTGTTATACCTGCCATCCAATGCCACGGCTAAGAACAGAAGGAGGTATATGAGTCGCGCTACCAAATCTTGAAGCGGCGATGAACGTACCTGTCGTCTACTCCATTGAACAAAGACAAAGAGTCACTCTTTCAGAAACATTATTTCTTCTGTAAACCAAAAAAATGTGAATCGAAATGAAATGGTAACAAAACCTCGACAATCGCCACAAAAGAAGCAGCCATCATTGCGAATGCATCGCTTCCATGAAAACTTGGACGTCCCCATTGCAATGGATATGGAATTTTCACCCTAAGAAAGAAGATATAGTCAACTAATCCTCCGTTTTTCTTTTCGATCAAAGATTGAAGGGTGTTCATACCATGGAGAAGCACTGATGAGACCAGACCGGTCTGTTCGGCAACTGAGCTGTGTACTGTCAGGTCTTTTGTCGTAAGCACCAGCTGCTGTGAGAATCTCTGCGTAAGCCCACACGATCGCTACTGTGAACAGAACAGCGAATTGCTCGCAGATCGATCTCTTACACTTGAACAAGTGAGGAAGATACTGGAAAATTTTAGCACACGCAACATTTAACAATCATTGTCAGAGATTTAGAATTATATATAAATCTCACGAAATTAACAGAAACCTGAGATAAAATTATGAGTATGATCAACGCTGGGAGTCCAACTTCTACACATCTGGCAAGCTGCAACAGAAGATAATGACATGAACAAAGTCCTCGCAACCAACAGTCCTAAACCGATTCAAGGTGTCTTGATTCTCTTGAATATACCTGTGGAAACGCGAATACGACGAGGCCAACGCCAGTGAGAATCACGAGAGGAGCAGCCGAAAGAGGGGAGAGAAATCTAACAAAAGCAAAACATTAGGGTTCTCTGTTACTTGATTCACAAGTAATATCACAACACGAGCTTTATTGATTGTTTCTTTTTTCTCCTCACCTGACTAAGATCCTCCACAAACCGAAGAAACCCATTATCATATGACATATAGAGGCAATGATTAGAGCTCCTTGAATCGCTCTCATTGTCTCTTCAAATCTCTGTATTATCAACACAGATCATTTTCAGTTTTCGGTTTTAACCTGTAAACGTTTTGAAAGAAGGGTTGTAATTTTAACCAGGTGAGGATGGAGATAGTAAGTGAATCTGTAAGAGAAAGTAATGTAAAGAGCAGGGATGACGTAAGCATAAGAAGCTCCGATGACGACAGGAAGTCTACATCCGAACAAACTCTGCAGTAACGTGTTTATTCCCGACACGAACAATACTGTGTTTATCACTTCCGCTTTCTCCACCTGAAAAAATGACGTCATTTTCACCTCTGTTTTTAGCAAAAGATAGTTGTAATTAGAACAAAGATTAATGTTGATGATGCGGACGTCGCCACCACCCATGAGAGGGACGAGTATAGAAGGTATAATCACGGTAGTTCCAAGCATAACGATGTAATGTTGAAACCCTTGAACTATGCATTCAGCTGCATCAACAATCAAATCAATTCATCATCATTCGTAATGTTCTTAAACATCAAAACATATTATATGGCTGCTAAAAGAGAAGAAAAAATGAATACGCCAATTTGGAGAGCTTGATACACAATATTCGACTCCTGGAAGCTGATCTTTAACTGGAAACGGTGCAAAATCATCTACCTTCGCCATAATTCGCTGTCTCTAACTCTTTGAGAATTTCTACTCTCATTGTGAGAAATATATATATTATATATTCAAAAGCTTTGCTTGAAATGGATTGAAAAGTGTTAAGCGTTAGGCGGGCAACTATGTTGACTCTTTCTTGGTTTTGTACTCTCTCTTGTGTTCACGTACACGTTACTAACACTAATGCAACATGTTTAGGAAATCGAAACGGATTGAAAGCATTGGTTTGACTTGAACAGATTTGTCTAATTATGTGAAGAAGAAAATGATGTTTTTATATTACGACCTCTGATATTTGTTTCTTTTGAAGTAGCAATATATTCTCATCTTAATGTCAAAAAAGTATACAACTAACTCCATCCACCATTTTACCATTCTCTTATTTTCACCTAAATTAAGCATAAGACTAACTGGTATGACTTATTGTAGGCTTGATTCGAATAAATTAAATCAAAAACACAATAAGATCAGTGAAAAAACCAAAAGATATTGAATGAGGTTTAGTTTCAATTGGGTTCCATGTTATTCTCTCTTATGTTGTTAGACGTATCTTTTGTAGTATATATATTTCATAATAACATTATGTTATCCTGTAATTCGATCTTGGAATGTGGTTGAGTGGTCACACATTTTTCAAAATATGAAAAATAACATTTTTGAAATACTTATCGCGACTACCTACCACCTCCACCACAAATTTTATTTTATTTTAATCATATCTAGCCATTTTTTTGTATTCATGTTCAAAAGTCAAAACACCTCTAACTCTACAATTCTTGTAATTATCACAACTAAATTTCTAACAAATAAACCCAAAATAATCGTGTCAATATGACTAAACAAGAGTAGTTTTGAACTTCTGAAATATAAGTTTTCTAATTGACAATCGTAATAATACTTAGAGGTGTGTGTGTCATTTTTTAGTATTTTTTCCTTATTGCACTTGGATTTGTAAACATTTTTAGACGATTTGCATACTATTTTCAGAATATAACAAGATTAGCTTAATTAACCTGGCTGTCATAAGCTGACCAAAAGTCAAGAAAAAAATCTTGCTGTCATAAAAGAAACACGTTTTAAACCCGGTTTAAGTTTAATTGGTCTAAGCGGTTTGCCGTCACAGAATGGACGGAGGTCCGTTACTCTGAATCCTTGTGTTCGCTTTAACCCTAATTCCATTGCCTCTCGAAATCTGACGAAAATCTCTCCCAATCCAACACGGAATTTGTTTCCTGAAGATCGAATTTCCCTCGAAATTAAGGTGAATTCACCTCTTTCTCCTGTCGATTGTTATATCCTCAGCATGAGATTAGGTTTCAATCTTATTTTCTAGGGTTTTGCTATCTCTACTTTTACAAATCCAGAATTGCTGACCTAAAGGTCGATTTCGGGGGCATCTGTTGAATTTTCCATTGAAATCATAGGAAGTTGGTGAGAGTTCGAGATCTATCTGTTAGGGTTTCCTCGGAACAGGGAATTAGGGTTTTGCTGCTATTAGAGAGTCTTTGATATTATTCAGAGTCTTAATTGTGAGTTACAATGAAACAAAAAGTTTAATTTTTTTTTTTGCATTGTGGTCTACAATGAACGACAAACTTTAGATTTTTCTAAGCAAACAATAGTTTTGTTGTTGTTGTTGTTGCAGAACAGACAGCAGACTTGCTGTTTTGTTTCGAAATCGTCATGGGTGCTCCTAAGCAGAAGTGGACCCAAGAAGAAGAATCAGCTCTGAAATCTGGTGTTGTCAAGCACGGTCCTGGCAAATGGCGCACAATTCTCAAAGACCCTGAATTCAGTGGAGTCTTGTTCCTGCGTTCCAATGTTGATCTTAAGGTCATGATGATTCCTTCTTTTGATCCTTTGGAAGCTGTAATTAGTTTGTGATTGTGAGTTTTTTTTTTTATCTGATTTGGATTGGAACTTTGTGGCACAGGACAAGTGGAGGAACATGAGTGTGATGGCGAATGGGTGGGGATCGCGTGAAAAGTCTAGGTTAGCTATTAAAAGGACGCACTCTCTTCCTAAACATGAAGATAACTCACTTGCCCTTACCTCCTCGTTGCAAAGTGATGAAGAAATGGGGGATGCTAAGCACTTCTCTACTACAGGCTCTTCTGCACTGCAAGTTGCTACTACTCCTTCTTCAAGGAGACCTAATGTAAGGTCAGGATATATCATCTGCGTCTGTTCTTCTTCAATAGCTTTGTTGCATATCTCCTGATGGTTGTAACATTATTAACACTTGTAACTTTTTAAAATGTTGCAGGCTTGATAGCCTTATAATGGAAGCAATAGCTACCTTGAAAGAGCCTGGCGGTTCTAACAAAACAACAATTGCCGCCTACATTGAGGTATTCAGATATTCTGTTAAGACATTATGTTCATAGATATTATGTTCTGTTAAGCTGAAACGGATAGGAATATTTCTGTGGTTACTATATTACATATGAGAATATCTTTCTTTGGGTTAGAGTATCAGAAGAGTAGATTCTGTATTTATTTCAGAAACATGCCAAAGCATGAGAAATATTTGAGTTGTTCTACATGCACGCTTACCGTTTTAAAGATTCTTTGCTTAAGGGTCCTCTTAAAAGACTGATTCAGTGGATTGACTGTCCTTTTAATTTTGTTGTGTAGGAACAATATCATGCTCCGCCAGACTTCAAACGGTTGCTGTCTACCAAGCTGAAGTACCTGTTAGCTTGTGGTAAACTAATGAAGGTAAGTCTTTGTACAATCAACTTGCTTCATTGCTGTTAGTAGAACAGAGACGTGCATTGTTCACTGCGACCTGCGAGCTTTGATTGATTTAGGTTCTGTGTTTTACAGGTCAAGCGCAGGTATAGAATTTCAAACTCTACTCCGTCGTCTTCCTCCCACAGGAAAAGAAGCAGCGGGAAACAGAGTATTCTCTCCTTGCCTTCACCGAAAGCAGACAGAGGCGAAGTGAATTTTCAGACGAGGTCAGAGATTGATGCGGACTTGTCCAGGATGAAGAATATGAACGTACATGAGGCGGCAGCGGTTGCAGCACAGGCGGTTGCAGAGGCGGAAACTGCCATGGCTGAAGCTGAAGAAGCTGCAAGGGAAGCAGAGGTAGCAGAAGCCGAGGCAGAAGCAGCTAAAGCTTTCGCTGAAGAAGCTTTAAAGACATTTAAAGGAAGAAACAACTGCAAAGTGGTAATAAAAAACACGCTCTCTTATCACAACACATGTAATCTATGTTAGAAAGACTTTGCAAATCTCATAATTGTTGTAGTGAAAATGTGATTCAACAGATGATCCGTGCTTGAGGCGATGGAGATAGAGAGGAGAAGAAGAAGCTAAATGTGTTGCAGGCGAAGAGAGAGAGACGTAGAAATAGTGTGTATGTTGATGATTCTCCTCTTACTTGGGAACTCTTTTTAGTTGTAAACAGCAATCGTGTGTCTTGTTTTCTCACATTTCTCTTACTGAGTTACTGTTCAGTCTGTTGAATCCTTTTCTTCGGATTTGTAAACTTTTTCAAGTTTTCAATTAAATCTAGGAATTTTCATGTATATTCAAAGAGTTTTAGGTTTTGTTGAATTCCATCAGAGTAAAGTTGTTCTTTCGAGAAACGCTAAAGCTGAGAAAGAACAATAACTAAATTTTCACATGCCTGACTAGAACAAGTTTCATCAAGGATCTACAGATTTGAATGGGCAGCAACCACAAATAAATCAAGAAATACAGTTTAATTCCACCAAAATATGTATAAACCATTGATATTGGTAAAACAACACAATCTTAAAACTTGGTTCTGATTTGTTATCAAACTCAAACAAAAACAAGAAAGAAGAAGAGCTTTTCTACCACCAGAGAGCAAATGGGACTTCCTTTACTCAAAAACCAAAGAAACAACAATCTCATAATCTAAAGCCATTGTATTCTTCACACTTCACTTTACAGCCAAACTCAAAACATACTTTGAAATGCTTACAACAATCTTTTCTGGGCAACCAACGTAGCAATACAACACCAAGTCGAACTAACTTCTGCTCATTCTAGTATTATACCGGAGGATTTGGGTATGCTTTGGGCTTTGGTTTCACTTCGATTTCGTTAACACTTCGAACAAAGATTGCATCCGGTTCATGCCTGCGAACACCCAACCATTCAAGAATCAGTCTAAAAACAGAGATCAAACCAAAAGCAAACACAAACATATCTCTTGAATGGTACAATAAGGATGTTTGAGATTGACAACATTATAGAGAGTGAGATTCTTACGGTTTGTCTCCCTCTTCAAACGTGTAACTAGAAGCAACAGCAAGTAACCCACCATCTCGGCTGAATGACAATGCTGCAATACTTGTTGGATACTTAGAGTACTACAAAAGGAAAAACAAAGGAGCAATTAATAATGCGTCTTCTCTCACCAAAAGAACAATGAAAGAAGTAAATATCTAAAGTTCTTGTCATTGCTTAACCTGATATAGCCTCTTCTTGTTGTTGCCATCCCAAATGTTGACGAAGCCATCACAACCTCCGGTAGCAAAAGTGCCATAACTAAAAAATTTTGAACCCTTAGGTAATTAGTAGCGATAGAGTTGTTCTGAACTAATACACTGTAATTTTCTGCTCATTTATGTGAAAAACTGGCAAACTCCAGAGGCAGTCATATATCTAAGAGGAAACATTCAGATCCCTATCTAAAATAAAGACTTACATCGGATGGAAGGCAATCGCATTTACAGGGTAGACAATGTCCCTACCATCCTCTGATTTCCGGTGACATTTGAAAGCATATCTGTGAAAAGAGGTACAAGTATAATTATCATATAATAAAAAAGAGTAAAATTCGTCAAAAAGAGGTACAAGGAAAAACATTATGAGCATACTTTTTAGCTTGAGCAGCCTCTGATAGATCAAAAAACTCCATTGACACCCTCCCTTCAACAGAGCTAAGGGCATATCCTGCAGAGTATTAGGGTGGAAGAGGATACTGAGTATACTTGGAACTGAAAAAAAAAAACACAACTTTGACTGTTGAAAAAACACCAAAAGCAACATATCAGCCATTTAACCTGTTCCACTGGGATAACAACGCACACATCTAGTCTGGTACTTAAGTGAGGACTCCCTTCTTTGCTCAGGCTGGGACATATTTCTAAGATCATAAATGTTGACATGCCTTCCTGCTGTTGCCACTACCAAACGATTTCCAACAAGAGAAAGAGAGTTAACACGCTCAGGTTGCTGATATGATCCAATCTGTGTACGTTCTGGTCCACTTGCAGCTCTTGGGTCCCAACATTTCACCGTTCTATCCCAACTTCCAGTGATCACTTGCCCTGTAACGTTACATAAACACAGTGTTCTGAGTTCTAAGCCCTCAACATAAAGGCACTTTTAGCAAAATTTATCAACTTTGACTTAATGGAATGACTTTATCATCAAATGCGCCAAGTATTCACAAGGTAAGAGTTTAACTAAGTATCACGAACATCACTACCACTTTACCAACCTGCAGCATAAGAATACTCCACACATCGAGCTGGTTTATCATGCGTCCCCAAAATGTCCTCTTTGCCAGCATTGAAGTCAATTCTGAAGTATAACAAGAAAAAAAAAAACCCCCATTATTAAACATTCACAATACATTTTCTAAACACTGCTAAAACCAGATACAATCTCTTTCAAGGATACTAAAATTTCACCGATAAATTTGCATAGGAACTACATAGCATTATTGAAAAAAATCTGTGAAAGAAGTAATCAACAGCACCTAAACAATCAATCTCACATGTCCTTTACTGGAAACATTCTTATCCCAACACCCACCGATTCAAGATTGAGATTTTATACACATCTAGTTCACTGTACTGGCAAACCCCATTTATACATACGGATCTAAGTTAAAAATTCTGAACTTTCTACTTAGCTATATAAGTGACATCACTAAATCTCACTTCTAAAAGAACAGTCAAAACTTTAACTAATCTGCGTCGGAAAAAAATAAAGATCAAGGAGAGAAGAAATCACAGACCGTCTGACTTTATTATCGGCACAGACACTGAAACCAGAAGACTCGTCATGGAAGCAGCAATCGAGCACCGGCCCGCCATGCTTGAACTCCCCTCTCATCGAATCGGCGCTCGCATCATACAATCTCACACTCTTCGACCCAAAGCATCAGATTAAGACAGATCAATCTCCAAAAAGAGCAGTAAAATCAATGACCGAGAGAAGAGAGGAAACCTTATCCCACGAAGACACTAGCAGATGATCGCTGCTATTGGAAAACCGGAGATTGGAAATTCCATCGGACGGCGGATTCGAGAGCTCACGACCAACGGCCGGCGCCAAAGTCATCACTGAAGAACACGGATTTTTTAGGGTTTATGCAATTATGCTGTAGAGAGAGGGAAGCAGATTTGAAGAAAATGAGCAGAGCGTTTTTTAAATTTCAAATTCTTCTTCTCTCCCTAAACTGAAATCGAATCTCTATGTTATGTTCGATCAAATACTGAAATACAGTTTTCTTGTTAGACGCTGGGCCGGTAAAAGTTTGCTCATGGGCCTTACACTAGACCCATGTATTGCATTACCCATGATGATGTGTCAATTTGCTGACCTAAAAGCCTAATCTCGCCACGTAATGTAAACATAAACACCTCTCTCTGGATAAAATCTGGTCCACTTTTTGGCATGTCGGGTACTACTTCTCAGTTAGTGACAAATCACCGAACGAATGGTAAAAAATTAGCCACGTGTGTACAGAACACAGCTGAATCCTTTTTTTTTTAAATTTATTGCATTAAGATTTTCTGTTTCCTTAACTAATTAATAGACTCTTATCCATGATGTAATTGATATTTTGGAAAAAAAAATTGAAGTTTATCAATATTAAAGTAATTTTCCACGTGTGAAATAATTAGCATATGAATTAACAAAATAAATTTCATGACTGGTGGAAAAATATAAACAGAAAGGATAAACCAATCAGAGGTGGACGCGTTTGCTTTTAAGCGTGTCCAACACGGACTTGTAACTCACAAAACAGGTCGGTTCCGGGGAAAAAGAAAAGTTTCCATATCTCTTGAGGTTTAATTTGCCTGTGTTAAACCTTAACGTGTTTAGGTGTAACCTTTTTGTGTAGTGTGAGATCACACTCTGTCACTGGGAATTAAGGGAAAAATTACAAATATCACTTTTATTTGACAGTTGGATTTGACAATTAAAGGAGTTAATCTAGAATATTCCGGGATTCCATAAAGATTTACTTCTTTTTTCCTCACTCTCTTTCCTTATTTCAATTATTTTAGGAACGATAACGATGCACCACTTAGGCCGACTCTAAAACCTATCACTATATATAATCACAAAGAAGACTGAGAATCACAGATCACAAAATCACAAACATGAAACTAGTCAGACACGAATTAGTCACTCCAGCTAATTTCTTAAGGACTAAGGAAAAAACGATCAAAAATAAAGATCGGACGAGTATGGTTTCTAAACGGCTAATTCCACTTTGGCCGTCGACCTCCGTGAAACAGCTCTTCCGAGAAGCAGAAAGAGAAGGGTGTGGATCGGGTATCGTAAATCTTAAGCGTTCGTTTAAAAGAAATCGCCAACAGTCGTCAATACCGAATCGTTACTCCTCGAAACGTAGATGCTTGGAGTTCCGACTAGAAGAAGACGACCGGCGTGAGAACAATGCCGTTAGATTAAAAGGAAGTGAAGAGTCGAAGCGCACTAGTGATGAAGATCCTTCTCGTTCTTCTTCTGAGACGGTGACTGATGAAGAAGAAGACGGCGGCGACTGTGAGAGCGACGCTGTTTCTGTTGATTCTAGGTTGAAAAAGTTAATACGACAGCGTTTTAGCGATGATGATGTTCCTTCTCCCTCTTCTTCTGAGACGGTGGAACTCAAAATCTCGGGATTGCGGCGAGGAGACGAAGAAGAAGAGTGTGCGAACGACGCCGTTTCTATTGAGCATGAACAATCGATACGGAGGCAGCGTAATAGCGATGATGATCTCGCTGCTCTCACTCTCCTCCAGCTTTATCATCATGATAAGTATAAGCAAACGCAACCGCAACCGCAGAGGCAACTTCAAACGAAAACGCAAACGCAACCTCAAAGTGAACCAAAAGCCGAACTTCAAACGCAAACGCTTACGCTTATGCAAACACAACCGCAGACGCAGCTGATGTGTGATTCGTACAAGTGTAGCGTCTGTGGAAGAGAGTTTTCTTCGTATCAAGCTTTAGGTGGTCACAAGGCTAGCCACCGGGCCAAGCCGCTTGTTGAGAACGCAACCGAAGAGGCTGGAGACAAGAAGCGGCCAAAGACGATGATGCCTCCGTCTGGGAAAATCCACAAGTGTTCTATATGTCATACCGTGTTTCCCACGGGACAAGCCCTAGGTGGACACAAACGCCGTCACTACGAAGGCGTTCTTGGCGGTCACAAACGCAATCCCTACGAGACTGTCCTCAGCCAAAACGGAGGAGACAAGTCGATGAGTCTGAGCAATGGGAGTATTGTCACAAATGCGTCGGGTCGAAACCAGAGGTTACTTGAATGGATTGATCTTAATCAACCTCCGTTGCCGGAGATTGGTAACAACGGTGGTGGAGACGCGGAGGAGGTTGAAAGTGCAATTTGTAGCGAATAAGCTTCGACAAGAAAAGGTGTTGTTTTCAGTTAGGATTTTGATATTCTTGTTGTTGTTTCTCTTTACTTTCTTAATATATTGAATAGCAAAAGTAATTTGTTGTGAGACTTACTTTCATTTTGGACTTATTCATATGGTTTGGTACAAATCTCTGGCCACACTACACATTCTCTAAACAATTGCGAGTTTATAATCATAGTGCATTGACGAAAAATCTTATTATATTAAGTGGAAGCAAAAGGAACGATTGGATTGAAGTGAGAGTGTCCTCTTTTACTTGTACTTTGCAAGGCTTTTCAACAAACAGACAACAACGCGTTGATGCATGGCAACTAGAAACGACAAGACATCTTAACATTTAAAAGAAAAAAAAGAAAAACGGCAACAAGTCTAGAACTACAAAAGAGAAGAAAAAAAAATCAGTGATTCATACGTTACTACATCTTTTATATGTACACAAGCCAAAGAAACCATTAGAAGAAGAAAAAATTTGTATACAAAACTAAGCTTACTTACTTTTAGAGGCATTACCTGCAATTCTTACATTAAAAACAAACGTGCAACTACGAGACGCAAGAGAGAGCAAGAGGAGACAGATGATGATGATAATAAACCAGTGAATCTTCTGACCTTAATCTTGGTTTGAAAACGACAAGGTCATGATTCGAGGAACGGAATGGCTCGTGTTAGGAAATCTGTTCTTGGTGAGAATAGTTGTAGTCAAAAAGAACAAATCTGTTCTCTTGAGCAAGATCAGTGTTTCTACAGTTGTTGTGAAGTCAAGCTGCTTGTGATTGGTATCCGACTTAGTTGTATTATGTGCGTCTTCATGCTACAATCTGTAACCTGTTTGGTTTGCAAGCGTTTACCCCCAAAATCGACATCAGGAAACAGTAGACATCGCAGAGTAAATCTAAACAAGAAGAGAAAAGATTCTGTACCTGCATAGCTGCTACTCTTGATAAGAAACCTTGACATCTCTCAAGCAATACCTTTTCCTTTGCAGTTGTATTCACGGTTTCGACCATTACTGAGTTCATTTCCTCAACCTAGCCAATGGTAATAACAAACGCCATCGACATAAATGAGCTTCATCTTCAGATCCAAAAGGTTAAGTACACTCAGGACAATAGAATCGGTTTTAAGTTAACTACCGAGAGAGACAGAGCATTTTACCTTCAATGTAAGCGAGAATATGGAAGACGACATAGCTTGCATTACATCGACAGCTGAACTAACAGCATGCTTAAGGTCTTGGATATCAACCTAACAATTAGGCAAGGTTTTAAAATTAGGCCAGAACAATCAGATCAGTGATAGTATGTCACAGAGGTACTAACCACGGTTTTTCCAACAATCGGTAGACGAAGCGTGCTGGCTTTCAAGGCTTCAGTTGCTCCAGACAAAGAACCTGAATGATCTCTGTCTAGAAGAGACCATTCTTCTAGATAACCCATCTACAGTGTGCGAGCGAGTTTGTTATTGTTATTAATAATACCAAAAACCACATACATACTAATCTTTCTTTTTTTTATGCTTAGTACAACAGTTTTCATTTCTAAATAATAAAACCTCATGTTTCCTTGTCACAGATTCAGAATGTTGTGGGATGGTTCCAAACAAGTAAGCAAGTATACCAACTTCTACAGGTAGATAAACAAAATTCTACCTACCATACATACAATAATTAATTAGAGTCTAGACTCATGTGCTAAACACGTTACGAGACAATTACCATTCTGCAATAATTAAGTTAAATCCAAAACTTTCTTTTCTCGTTCAAGCAAGATGGAATCAGTAAGCCAAATTCCATAGAATGTCTGTCTTATTCCTCAAAAGTAGAAAGAAAACAAACAAAAGAATCTTAATTGGAACATTGGCCCTCCTAAAGTAACCAATCGCTGAAACATAAAAAAGAGTTCACATTCTTTACCTGTCCCCTCAGAATTGAAGCCAGTTTCAATTTTTGCCTTAGCAAAAGCAACTTGATTCGTTTTAATGTAACACTGTGGCGCAGTTCCGAGATTGATACCCATGCATTCCACAGGTTTTTCTGGCAAAGAAGAAACAAAAAAAAGTAAACTTCACATTCTACGTTACCGCAAGAAACAAGATGACCTAGTTTATACTTCAACCATGTTCTTGAAAGATTTCAACTAATTATACTCTCACTCTCTCTATGCAGAAATGATTGACTACTCTTCCACTGTTCTACTTCCGTAAAGATTAACACATTCATGTTTAAGATCCAGAAGAGACACAAAAACCATAACTATAAAGCTATTCACCAGATAAGGTAATGAAGGACTCATAAGCCATACCTCTGCGTTTAATCTCTGCACCATCAAAGTAGAGTCAGCTCTCGCATTGACAAACCGCCACTGCAGGTAACGGTTATACAGAAGCCTCAACAAATGCGCATCCATAACACGGTCTTCCCCAATCTTCCCTCTCCTAATATCAGCAGAGAAGCTAAGAATGGAAGGCGTGTTGTTCCGGTTATAAGCGTTCATCTGATCAGAAACCCCATTCCTCACTCGAGAAGGACTCGAGAGCGCCCTAGCTGGAGACGACGACGTAGTCGTCGCCCAAAGCTTACTCGGTGAAGCAGAGCGTATAGCAGAGCCTCTCACAGGAGAAGCCATACCACGAGGAGATGACAAAGGAACAGCATCACTAGAAAACCGTTTCGAAAGACCAAATTTTGACGATATGCTACTCGTTTTCAAGCCCGGGCTAGAAGGTAATGGCGAACCAGGATCTTGCAATCTCCTTAACCGGCTATTCGTCTCTTGCCAGAACTTAGCAGACGCCATGATGTTACGAGGCAAGCTTCTTGATTTAGAGATTTCTCCATTAGCACCAGAGCCACATTCATGGACACCATTGGTGCTACCAGAAGAAACACTATCAGTATCAGAAGCAGTGAAGTCACAGGAGACGCTAGAGGTTAAACCATTATTTGGTCTTCTCTGGCTCTCATCTCCAATTTCCGAAAATTCATCTCTACTTTCCAAATCTAGACTCAATCTGCCATTAACGGAAACCCTAGGACTCTCATCAATCATCGAATTGTGCAACATTGACCTCCCTACAAACCCAGATCCGAGCTTTCCTCTATCACTACCACAGTCTAAGCTTCTAGAAAGCGGATTCGGCGCGACGGATTCGGAGTTTCCCCGGCGTGAAGCTCCGGGCCAGCGTTGTTGGTCCGATGGCTTTGAGTTCTCTCTTTGATCTCGAACAGGCGTCGATCTCCGCCGCTCCGGAGTGGATTTCCGGTGAGAGACCGGCGTGGTGGCCTCCTTCTTTTTGCTAATCGGAAGCGAAAACGCCTCGCCTTGAAAGGAGACAGACAAACTCCTGGTGGAAGTGATGAGCATCTTCGTCGCCGCCGACATTTCGGTTCCGCTGGTTCCTACAGTGACCGGAATCGCCGAGGGTCGTCGACGGTCCACCGATTGCGACCGTTTGGGAAGCAACGAAGGCGTTTTGATCGAATTAGAAGCGGAATTCGTCTGGCGAGAGAGTAGAGGCGAGGGGTATCGTTTGCTTGTCTTGAGTACCGCAGAGGATGAAGAAGACGAAGAGGAAGATGTGGTTGTGGTAGTGGTAGTGGTGGTTGTGGTGTTTGAGGAGACGGAGTGAGAAGGAGAAGGAGATAAGTAGCGAGACGGAACCTGTTTGCCTCTGGGTCTTCTCTGTCCGCCATTGCTGGCTACGGATTGAGGTTTATCTTGCCGATCTCGAGGTGGGTTTCTCGGGTCAGTACTGGAAATTGCTGCAGCCACCATTCTCGTACCTCCGAGAGAGAGAGAGAGAGAAAATAAACTATTGCTTGTCTTCTTCTTCTTCTTCGTATGTGTTGATCCTCACATTGCATTCAAGAGATTTGTCTCATTATTCCTCCAAACTCACCCAAATGCGATAAAAATCAGAGATTTCTGGGGAAATCGACGAATAGAAGAAGAGTTAGACAAGGATTTGTGCAGTTATTGTTGCTTCACAGCCGAGGAAAACGAAAGAGAGAGCGATGGGAGATGGGGGAGAAATTGCAAGTGGGGTTTGTGGATTTGGGGTTTCCTCAAAAACTTTTTTTTTGTTTTTGTGAGAGCTCTTCAAGTCTCTTTAGTAAATCGTTTTTTTTAATATTATAATTTTTGCTTTTTCAGAGGTTTACATCAACTTTAAAGGCTTCGTTTTGCACTAAACTAATATTTTATTCTAATTAGTTCTTTGGTTTTGGATGTTTATTCCTAAATTTAACGAAAGATCACAAGTTAGTTTCGTTTCCGAACTTTCTACTTACTACAGTGAAGATAAGATCTTTCTAATTATAATCATGCTTTTGCATTACTACTTTTTTATAAATAGTAAAAAATAACCTAATTTCTTTTATTAATAAAGAAAAATATGAAGTTAGTTGCTTGAATAATATGGTCTTAGTCAGATATTAGTTATTTATACCTTAGAGGATGAAAACAAAAATCGGTAAGGTTTTTAAAATTTTATCAATTGATGATATTTAGCTTATTATTGATTAACTTTATTATATCAATTCAAAAGTTTTAGTCCGTTAAGTTCTGTGGACTTCTAGTCTTGTCAGAGTATGTGATCTATTATGGTAAGTGCAGCCATTTAGCTAATTAGCATTATTAGCATAATTCAAATTTTGAAATTGTGCAGATATTATACCTCTTCCAGCTACGTGGTTGATATCTATGACATGGAATTTAATACAAAAAATGTTTCAAATGAATTCACATAGCTGCCCAAAATTGAGATTGATTCTTGTTTGACACATATTTGGTCACTACGATATTTATCTTATGAAAAATGAGATTAATTATAGAAAAATGTTTATAAGAATTTGGTTTTATCTTTATGCTTTATGGAAAGTTGATTGAATATTTGCATGTGCTGAAATTGATACTTTTCTTAGAATTGTCATTGAGGATTACTTTTGGCTCTCTTTTACTTAAGATCGTTCCCTTGAGCGGTTCCAAAATTACCACCGCTAAATGGTTATCAAATCTTAACACACGAATGATTAATAACTAACCAACCAAAAACATCGATAGAAAAAAAAACAATATGAATGAATTATAGTTTCTTTGTTTGGAGGATTTGAACCACGAAAGTTTTTATAAAGATGAAGTCGGCATTTATGTTATACATAATGTATACATAATGTATGTATAGCTTACATAATGTTATACATTATGTTATACACGTACATTTTTATCTAACCCTTACGTTTCAAATATATTACGGAATTGTGTAACAACAGATTAACCCTTATATGCCTAAGGGAAGGCTTAAATTTCATTTTTAATCAAAAGAGAAATGGTATGTTAACGTAATCTTTACGCTACTTGAAGAGAGATTGATGTGTACATATGATTTTGATATATACCGAATTCTATAAATATTAACATCCTTGATAAAAAGAAATGTGTTTTCTCTTGATAAGTTTGGTCGTAATTAAACGGTCAATAAATAGGAAACTAAACAGAAAGAGATAGGTATGTACATGAGATAATGTCACTACAAGCAAAGTGTAATGTATTTTACAATTAGTATTAAGAAAATATCTATTAAAAAAAATCAAAAGATGTAATGTCACTTGTAGCTTCCATTTATAATTTCTTGCTTTGGAGTGAGTATTAGTTAGTCCATAGTTAGTCATTTTTGCTTAGAGTCAAAGCTATACTAAACAACTTTCTTAATAATAATAACACTGAAATTATCAGATTATCCTTTATCAAAAGAAAAGGATGATTCATTGTTAGCGTTCTTCTCTAAATTGATGATTCTATTTATAAGTAACTGTGACATGGTAATGAATTGATGATTCTTGTCTTACTTTACTTGAAATAAAAATGGTATCATGCGTAGGTTTGTTGATCTTAGTGGAATGTTTTAAGTAGGATATGTTGCGGATCGTAGAATGGGATTTCGTTTTAAATGTACCAAAGAATCCATCATTTCAAAGAGCTATATATTAGAAATCCATATTAAAATTGAGAAATTAAATAAATATATGAGTATCGCGTTTTGGTCGTCTTCATGTATACGCTAACGAATGAGATTTGCTTTGTTTCAAAATATGTATTAACAAAGGAGTTCTCTCTAATCTTGTCCAAACAATATAAAACTAATAGTATTAGTTATAGACTTAATTATAGTTAAACCACTAGACCTAAATATGTTGAATAAGGTGTGGGGATGACATCTCTCTGATTGTTATTAAAACTGGAAAAAGGGAAAAGGCCTTTCGACACGATCTCTCTCTCACACACAAAACACACTCTAACTACTTTGACAACTTCGTTACACTAAAAAAGCAATAGCGTGCGTGTAATGATTTTCTTTTCCTTGGCATCAAGTTTTCGTTGTTTATTTTTCTACAACCCACACAAGCATTAACATATGTGCGTGTACCTGAGGTTATGACATTGCAATGCCCATGATACAAACAAATTAGTACGTGTTATATACTCCTTCAAGTTTTCATTGTTAAATTTACTAAAATTATTGGCCATTATTTGGATGAGAGCAATTAATCAGATCAAAAGTTACATTTTAAGTCCAAATCGGATGAAATATATATAGAAGCAGGTTTATATGTTTTTAACAATATGATAGGTCACAATGGCGATTCGTTAGGTGTCATTGTATAGTATAGTTGATATAATTGTTGGATAGTAGCTGTAATTTAAAACGATATGTACTTTGCCAAATTTTTAAAAACATCAAAAGGTATAGAGAAATTCTAACGTTAGGCCTAATATATAACAACACGCATGTATTGTAGTGTGTTTTTAATATTAGCAAGCATGTACGATCCATATCCATTTCTGATGTAAGGGTTCTTTTTTCTATCGTTTATGAATTAATATTATTTGTTTATTAGCCAAGTTTCTTATGATCATGTGACTTGAAGCATACTTCATAGATTATTGACTAATCATGTTTGTTTATTCACTCAAGAGACCAATATTGCTTAGCCCACTTTGAAAGTTATTAAAATATTAAAAACCTTTTTGACGGATAAGTAATAAAGTAATATTAATAGTTTAATACTGTCACCTTTCTACTTTACAGACTTGGAACATCCTTTCCACTTAATCCCAACACATTCTTCTTCAAAAGCTTTGTTCCCTACATTATCACATGTATCTTATGTATTCCTCCTATTGTGTTCCTCTCAAAATAGTTCTCAAGATTGTGAAAAGATAATAACTTGTATTTTTGATACATTCGGCATTGCCTACCAAATATTCAAGGCTTTTCACTTTATATCTAGATAGTGTGTATTTATATCTGTAATAATTATGTCTTACAAAATTCCAGTATATTTCAAATAGTCTTGAACAATTAGCTTCATTAACAAGTGTAATGGAGAAAATACAAATTTGAAAAAGAAAACAAAATTCAAATTTTAGTTGATCCCCGAATAGAAAATTCTCTATATGAAATCATAGTTATTGAGATTATCTGTAGCTCAAAATTCAATATTTACTCGATCATTTGAAATGTGGGTTTTGCACAAAGCATGATACACATGGAGCTAGCGTTGGTACTGTGAAGTAATATAAAATTATTTAGCATAATGAAGTAATTATTTAGTATAATTATCTAATTATGCGTGCCCTTGAATCAAACCAAGATGTGATTTGAAGTACTTGATTTTTGGTTGTTCCCAAGTTGCTTAGAGGTAACGTTTCACAAATTGCACGTCAAAAAGTAAGGAAGGCAGATAAAATAAAAAGATGGAGGAAGAAATTTGAGCACGACTCTTTCAATCTGTTTGGACTTTTCGTTATTGTTTCATATCACTCGTAATGGTAACTTTTTACAGAAACTCAAACAACATCAATCCCTTAACCATTTTGCTACTCTATTAGCCAAAAAACTCACCAATTATATGAACACGTTTTTTCTCCTCTATTTTTATGAGTCTTATTTTGTTTCAAACTTCCATGAAAAGAATTGTATGTAGATCAATATATTCCTATTTTCTACTTTGTTGAAATAATTTTCATACATTATCAAATTTCCATACAATAAGTAGTCTTTAAATGGGTTGTAAAATTCGTAAAAGATAATGTCTAAAAGTCCATAGAAGTTCCATGGAGATCACAACTTCTCTGCTCGCACTCTAATTTGCCCCATCTTGCATCCACTCTCTCGCAAGGGAACACCAATTTTCCCAAACTGCAAGAACAAAAAAAACAAAAAACAGAATTACACATATGGATCGTAAAATTCTTTCATTTCAAATCCTAAAAAAGTTTCAATTCCTTTTTAACTATGCCCCAGTACACGAATGCCCCTCAATAACCTGCTACGCTAACATTACTAATCTTTCAGTTTACCTTCTATTTACGGTGTTGTGTACATGGCAAATCCACTGCGAGAACTCCTCCTGAGATCCAGCTTGCGCAGGATTCGATCTATCATGAATCAAACCAAGAGAGATTGAGTGATCAAAATCCACTTCAGTATGATGCAATGAGCTACAAGATAATTAACATTACCTTAGGATTTCTTTAAAGTGATCCGCACATTCTCTACAAGGGTACATTCGAGAAAGTATCGCCATCTACATAAAAATCATGTTTTAGTATTAGCTTCCACAAAAAGAACATTTGAGACGGCATGTTCTTGTGAATAACTAACCGAAAATGTTTAAGCCTCCCTGTTCATTAATACCAATCTCAGCCTCAGCTAATAAACTGACGTATATAAATTTAAGATAATAAGACTAGGGCAGGAAGAGTTGTACCAGTTCTTTAACATCCTTCTTTTGCTGCCTTGTTGGTTTTTCTGGATACTGATGAGAAAAATAAATTAAAAAATTGATTCAAAATACATACTTGAGTTTAACCAATTCACGGAAATCTACTTGTAAACTAGTAGAGGTGGCATCAATGTGATAAGATTGAAATATGAGAATGACATGAACTCAACCAGAATCCTTTCCTTCGCTCTATAAAACCAATGAACATAAGATCAACCTAAAAACCAAGAACCAAAAGTGCATCAAAGAGCTCTCTCAAACTCTAAACTCTCCTTAAGCCCAAAGGCTAGCCAACAAACAAACAATACCCAAAAACCCCTCTAAGCCAGTTCATCCCTCACGTATCAAAGGAAATTAAATGGATGATAAGTATGGTTAAGATTCAATTATGCAAAGAAGCGTTAATTTGATAAAAACAAAGCAAAATTCAACCTGCGCAGCAAGAGTGTGCAGAAATGTCCAAGTAGCCCTCCCGAGCTCCTCCTTAGTCACAGGACCTGTAGACTTGTCCTGAAAGAAAAATGGGAGTAAGTTTGGTGTAATGGTCACACATGTTCGTATCAACAAAATCTATTGCAACGAAATGAAGACGGGTTCGCATCTTCAAGGTGAAACCTTTCGCAAGAAAACTTTTAAAATGTGGAAGCTTTTCCTGACTAGTAGTTACACTGCTTTCGAAGCATCATATCACAACAGCGTATACCAATTTGCTTCAATACGCGATATCATATGAATAAGAAAAAAAGTATATAACTTTCATTTTAACCATATCGGTAAAAAATCAAAGAGATTTAGAAAAGGTTCATTGGGGAATTTCATCGAACACGTTGGTGGTGATCATACTGGGTTTTAAACGGTCCCAGAAACTAACTGAAATCGGATACTAAGTGAAAGGAAAGTTGGTACCTTGATGGGAAGTTTCTGAAGACTGGAACTATTGGTCGCGATTGGTGGGGAAGAGTCCAATGAGATGGTGGATGACGAACGAGGAGTATTTTTGATGCCGATGAAATTGGAGAGATGAGTTTGGACGCAATTTGATAGTTTCTCGAAGGTCTGGAGAAGAGGCTGCCATGGGTTCTCACCCATTCTTATTTTTTTTTCTCGGTGAAATGAAATCACAGACGAGAAAAAGAAAGAACAATGTAGAGAGAAAGAAATGGTGGAGACTTTGGAGACCGTTGCTTTCTTTTTGTCTGTGAAAAATAAAAAATGAAATCCTAAAATATTAAAGAGAAGAGTGTGTATATATCCTATAATAATGACTCAGAGCATACTCTATTTTTTACATAACAAAGGAAACAGAGCATAAATCTGATTGATTAATTAACTCATGAAACTCTTATTTTTACTTAGAATTATTTTATTAATCATACATGATTATTATTCTGAATTGATATTTAAAAATTACTAGGTTTTTTCTTTTTTTTTTTTATATAATTTTATAAATGATTGGAAATTAGAATATTAAACCACTATAAATTTTCCTTTTTGTTAGTAGATTAATTGTTTGACTTTGATGATTATTTTGTTAGTTTTCCTTTTATAATATTACTTTTTAAATAGGTGAAAAAACTACAATTCGTTTTCACTTTTCAGAACCGGGGCCTCTCTACCGCTACCAATGACGATGGAGATGTTGAGAGATCTTCCAAGGGATTTGGTAGAGGAGGAGATACTGACTCGTGTTCCGGCTACGCATCTGAAGATTGGGATCTACTTGTAAACTATGGAACCGTATGTTTAACGGTGACCGGAGATTCGCTAGAAAGCACAGTGACGAAGCGGCAAAGCAGTTTATGGTTCTGTTGTTGAGGAGGACCTTGAGGATTAGTCCGGCAATCGTCGATCTCGACGGAAAGGTTCCATCTTTAGAGGCAAAACTGAGGTTAGCCTAGTCGATCCGCTTCCCATCCTGCTGCTCAATTCGATGTAGGCAGAGTCTTTCACTGTGACGGCCTCTTGTTATGCACCTCCGCCGACGAATCTAGATTCGTGGTTTGGAACCCATTTACTGGTGAGACCAGGTGGTTCACCCAGCTATCGTGTGACGAAAGACCGCCATTTTGCTCTGGGATACTACAAAGAAGGCAACAATAAGAGGTACAAAGTGTTGAGCTTTTATCATTGGAATGATTTGAAATGTACGAGTTCGGCTCTGATTCGTGGAGGGTTGTTGATGATATCATGGATCCTGGCTGGAATTTGGATACTGTAGTTCAACGTGTCTTTGAAGGGAAGTATGTACGGGTTCGCTGAAGACAAAACAAAAACGCAATCCATCGTGTCCTTGGTCAGATTTGATTTCTCAACAGAGAAATGTGTGCCTGTGCCTCTTCCCTATCAGCGTAGTTTTCTTTATGTTAGGTCTTTCCGTTGTTAAAGACGAGAAACTTTCGGTCTTGTTACAGCTAACATCCAAGACTGAGATATGGGTGACAAATAAGATTGAGACCACCCAAAGCGGTGTCGTGGAGCAAGGTCTTAGCATTCGATATGAGCCCTGGTCTTCAACTTACTTGCGAGGCAAGGTTCTTGCTCGACGACGAGAAGAAAGTCGTCATGATTGCTCTGAATTGATTGACTTTAAGACGAGACCAAAGGCCAGAGACATGATATACATTGTTGGGGAGGACAATGAAGCCACACAAGTGGATTTGGACCAGCGAAGAAGGATGGATTTCGGGCAGATATTCTTCATTATTCTCCGAGTTTGGTTCAAATCGAGCGAGCTGGAGGCAAAAGGAAAAGAGCTGACATGTAATCTCATTCCTTGTTCTTGTCTTTCTATGTCTTTATCTCCAGTGATCAAAGTTGAAGTTTCTCCTTCGTGTGTAACCCTTTGATGTGTGAAGCTTTCTCAAAAGGACCTCATGGAAACCAAACAATAGTCGCATCTTTTTGGTCTGATTTCTTTTTTTATGTTTCTGTTTGGTCAACAAGGTCCATTATAGATTTATAGGTTCGATTTGGTCACAAAACAACTATTTAAGCACACTTCAAAATTCAAAGGGTTGTTTCTCCCCAAGTGTAATGGATTATGCACACTTCAAATGGTTGTAAAATGCCATTACATATCTGTTTTTTTGCACAATTTCAAACGTTTTTCCACTATTACCAAATGAAATTTTACACGTTATAGATCCTTATGAGTTATGATCCCATTGAAAAGTCAATCTGAACAATGAAATATTTACAAATTTTGTCCATTTTATTATCAGAAATCTACAAGTTCCATCTTCTGTTCCAGTTTGATGCCATTAGTTCCCTCGAGTCATCTCCTCTTCCTCAGCCTTAATCCACGCAGCCTGCAAATAAGAGAATGAAAGAAAAAAACAACAAACAGCTTAAACAATTGCTCTTTAGTGAAAACATAGATTTGCTTGTGAATTTGTAACAACAACAGAAAAAACGAACCTTTTCTCTCTCAAGTTTTGACAGACTCGGCCGAATAGAGTTCCCGAGGTCTAAACCACCCCAAGCTTCTTGCATTTCTTTATCCCTCGCTTGTCTTCTGCTTAACAATGGTATTGCTGTCTCCTTCTTCTCGTTTTCAGTCTTCCTTTTTAGCTTATTCACATCCAAGCCTGACTCCCCAAGTCCTAAACCACCCCAAGCTTCTAACATTTCCTTGTCTCTCGCTTGTCGTCTGGTTAAGTTCGGTTTCGTCTCTTCTCCTGAATGCTCGATAACTTCTTCTGTTTTCTTGCTTTCAGGTCTCTTCTGGTTATTGTTCTTTGCTTCCCCAAGACCTAAACCACCCCAAGTTTCTTGTATTTCTCTTTCCCTCACTTGTCGTCTGGTGAGAATCGGCTTTGTCTCTTCTCCTCCCAAGTCTTTCTTTGTTTCCGCCATCTTCATGCTTAGCTTTGGAACATGTTTCACCAGAATTTTGTCCAGACTCTCATAATCTGCTTCTTTTCTCTTCTGGATCCTCCGGTTTCCATAAACTGCTTCTGATGCAACCTTTTCTTTATCCAACCCGTGAACCGGCTTGAGCAAGATCTTGTCTAGGCTTTCCTCTTGATCCTCAGGTTTCTTGTTCAAGTCTACATTTTCTTTTCCCGGTTGCTCTGTCAACGAACAAGAACTTTTCAAATTTCTCTTCTTTGCTTCTTGGACTTCTTTCTCTAGCTTGGAGACATGTTTCACCATACAACTCTCCAGGCCGGGTACTTCAGTATCTTCTTTTCCTGGTTTCTTCACGTTCTCATACATTTGCCCGCAGTTCCTTATTGTTTCTTCAACTTCCTTCTCCAGTCTTGAAACATGCTTTTTCACTAGCAAGCTTTCCAAGTCTGGGATAGGATCCAACGACGTTTTGTTCCTGCTTGAGCTCTTTTGATTCACTCCTGCATTCTTCTTGGCTTCTTCGATCTCCTTCTCAAGCCTTGAAGAACGTTTCACAAGGATGCTTCCCAAATCTGGAACAGTTTCACTTGCAACACCTTGAGGAGCCTTTCTCTCTTTCTCTGATACCTCCTTTGAAGCCCTTTTAGCTTCATAGACTTCTCTTTCAAGCTTGGTCATTTGCTTGACTAGATACTTGTCCAAACTCGGAAGCTGCGACTCGTTTCCACTCGTTGCGTTTCCTTCATCGAAAGACCCAAATTTAGAATCTCTTCTCGTTGGCTCGATGTTTGTGGTCTGCAGCCTCTGGCTACCAACTTCAGCCAAGGCCTCACTTAAACCACAAGTTGCAACAATAGAGGCAAGACTTGAGAGTTGATCTTCATGTAAACCCTGAAGCCTCTCAAGCATCATATCCACTATCTTCTCCCTGCTAAACTTCCCAAACGACTGCCGCCTCTTGACTTTAAGCTGTCTCTTTTTGAAATACGAAGTCTCCTCCTCACATTCTTCATCAACCTTGTCAAGAACGTCGAGTTCAGAATCAGACTCTGTGTCACATTCTGAAGACATCTCACTGATTTCATGGTTATCACGCAGGTCAGGATTCTCACTGATTTTCCTGAGAAGATCTTTAATCTCGGCTTTACTGAGAGTGGGGCAATTCGCAAGCTTAGCAAATGCGGTTTTAACAGCGGCTGCTACTTCTTTATCCACATCAAACGCAGTTTCGAAAGACGCTGTCACCGTATGAGTAGGAGATCCTCCTCCACGCGTCCCTGACGTTTGAATCCGATACTGTTTCCTCGAGCTACTCGGTTTATCATGCATGATCACTCCCAACGCAGACGCCGCTTCAAAAGCTTCCACCGCAGACTTTTCAGCATTCTCCATCACAGTTTCTGCTTCTAAACTCGGAATCCTAACAACCAAGAACAGAACCATAGTCAAGAATCAACAGAGGCACCACAAAAATATAATCTTGCTGGAGAATAAAAGTTACCTAGCAGCTCGGAGTATTCTACACCAGGAAGCTTCAACGAGAGCAGCCTTACGGAGCTCCATGGCCTTGCCTGCAGCTTCTCTCACAGCCATTTGCTCTCTAACAATCTTGCAGTAGTGTGGATTTGAGTCGCCGAGTGTCTCATCAAGAGTCTGATTCATTCCACCAACCTCCTATACACACAAACAACACCTTTCAATAATTCCAGAGCTGACATAGTGACGTTGTGATAGAATTGGAATGAAACTTTTATTTACCTGTAGCTTCTTTATTTTCCGGTTCAAGTATGAATCCCCCTTTCTGCGCGGGAACCAGCCAAGCGGCGAGGTTTTCCGTTGAGCGGACCTCTTTGATTGTGATCTTCTAAGAGCTGAGTTCTCTCTTGGTGATGATTTATTCTGCATTTTCTCCAGAGATCGGCGATTTTAAAATCAGAACGAATTTCTTAGAGCTAAAGCAGAGAAATAGATTCAATTTTCGTGCACTAGATTCAATTTCAATGGCCTAAACTACCAAACCCTAATTTAGACTCGACAGGGGAAAAAAAACTCAATCCGAACATGAGACGGGACAAAATGGATTACCAGGGACGAAATTAGATCTCGGAACTAAAGAAATGGAAAATTACCTGCCCAGATTTCGAGGCGGAAGATGGAAATTCGAGAGGATCGCCGCTTTTCTTATCAGAGACTGAAAGACATCCTAAATCCAAGCAACCGAGATCCATGGCGGATTTTATCATATTCTAATTAATTGTTGTATCAAATTTTAGCGAATGAGATTCAGAAGTGCGAAAATCTTTGGAGAAGAGAAAATACGGTTCGATTTTAGAGAGAGTGAGAGAGAAGATGAGAGAGGAGAAGTGAGATTATCTTTCTCTTTCTTTTTTGAGGGAAATATACAAATCGGGAAGTAGCCGTTACGAAGGGTCCGGACTCCGGTATATGACTTTCTTTTTTCCTCTCTCGCTGCTTTTTTCTCGCAACGGTTCGTTTTGGGGGGCGTAGAGAACGCTTTGCCGTTTCGTTTAGTGTGAGTAGAGAACACTTTGCCGTTTCTCAGAAGGTCATAAATTAGTGGGCTTCACTTGAAAAGCCCAAAACAAATTGTTCATATTGTCTACTTCACACGACACCGTTTTGAAGATGTCTTCCACCTCGACATCTGAGATTCCGACAACAAAGAGTGGGATGACTTCACCACGCAGATCAACTATTTTCACTGCAGTTTCCTTTTACTTTTCCTTGCAGTTTCTCTCTCCCTCCCTCCTTATCTTCTTCTTCATCCTTTCTGTATTTCTTCTGAGATTTAACGAAAGTAGGTGAATCAGTGCATGACGAGCGCATCGGAACTCTTCTCCACTCGAAGATCGCGTCCGGTTAGACCCGAGCCGGTTTTAGAATCCGACTCTTCTCTTAATCGATACCATCATCGCCGTCACCACGGAATCCATCATCATAATCACCGCCATGACTCCGACGGTTTTGAACCTCTCCGCCGAGCCCCGCCTCGTCTCCGTCGCTTCTGTCACTACCTTGGTCTCCCGGTTAGTTCTCCTTCAAATTGTAATTTCAGTAGTTCATTAGAAATTCCTGCCTAATTTGTCAATTTGAAAAATTGAAAAATCCCCCCAGGAACGAAGACCGGTTCGTGATGTTCAAGGCACTGCACAGAATTTGAATACGAGCAGTGCTGATTCGGAAACTGAAAGCAACAGCTTTGGTAACCTAAATGGATCCGACAGGCTTCCTGGTTCTGTTCTGCTCGCAAGGGAAAGACTTTTCGAAAGATTGAGAGGTGTTTCTTTGTCTAGTAACAGGTCTGTTCCTTAATTTGGTGGAAAATTCGACACTGTGACTTTAGACTTTCCTAAGATAATTGCTTTTGTCTGATCAAGATCCTTAGAAAGCATGTTTTTGATTTGCTATCGATACTATAACTGAATTTCTATCAATTTCGTTTCTTATTTATTAATTCAGTCGAAGCAACAGAGTTTCATTGGGAGATGATCAAAGGGAGTCCTCATTTTATGCCGGAGATGGAGTTTCGTTCTACGGAGATCCATATTTTCAACTAGAAGGGCTTCATCTGTCCAATGAATGCAACAAGAAACCACAAGGTCTCACAGAAGGTGCCATTAACGGTTTAAATCAGGAAACTTTTAGCGCGGCCGATGTTAAAACCGAGATGAGAGATTGTAGCATATGTTTAGAGAGTTTCACTATTGGCGACATACTCATATCCTTACCATGTGCACATAGCTTCCACTCTTCCTGCTTAAACCCTTGGCTTAAAGCTTGTGGAGATTGCCCTTATTGCCGTAGAGCCATAGCCAAGGAATAATAAGCACTTGTAGATAGAATCTTTACCTAACCACACCCACGTTCTTCTTCTTCTTGCTCTAGACAAACTTAAATGTGGTCTTCGAGTTTTGTAACCCTTTTGAGATGTTTTTTTCTGTCACATGTTTATATTTTTGTATCGGTATTTGTGTGTGCCATTGGGGGAGTTGCAAACGTTTGACATTGTAGTGTTTGTTTTCTTCTTCTTCTCTATGTGAATCTTTTTAGTTTCTTCACTGTTGTTATCAAAGACTTTCTCCAAATCTTGATCCCATTAATCTTTTTTTGTTTTGAGGTTATAGCTCGACAACTTGACGTTTCCAGATATTTTTTCATTGTCTCAATCCGGAAATGTTTAAGCTTTGTTGCCTCCATAACAATGTCATTATCATACATCCATGTATGTTGCATATGTCAAAGTCTGAATGTATAAAAGATGCAACCAATGTATAACTTCAAAAGAAAGCTAATGATAAAAAGAGAAAGACAGTTGAGCACAAAGCATGGACATGGACCCCTTTTCTTTAGTATCATCATCATCATCTTCAATTCATATCAATCACTTTCTCTATTGCCTTATTGGTACCGAACACAACTCACTAACCACTAAATTAACGATACACACTATTTGTAATGTCTTGAATTTTTCAATATCATATCACTTTCATGCATCAACAACATTCGATCTAATATGATTCAAACTCAAAAATAACTTGGATCGGTTAAGTTCGGTTCTTAAACCAAAGTAAACCAAGACAGATAACTTCACGAACTAACTTTCCATTGAAATCAAACTCAACATGTAAGCAGCAATTCTCCTTCTCTTGCCGCCAACATGTTTGCAAATCACCTTGCTCAAAAATATTGAAGGTGACAAATCAAAAAACAACAAACAAACCGAAATCGAAAATAGAAACAATCGTGTAATCAAACTCCTACCTAATATGTGAGCTGCTAAACGAAAGGTGTGTGTTAGTTTGATTTCAAGGCTTGACTCATTGTTACCAGCATAACTACTATGCACATGTTGCCTCTCTTCCTTCTACCAAACTCAAACATCGATATGCCAAACCGGGTTCTCGCCAAACCGACCTTTCTCCAATGCTGCAACTTTAGCTCTACGAGCCGTCGCAGCCAACGCAACCGAGCTCTTCCCTTTCTCCTCTTGTTCCGGGTACTCGCAGGACTCGCTTCGTGAGCTAGACCTAAGATCAGCCGGCGGGATGAAGCAATCTCGAGACAAACCGGGAACATTGAAAGCGACTTCTTCAATGGTCCATCTCTCTTCCATCTTCGTCCTAGTGTGACTCATCGCTACTTCCCCAAATCTAAAGAGTGTGACAACAGAGCGTCCAGAGTGAGCAATCATGATCCCTTCGACTTGTTTGTAATCCTCTAGAGACGAATTGATCGTCGTCTCCCAGTAAACAGCATCACCACCGTTGGATTGAATCCGAGTCAACTGAGAATCCTCGATCTGAGCTAAAAGTCCCGTCCTTTGGCTGAAGTAACCAAAGAGAATGTGTCTTACGATCTCCGCTGGTCCTTCACTCCTCGCCTTTAAGGTTTCAGGGTCAGTGCTTAGCTTCAGAATGAAACAATCTTCACCATTCACTTTCTTCTCTCCAACACACTTCGACGCAGCAAACATTGTAGCAGTAGTACTCGGATCAAGCCCCTGATTTGATCATTCAACATAAACATCAGCATTTGGATTGATTACAAAATTAACACTTTACGGTTTAGGGGTTTGGTTTAACCTGAAGTGCACGGCGAAGAGGCCTGACCGGTCCTTTAGCAGTATGAGAACCGAGCCAAGGAGTGTGTCGCCACACGAGCTTGCCATTGCAGCCAGCACGAACTTTGCTACCGCCAACGGAGAGCTCAACGTACCACATGTCTGGATTCATCTGCCAGAGAACGAACCCTCCGGTTTCCGACTTTGTAGGGTTTCGATTCCGAACTGTTCTTGTGGGAGTTTCGAGCTCTGAAGTTATCATCTTGAGCTTCCCCATAGCGTAAGCGTTTTTAATGGAGCTTTGGAACTTCTGACCGCCGCAAGCCGCCGTGTACTGTTGCAGTATGTATTGAGCAGATGAAGTTTCCTGCAAGAAAATCTAAATCAGTGACACAATCCACACAAATGGAAACAAAAATTTATTTTTTCTAAGTAACTAATGTAATTAATCAAAATCCCCACCAGATAATGACAACACTCCACCAACCAATCCAAAAATCAGACAATTTTTTTAAAGAAATTCGAATAGAATAATCATCACGGAGATTCCAAACAAAACAAAAAAAATTGAATCGAAAATGTGGACCAGCGAGATCTGGAGTCAATCGAAAATGTTTCTAATTAAAATTTAAAACCAGTTGAAATTTGTTGAAACCCTACAAAATTTGGAATCGAATTAGGAATTATCTGAGACTAACAATGGTAGAATCTCTGAGTGTGAGGTGGAGGAGATGATCGGAGGAAGAGACGTGAATGGGAGCGAGAGGAGCTCCCAAGACGCCGAGAAGCACTCTCAAATCGGACCTCCGATGAGCGGACGTGGAAGCCACGGAGGGAGCACGTGACAGCTGACCTTTCACCCAGTGACCTAGACCCGACCCGGGACGTTTCGAATCCCCTGAAACTACGCTTCCACTTCCGTTTCCGTCGTTATCGTCCGGATCAGGACCTTCCATTACGGGTCTTAAGCTCCCGGATCTTCCAATCAACGGCTCCGGTTGCGTCGCTAGGTAATATCCGCTGCTGCCGCCGCCGCTGCAGCCGGAGCTTGCGATTAGTTTCTTCCGGCCCCAGAGAAGAGCTGACATGTGCGAATTCGAGCGGGATGGGCTCGCGGAGCGAGAACGCTGTGGTCTGGAGCGAGAAGGTGAAAGGCCTCTCACGACTTCGTCTCGTAGTGATGAGAAGAATCCTTGTTTCTTTTCCATTTCTGTGGAGTTTGATTTAGCCATACTTCTTCTTCTTCTTCGTCCTCGTAACTGAAATAAATAGGAACAGAGACGCCGGAGAACGAGAGAGAGACTGGAGGGAGAAGACGGAGAGGAGAGAGAAAGATATAGAGAGAGAGAGGGTTTTAAGGAGGCGAGTGAGTGAAGAAGCGAGCGAGAGAGTAGTAGAGAGAGAGAAATGATTTTCTCGTTTAAACGGAAATGACTATTTTGCCCTCTAATTGCTGAAACAAATTAGTTGCTAATTTACGGGGGAAAGAAAATGACGTTATTGAAAAGAAAACGCGTTCTCTGACACTTAACGCGACTGTGTTAGACAGACAAGTGGCGATTTTGCCATTTCGTTCTAAAGTCGCGATCTTTTATCAGTTTTGGGTGAAAAGCGTCAAATCGAGAGTAGAAGAAAAAAAGAAATGTAGGTAAATTTGTAAAGAACACTGTATAAACAGAAAAGAATTTTATTAAATATATACTATATCATCATAGAGACTATGATCGATTCTTTTCCGCCTTTTTAACCGAGGTTCAGTTTAGGGTTTTGTTGCTATATAAACCGAACCAAATGAAACAGATTCTGGTTTGGTTTGGATTTGTTTGGTTCAGTTAAAATGATATCACACTACTCCAAAGTTCAAAAAATGCATTACTGACAAAACTGGAGGACTTCCACTAACAAAGCAAAACCATGTCCATAAGTTATCGAAGTAAGAATGTGAATTTCAGAGAAACTTTAACATCATCAGCTTACACTTCCACTCTATAAACTTAGATAATCAGAGAAGCTGAGGGTACAAACGCTCGGGCCATTTGGGATAAGCTCTCTTGTACAAGTTCATGCACACAATGTCATGTTGCATCACCACTCCATTGAATATACATTTCATTGCCCCTGTGCACGGTCCACACATGTATAAGCAAAAGATTCTAGAAAACCAAACTCAAATCTCTCTTCTACATAATAATAACAATCATGTCTCTTACCATGTGTACCCACTGGCTCCTTCACGCGACCGCGACGCCCACATTTTGACCATATTTCAACAGGCTGCATATACACACACAAAAGTTCCATCAATCCCAAAGCTTTTAGTTTTCTGTCTTTATATTAGAACATACAAAAATCTTTCAAGTTTCTACTTTTCCTTACCTTAAACCATCTCACGTCTTCCGGGTTATGGAACATATATTTCACTGATGCTTTCATTTTTGATACCTTCTGTGGATACCTGAACCAAGCCACATTCAAAAACTGGTTAGAAACTACTTTAAACTAGACTTCTTCGTGTATATGGAAAGTGAAAGGTAAATAAGTTTTTACCCAGTTAGTATTATCTTCTTCAAAATTATTTTGTTGGGCTCAATGCTTTTCAAGGAACCAAGAGCAGCAACGGCAGGAGCATCTGACCCTTCAGAAATCTTCAGAACTACCAAAGGAAGAGATGGGAATGAGATTGGACCGTATGCTGAAGCGAGTGAGAAACACCCCGGATGCAGAAATCTCTCCATCTTGTGCTTGTCTGAGCTGAAATTGTCGGTTGAAAACACCGGCCTGGATATTTCCCCCACACCATTAGTATTAAAGATTGCAAACAAGAAAAGATATCAAAGTAGATGAAATTGCTACCTTGCAACGAATTGACGGAAACCAACATGGAACATAAGCTCTTCTTTTGTTTTGATAGGAGCTTCGTAACCATCATACTTCTTTACGCTGCAGAACATAAGTTAAAGAGTGATGAGAAGTTAGCTGAGAAAACAGGGTCATAATAAGTTAATAACAAGCAAAAATATAAACAGTGAGATGGTTGATTACCTAAAGTGCAGAACCGACATCTTGGATTCGTGCTGTAAAAGACCAAATCCTATAATGGGTTTCGTGCTCACAAGGGAGGATAGTTTGGAGGCAGCTACAAGAGGCACTTCCTTAATATGCAGACGTACATATGACCCAGTTGCTATGCAATCATCTCTGTCCTCTTCTTCCATCTTCTGGGCTTGCTTGAACACCAGCTTTTGAGTCCTAGCGACCTTATCAAAAGCAAAAATTCTGGCATAGTCCTGAGGTAGAGACTCCTGTATTTGCCAACAAATAATAAAAGTTAGCAACACTTTACAGTTAAAAGGAAAGTAACGAGCTTCACATCAAGATCAGTGTTAATACGTTTGGATCCCACGAGGAAGTTCTGAAGGATTTGAGACCCCTGTACTTTGCAAAACGCTTTCTTGCAGGCTGATCAGTGGGAGTGTCTACTTCATCAGGAAATTCTGAAGAAGAAAATATATAAACTTTTAATTCACTTGCTGTAATCTTTATGAGAAAATAAAAGGACGACAAAATCAATGAGCACTTGGGAGATTCAGACACTCTACAATGACTCAAATGAATATATGTGAACATACACAAATAAACATGATGACTTCATACAGGATATAACTTCACATAAGTAAAAAAAAATACTAACCTTCATCCTCAGCATGCGCCTCTTTGATTTTCTTCATTTCATCCTCATATTGTTCCCTTGTCAAGTTTTCATCATCCTAAACAATGAGCAGGGTTGGCTTACAACTTTATCAAGATATACTCGATCATAATAAAAATGCAGTGAAGCTACAAATACTGATTCGTAAGTCAGAAGAGTAAATGGAGAAAATGATTACCATCATCTCAGAGTCATTATGAGTTTCATTATCCCGCAAGATCAATGTTTCTCTATCATCCTCAAAATCTTGGTCTTGGTTGGAATAATGATCCTCTCCTCTATCCAATACCATACCATCGTCATCGGAATCACCATTATCCGAACCTTCTTCATCTGATTCATCCACAATCCAAGCAGCCTGGAAATCAAATCATAAACAACCAAAAATAAGAGGACAAACGAATAATATATATTGTGGAGGACAATTGCAACAGAGACAGGAATAGTTAAAGTGAGGCTAAAAGCATCAGGTTAAAAATCATCCAGAAACCTGATATTCTGAAGTCCCTCGTGGCAAAGCCCTCTTCTTTGGCTTTCCCTGTTTCTGATTTCTTTCAGCCTCCGCCATTTCTTCCTCATTTGGCCATGTCTACAAAATTGGAGCATCACACAACATACGACTTCTCAGAACAGATTACAACACAAGCAAAACTGCCCTCTCTTAAGTTAAAGAACTAATCAGACTTACCTGTTCCCCTGCTAAAGGATCTGGAGTGTTTTCAACTACTAAAGGCTCTTGTTTTGTGGGATCAGGATCCAAAGACCTCAATACCTGATCGATTCAAAAACGGGTAAAAAATAAAAAAGTTCAACTCAATGCATCTTTTACGAAAAAGACTAAAACTCTAAACGTTTATCGATTAGTTACAGAAATGATCATATACCTCCTCATCATGCAAATCATCTAATTCCATGGAATTCTGTTTTTTCCTTTCATTCAATGGAAATGGGTCCTTCACGACTTCAACTTTTGAAAGCTGAAAATCACCAACGCCGGAAACATGGACCTAGTTGAAGGAAAACAATTTTACGTGATCAAACATGGGTATAGCACAAGGCATGACAGAGAGAAAGAGTAGAATGGCTTGATTACCAGCTGATTTACAGAAAGTTTGCGAGCACGCAAGTAACCAGAGAGAAGCAAAGTGCATTTTCCTGAACTTTCATCATCCACCAGCATCCCAACCTAAATGCACCATTCACAATTATCGAGATATGTTACTTTTTCGAAACCGTTTTCTGCTTCTCAGTCAAATGAGATGTTATGAATATAAGCATAAAACAAGCACCTTATGAGCCACAATATATGGACGTTGACTTCGCCAGTGAGGTACAGTAAGCCTTTGTGCCTTGAATAACCACATAAACTGCAAACACACCCAGAGTTATAGATTGGCATCATCTTACCTTAGCTCTAGGTTAAGTTGGAGACATTAAATCTACTAGTATACCTTATGCAACTCATCTCTGGTATCTGCTGGATAAAACTTACAATCCTCAGGAAACTCAGAAGCAAGTTGAGAGGCACATATCTTTTTCAGCTCATTTTTCTTTTTCATCTCAGTGGGTAGATCCTGTAACCAAGAAACACGAATTCAAGAAGCTAAGGTTGAAGCAAAGTTTGAGAGATCAGAGACCTGGTAAACCAATTGCAGCAAGAACTTACACGAATCAACACAGTGGTACTTGGTAGACCAATTGACCTAAGCACAGAAAGACACTGTCTTCCGAATGAATCTATAAAGTCAGAGGTATTCTCTTCCAACAGAGAGTTTCCAGATGCAACAAACGCCATCAAATCAGCAACCTATTACCAGTAAGAAATAACTAAGTTAGCACCTATGCCAAACACTGCTCACTGAAAGAACCAACAAGCGCATGCGTTAAAATTTCACATGCCTTGGCCATTTCCATGCATGTCAGAAGATCCCCATGAGGTGCCTTTAACACCTGTGACACATTCAGAGCATGTATTAGAATGTACTAAACGAAAAAAAACAATTGTAGCTCCAACAAATGTTGTAATGGAATGGCACATACTGTTGCTCTCAGCTTATACTCAGAAGATGCAGCTGTTGAAGAAGTAGAAGAAGTGACTCCAGAATCACCATCAGTAGTAGATAATAGCTTTAAAACATCTTCCCCAAGTGAATTCAAATCCACGGAAGCAGATAGAGGAAACAAGACCTATCATCATAAAATGAATTTAATTTCCAATCATATCAAAACTTATAATCTTCCTGAGATTAGCACAAAAAAGGTTCAAATAAACTCACGATAACACGAGGAGCACTGTTTATTCCACCTGAAGCTCTCTTCTCCTTCAAAACCGCAGCTCTTTTCTGCTCTCTGAGCTAAAATTCGTGAAGAAAAAACAAAAAAAGAGAGAAATTTCATATATTGCAGAGTCGCAAATAAATGGAGCTGAAGAAGGAGAAATCACCATCTTGCCACGCTGAAGACGAGCAGCTTTAGCACCTTTGACATGGTTACTATCCGATTTACCAATCCGGCCGCTATCTGATACAATTAGGGAAAAAAAGGTGAGATTTTTCAGTTATTTGAATATCGAATTAGACGAAATCGCGGTGGGTGATTAAGATTAAGGTTACCTTGGGAGGTTCTGTGGAGATTGCGAGACGATTTAGAGGAGAAACGAGTTTTGTGAGCCTTATTGACTTGAACTCGTGAGTGTCCCATGGCTTTCCTGCTTCGATTTGTGATTGCAAACGAGAGGAGTGTTCGTCTTTGAAGTTATTTTTTTTTTGCGGCGTGTTTGTTTCAAAGTTTAAACCCTAAAATGTCTGATTTTCCATTTTGCTTTCCTTCAGGGTTTTTGGCTTTTTGCCTTCTTTTTTAATTTTGGTTCAAAATTTTGACTATATATTAGATGAATTGATCTACAAATGGGCATCTTGAAGCCCATTAAGGGTTAGATAACTATATTAGACTAGAGAGAAACAAAATCAGTGATAAATAATGTTTGCACTTTGCAGATACTAATCGAGACTATGAAAATGTGAAGAACTTAACAAACACAAATTTCTAAAACTTGGAACCTATTGAGTCGAACTCAAATGCTGTATTCAAATCTCTCAAGTTAAGCTTTATACCGATTATGCTTAATTGGTATTACACAAATTTAAATATTTATATTGTTTCCAACGATTCCTAGTCTAAGCTAGTTCCACTTATAGCTCTCACTCGAGCGTGAATCTTTAAAACAAAGAACGCTCACCTTTTAGCTTCTATTCACTTGAAAGCTTCAAGGTTCAGTACACAGTCTCTCAACTTGTTGTTATTTTGGGCAAATAACGTAGCTGTGAAACAAACGCAGTTATGACTTAATAAACACCCTGTTCGTCTATGTCATTGTTATGTATCGTAAACCTAAGCCTTCAATGAAACTCAACTGTGTAACTATTATGCATGCAACTCTCTTTCACCCACGTGTTTCACTCTTATTCGCACGTGTCTAACTTTTCCCTCTTTTTATTGTAAGGTGAAAACAAATTCACGAGTTACACTCGTGATGAGACATTACTTCGATGAGTATTTTTTTTCTTATTAGGATGAGATTACGAATTTACGACCAGTAGGTTGTTAAAATTTGTAAGGAGCTTGTGGATGTCATATTGAGCTTTCAGTTTTATAATACTTCTTTGTTTAGTTAAATTTGTGGGATATTCCATTAGTTGATCAAATTTCCGGAAAGAGAAAAAGAAAAGCAGCAGTTACGAAACATCATTTCGTGTAAAACCAACAGTGTCCTTGTCTTCGAGTCAAGTCTCTTCAAAATTTTCTAAACTTCATTGTTACTCCTAGTAACCAAATACTGTATTTAGTAATAGTATGTATTGCCTTGGGATAACTTAGTTTATCAAGAGGATGTAATATCTTTTAGTTCATAAACTACAAGATAATACTACAGTTTATCTAATATCACATTCTTTTTTTGTGATTGCCATCTAATATCTTAATGACAGAATATAGCCTTATTTCGGTTTTTGCCGTTATAATACATTTATGGACACTTTTTTCTTCTGGTTTCTCTTAGACCCACTTTATATATCCATCAACTTCAGGAACGAGCTTAAGAAAGAGAGAGAGAGAGAGAGAGAGAGAGAGAGAGAGAGAAAAAAAAACAATATTATTTACGATGAGAGGCACTACGGATGAAGAAGATGGAGTCACGAGCGTCTCTGATGTTGTTATGCTGTCTGAAGACGTCCTCATATCCGGAGAAGATGGAGAAGACAGTTTTGGTTTCGGATTCACTGGTGAAGATTATCCTCACATGCTCTGTTTCAGCGGAGGAAACGACGTCGGTTTGCTCTTCCAAGAACCCTCCTCTGCTTCTTGCAAAGACTCTACTGCTTCTCCAGTATCTTCACTCAATAACATTTGCACCGTCGATGATAAACCTTCTAGATCCAATGTAAGCTTTTTCTATAGAAAGAAGCATTTATGCAATTAGTTTATTTTATTTTTTTTTTGTCAACAATTAGTTTCATTCAACATTTAACATTCAAGAGTCAAGTTAATAACTGGTTTCCGTAATTTAAGCAAAATAAAGCTTATTATCTTTGCATGCAATGATGCAAATAATCTGATCAATTATCTTTTTTTCTTTCTCAGATTTCTGTTAACAAATTTCTGTTTTATTGAGTTTTGCTATGAATGTATATTTTCTTAGAAGAAGATAACCAGGTTGGGTGATGGGCAAAACCGGGTGTGCGATTCAAAACCCGGAAAGAGATGCAAGCGAGATCAGAAGAAGTCATCGGTTGAGAATGCTAAGGTTTGGCTTATGAATAAATATCTATACTAATGCCTATTCTTAACCTCAAAAACATACACTGTTTGCCTGAGTACTAGTAATCCCAGTAATTAACAATGTTATTTATAAATAGGTTAAGAAAGTAAAGGTAGGTGAAAAAATCACAGCGTTGCAGCAGTTGGTTTCTCCATATGGCAAGGTGATTTACTAACCAAGTTAATTTCTGCTTTTTTGTTTTGTTTGTGTTGGTTTCTTACACCTCTTCAAAACATGAAAATTTAATAAGTTAGGAAGTATTGTTTTAGGATCTTACATGACCTATATTTGTATTGGTTGTTTTACAGAACTTATAAAGTCTTCGATAAGTAATCCAAAGATTCCAAACCCTCAATTAGTTAACATTCTTTGTTTTTTTACGACGACTATCAGTTCATTCTAAATTAAGAAAAGTTGTGAAAATTGTGAATAGACAGATACAGCATCAGTGTTGCATGAAACAATGGGTTACATAAAGTTCTTACAAGACCAAGTTCAAGTCCTTTCCTCTCCATATTTCTCCAAACATCAACCTCTTGTAAGTCTTCTTCTGTGTTCTCTCATCTATTGATTGTTACTTAGCTTTATTTATCAACAAAATAAAATAAAAAACTTTTCCACGATTTGAAACCACTGTTTAAAGCTTAAAAGACGACTATTCTGACGGTACGGTGACTTATGAATAGTTGATGTGTCTTCAGGACGACGAAGACAACGGAGACGTAAGCCCGACGATTAAAGTCAAGGAGTTGAAAAGCAATGGTTTATGTCTTGTACCATTAGCCTGGACCGAACACGTGGCGAATACCAACGGTGCTGATCTATGGTCACCTTCTATCTTGTCACCGACAATGAATCACTCCTAAATTGCCGAAGCAAAATATCATTTCAAAGTGAAAAACCTTTCCAAAGTTTCACTCTTCTTTTAGTTCATTTTGAATCACAAGTGTTGTAGCGCCTTTCTCTCGCTACTCCACAGTGACATATGGACCTATTAAAGTGAGTCGATTTAGATACAAATCCTACAGAGATTAGGAAAGTATCTTACTTGGTTAACCAATGATCTTTTGTGTATAAAAACCATTGTGTAAAGTGGCATTGAAATTGAATAATCTTGAATCGTCGTCTTTCCTCTCTGTTCAGCTATGCCTTAAATTCAAAATTTAAAATGGCCCATGCAGGTTTCGAAACATGGTACTTTACAAGTTCTATGTTGATCTTCCGGAGAAACATGCATGAATAAGGAATTTATTGTGGATGTATGATCTATCGTATGGAGGAGAAAACGGTTTCAGTAAGAAGTTTGTAAACACAAAGGTTGATTACCAAATCAAAATGATAAACATTTCATTTTTATGTTATTAAAAAAATGTGGGAACTTTCTTGGCAATAACAAGCAAACTCCAAGATCAAACTCGCAGAGCAACAAACTCTCAACTTTCAACAAACACTTTTTGTTTCAGGACAAGAACACAAAAAAGGAAAGGTCTCAGCTTTGTTGTTGAATAGCTGAAACAACTTCACCGATACTCTTAAACTTTCTCCTTTCCTTGAGAAGCATTTTCGCAAACTCGAGCGCATTCCTCTCGCAGACCGCTCTTCGTTTATCTTCCTCGATCGATTCAAAGTCCTCCACATGAGCTACACCCACAATTCTCCTGTCATATCCAAAAACCAAAACTCAGAACATTGTTTACATGATCAAGAATCGCAATGGATGCCAATATAACTACACCATTCTCTCACCTAATCATTTTCGCAGCACCGAATCCGAGCGAGTCATGCAACAGATTCCTCATGTAGTTTTCTCGCACAAGCTTCAAAACCTCAACATTGTTATAGATATCCGCAAGGTATGCTTCTCCAGCTCCATCTTTGTTTTGATCCCATAGCGCAACGAACTTCTTGTTAAACAGATTCCATGTTTGCTCAATGGTTCTCAATATCCACTTCTTGTAATCCTGCATTGCGGAGTTATGTTGCTTTAACCTCTAAACCAATGTACTTGCAACCAAGAAAAGCGAATTCTGAACAAATGTTGCTTACTTTCCGATCATTTCCCTCAGCAGCGTGTCCATCTTGTGCAAAGAAAGCCAGTATCAAGTTACCGAGATAAGCACCAATATCGAAACCCATCGGTCCATAGAAAGAAAACTCAGGATCTATAACTTGAGTTGAGTCTTGCGTAACCATGACAGAGCCAGTGTGAAGATCACCATGTATTAAAGCTTGAGCTCTTTCACAGAACCTAATACACAAAGGTGGTTTAGAAGCAAGCAAATTGTAATGTAAAAAAGTCCTCTGGAAATGGTGGCGAAGAACATACATGGACTTAAGCTCTGCGATTTCGAGCTTCAAAGTACTATCTTCACGCACAGCCTTAGCATCATCATCAAGAAAAGGTGAAGTCCAACGGTTAAACGTGGACACTCTATATGGATCAGAGAACACAACTTGCTCCGTTAATCGGCATAACTCCACATTACCACAAAACTCAGTAACTACACAGAACAACAAAACATTCAGGTCATGTTGAGTGATTCATCAATCTATATTGATTGCAGTTTCATTATAAAGCTCTGGTTTAGAACCTGCTCTTCTGTGCTCTGTGGTATCATGATAGAGGAGTGAAGTGAAGAAGAGAGTCTTCGCCATGTAATCGGACATGTGTTCTGCGAGGAATGGATACTCAATTCCAGCAACGAGTCCTTTGCGGAGGATGATATGAGGAGGCTCAAGGTATCTCATTCCGATCAAAGCCATTGTTCTGTCAAAATGGTAGACTTCAGGAACATGATCCGGTGATAAAGCTCCGTGCTTTCTCAGAGTTGTTGCTTCAAAATAAGCTCTTTCTTTCGTCATTGGCCATGATTCCCCAATACAGCGAATATACGGAAGCGCCTGTACAGAGATAAAAGATCATAATCAACAATCAAACAATCTGATTCCTTGAAAAATCAAAGCTTGTTCATTTCCATGGAAGTCAATGAGCAATATTATCTAGATTGAAGCTATGGCAGATGAAGACACAACCTTTGAAATGTGTGAAGGCAAAAATGAATCATTTCGAGCTACAAAATTAGGCCAAAGATACCAACTTTCAGAAAAACAGAGACGGATACTGATAGGATTTGAGCTCAAACACCCATCACTGAAAAGCTATAAATCGATTCCATTTACAAAAGATAAACCCTAATTCCTAATCTGATACTTAGCAATAGATACTAACCAGAGTTTTAGCTGAAACAAAGAGATACGAATCTCTTAAGCTTAAGGTGAAATAGAAGCGAAGTTGATTAGAACCTGTTTGATGACAAGTGAGCCAGTGGATCCGGCAACGATGAAAACGAAATTGAGATTGCCATCTCCGACTTCCTTGATAACCAATTCCTCGTACTTGTCTCCGATCCTGGAGGAGAGAGCAGGCGTTGCCTTTATGTAATCTACGAGAGACTTCTCGTTTAGTGGCTTAAACTCCTCAAACGACATCTTTTGTTCTCTGCTTCAGTTTCAAGCAGCGTTGAGAGAGAGAGAAAGAGAGATGGAGAGAGAATTATTGTGCTGCTAAATATAAAGGTTCGATTTTTCTCAAAGATTCTTCATTTGGTTTGTGTTTCCCATTTTTCTTTATTAACAGTCATCATATGATTGACCAACGAATTGCAATACTCACGCCTTAATCAACAAACGGAATCATCCAACTTTCGTATTCTGTTTTCTCTGTTATTGCATTTTTCTAGTTGAAAAAGTACTAAATTTTATAACAACTATAAAGTATAAGAGGAACATTTGTATATCAATTGGAGATATAAAAATATGATTTTGATACATATCTATTTTTGGATATTAATTATTAATTTAAATTAATTAAATTGAAATTTTAAAAGATGAAGATTGGTATAAAACAATGACATGTCAAATTTTGGAGCAAGGTAAAATTGATCTCATAACTTTTTGCTTTCGTTTATATTGAACAAAAAAAAATCAAAAAATTGGTAGACCAAATGTAAAACAAATTGTATAGGATACAAACATATGAATATGATGATGATACAAAATATTGTTATGGCAGTGTTGTTTGGAATAGGATATGTTGTGATCATCTTCGAGGAGACTTTATCTTTCAATAAAAGCGGAATAGGACTTTTGATGGCTGTGTGTTTGTGGATAGTGCGAAGCATAGGGGTACGTAATTCATAGTAACAAATGGCTCTTTTAATTTTGTTTTGTGTTAATGCAGTGATGAAGAATAGATTAATAATGTTGATCGCATGTTTACAGGCTCCGTCTACTGAAATTGTTGTGTTAGAGCTTCAACACGCAACAATGGAAGTCAGTCAAATAGTTTTCTATTTGCTCGGTGCAATGACCATTGTGGAGATAGTTGATGCTCACCAAGGATTTAAGCTGGTTACAGATCATATAACATCCCGAAAACCGAAAATACTTTTATGGATGGTAATATGTTTATTCTTGTTCCATTTCTGATCTTAAAGTTTTTTGCTTTCAATATTTTTTTTCTTGTAGGGCATGAGTTTTCTCATTTGCTCTTCTTTTCTAATGATCTTGATTTTGGCTTTTTATAATTTTTGTTATCAGGTTGGTTTTGCCACCTTTTTCCTCAGCTCGGTTCTTGACAACCTAACAACTACTATTGTCATGGTTTCTCTACTGAAAAAACTGGTTCCTCCATCAGAATTCCGCAAGTACGGAAACCTAACCAATATTTGTTAGTTTTTTGGTTTGAGGCTTTAAGATGCTCACAGTGAAGAAACATAATTATCTCTATAGTGAATCTCATTGATACACCAATTCATAACATTGACTTGAGAGAGATTCTTTATTTTGTGTAGTTATTTGTTTTTCCTACTAAAGTATCTTATTTTTCTGTTTAGCAACAAAAGTATTTTTCTTTATATGGAGCTACGTGATGCATGGTCGTATTAACGGTAATTTGTATGTTCAACCTATGACAAGGCTTTTAGGAGCAGTTGTGGTTGTAGCAGCAAATGCAGGAGGAGCTTGGACTCCCATTGGTGATGTTACTACAACTATGCTTTGGATACATGGCCGTGTATCAACCTTTTCTACTATGAAGGTTCTTCTTCTTCACGAGCTTGAATATATATGCAAATGTTTCTCATCATGGAGGTTTTTACTTCTTTTTATTTTAGAACCTTCTTTTACCTTCGGTGGTTTCTCTCACTGTGCCTCTTGTTCTCATGTCATTGACCAGGTTGTTATCTCTTCTACATTTAAGAGTTTCAACTTTCAACGTTTCTTTTTTTCTTTTAGCTTGATTAGGCCATTTTCGGTTTCTTCTTTTCTTGTGTGTTTCTCAGTGAGGTAAATGGAATGATACTGAATGCTCCTCATAGTCTACTATTAGCTTCTGAGCAGATTGCTCCAAGAGGAAAGCTTGTACTTGGAGTTGGCTGTGGAGTTTTGGTTTTTGTCCCAATCCTCAACTCGTTAACCGGGTTGCCTCCTTACATGGGTGTCTTGTTTGGTCTTGGAGTTCTTTGGATTTTGACAGATGTGATCCATTACGGTGATCCAGAGAGACAACATCTAAAAGTTCCACATGCTTTGTCTCAGATTGACATACAAGGAGCTTTGTTTTTCCTTGGGATTTTGTTATCTGTCAGCAGGTAATAAGAATATGGACAAAACTCAAGTTGTAACCCTTTGCGACGTGTGTGAGATTGTTAATGTTGAATCTTGTATTTTCAGTCTTGAATCGGCTGGGATTCTCAAAGAGATTGCAAACTATCTTGATGATCATATAACAAATGTTGAACTCATTGCAAGTGTTATTGGTGTTGTATCAGCCATCATAGATAATGTACCATTGGTTGCAGCAACAATGGGGATGTATAATCTCTCAAAGTTCCCTCAAGATTCCACGTTTTGGCAACTCATTTCATTTTGCGCTGGAACCGGTGGCTCCATGCTTATTACTGGATCTTCTGCTGGAGTAGCCTTCATGGGTATGGAGAAAGTTGATTTCTTTTGGTACTTCCGTAAGGTGTGATTTCTTTCTTGCCTTAGCTTCAATAAATTGATAGATCGGTATAACAAAAGTTTGGATTATTGATTTATATTTCTTACTTCTATTTGTCTTGCAGGTGAGTGGTTTTTCTTTTGTTGGTTATGTTGCTGGTATCGGTGCTTATTTAGTGGTTCACAATCTTCTTCTTGAGCTTCCAACAACTGTTGTTCAGATTCCTTTGCTTGCTGATTCCTAAGCTACAAAAACATAAATATCGTTTTAATGTCTATCGAAGGCAAATATCTAGTTGTGTGACGAACATAACGTTGTATACTCCCTCCGTTTCAGATTTGTTGTCATTCTGGCAAAATGTATCTGTAATTTTTTGGATGTAGAGATATATTTTGCCATGACAACTAATTTGAAACGGAGGGAATATATAATAAACACATATCTTTCTAATCAAGAAGATTTATTACTGAATTTTTCAATTAGAAAACATTTCATGTTCCATAGAAGCATATCGATAAGTATGTTGACTTTATCCTGGACTTGGAGTTTTACTCCTTATTGAGCATACAAATTTGGACCTGAATTTACATACCAACAAGTAGATTTGGAGACAGAGTTAAATTGTTAATAAATTTATTAAAAGAAGTTTTGGAAATTTTTATATGAATATAATTGTGTTGATTTTATAGAGTAATTATTAGCATTTGGAAAACAAAATGAGAGGTGTCTCAACTGTTATATTATACATCTGTCATTATCAAAGAGATTCTTAAGTTAATGGAAGCTTACCTGAAAAAATCTGTGAACCTCAAGTTAGGTAGGTTCATGTACAAATCGCATCTAAAGCTATTTGACTATTTAAAGTCAATAAACCATAAGTGTATTTCCTTTTGTTAGAAAGTCTTATTATTTCCACAAATCACAAAACTTTACTTAAAGTAGTTACAAGTGTGAGGTTTCGATGGCAAGTCTCAATCTCCCAAGGCACAACAATGATACATTGAATGGAATAACAAAGTGAACATTGAACAGTACAAATGATTTGATGGCTTAGAACTAGATCATTAGTCAAAGCTTTTTGATCCAGTATTTTGCATATAATTCGACAATAACATTTCAATTAAAATGCACAATTTATATTCAACTATGCAGTAATTTTAGTGACAACAAAACATACGGATGAATTTAAATATTATATATGCAGATGCAATAATTTTGAACAGTCTTCATTTTCCCACAATCTCGTAATGCTGTATCTTTTTTGGTAAATCCTTTAAAAAAAATGAAAACCAATACATATATAGTAAGATACTTAGATTCTTATAACTAATACGTAAATGCATAACGTCGAATTGTCAATTCTCTCTTGGAGCCAAACTCAATACTTTTAGTTTACGTGAGCCAAACTCAATACCTTAGTTTACGTGAATATGATTGATCTCTCATAGTTGAATATAGGAGGTGGCGGCAAATCAACAGTTCCAAAATACATTCATCCACTATTGATGCACACTCATCTTTAATTCTTATACACTATAAATACTCAACTTTCTCATCATGATCATTATATCAACTACATATCGAAATTAATAAATTCGTGTTACTACTACATAAAAAATAATGGTGATGGCTAAGGACCGCACCGAGTTCTACATAGCATTTCTCGTTGTTCTGATAATTGGGGGATCGGTGTTACCAGCCATTGAAGGACGTCCGGTCAAGGAGGGTATAAGACCGTTGAACCAGTTAAGAGATTCATCTGTGTTCAATGGAAGAAGCGTAATATCGTCGTTTAAACCAGTACAAGATTTGTCGTGGTTAGCCACGGTGAAACAGTCCGGGCCAAGCCCAGGGGTTGGGCATCATCGAGCCAAGGGGTATACGAAGTTTGGACGAGTCGAAGACTCTGGTCCTAGTCCTGGTGTTGGACACTAAATAAACAAAACCCATGTATTTAAATATTATATAAGCTGCTTATAATAAGTAGATGTAATAAATTTACTATGTTTAAAGCCTCTAAGATGTAATCTTCTTCCAATGTTAATGTTAATCTCCTTTACTATACTCTGCCTCTACATAATAATCATTTAATCAAAACTCTTGTTATGTATTTTTGTTTAATCAAACTCTAACGATAATTATGTTTTCTAAAACTTTTCAAAAGACAGGGAATGTCACAAGCTTTGACAGAGATATTCCCACACATCGAGATGCATTTCGATTGACCTAAGTAGAAACCATATGTGGCAAGAAAAACGAATACATTTAATACATTTGAATATAGCATTTCGATTAGAAAACTAGGTAACATAGACCATCGCAGCAAATCTTGATATAAAACATATTGTTTCAGATGGCAAATGGGAAAATTTTCTAAATTCTTATATACATAATGATGAAAAACACGATCTCATAAGTATGAAGATCTCTTAGTGAAAGAATGTATTATACACAGATTGTTTTATTGTTTGTTTTAAGGAAGTTTTGGGCTGAAGCCCATAATCTGTTTGCTGGAGCCACCTTGTGATCCATCTTTGTTAATGTCGTAGTAGGAATCGACGGTTTTCTCAAGTAGAACGGAACTAGGAGACTAGGCTTCAAGATCCACTTGGTAAATATTAGTTTTAAAGATTCAAACAGGACAATCACCAAAGTTAGTAAGAGAAATAGCTGATAGCAACAAAACCTCAATTTCCTTAATAACGACGATACTATTGGTACAACGTTTCGGAACTACATTGTAAATCTTGTAAGCAATTGTAAAAACAGCAACAATGATGTAGATAGAACATCTAAAACCAAAAAGATAAGAAGCTAAATCTGCAAAACGCCTATCTACTTATGATCCTCTTTTCATCATCAAAGAGAACGTACGTAATGGCAAACGAATGTATTTCTCAATGAATCTTGGTTTCAAACACGTCACCCATTAGTTCCTAGTACTCCGTACATAAAATTTCCATCCTAGCGTATAATTCAGATACATATGAGAAATATAGAATTATGTCATTCATCTTCTTTCGTATCTTCCATCTCTACTAATCAAAAACTTGGTTCTTACCTTTTTATTATAAAAGGAAGAAAAAAGGTCAGTCAATCATCTATATATATAGGTAGATAATTGGCGCCTTAAGGTTAAATCTTACTCGGTACCATGAACAATTGAGCATGTATCATTAACGAAGTAATGGTGTTGAAACCAGCTTTTTAAGAAAGAAAATAAACTATCATCATCTACATGGCAAATTATGTATAAAGGCTACAATCATTCAACGCCTATGGCAATGTATACTTGGATCCCATTATATGCCTAATGTATGTGGTTATCATAAGCTGTCAGTGTACGTAGATATTTTGGACCATTTGGCAATTGGCTCTAAACTTTTTAAAATAGGGTTTTAGACTTTTTGGTTAAATCAAATAAGTCCCTCTCACATTTGTAGGCACGCCAAAAGCTCTCTCATGTGTGTTTTAAATTTGATATCGAAAACTTTTGACCCGACTTTCGGTTTCGTAAAAAAACGACAACTAACGTTTCTCGTAATGCATGACTAATCAATATGTTAGCCTTTAATTGAGCCTATTAATGAGATTGATTATAGTTACAAGATAAACATGCATGCATAAACGTCGTATTTGTTTCATCTTATCACATTCAAAACTAAAAAAGAACACCCCAATGGTAGAAAACAAAAGAAACCCTGGAACTCATCCGACAGTGACAGTAATTGTTAGGAATTTTGGGAATAATTCGTATTTTATTTGGGAATATTGATTTATATGTTTTGCAACAAAACACAAACAAAAGAGGGAGATGAGCTGGGAAGCACGTGCAACAAAGACAGTGCAGGGTTGACCGGAGACCGTAGGGTCGCGGGAAGTGGGAGACGCACTGTCCCCTACACTCTCGCCTTTTACGACATCGTTTAGCTCTTTTTGAAAAACAGAAACTAAAAAAAATATTTCTTATTTGAAATGAGTGAATAACTCCAATAGCTATATAGTCATGCCAAATACAAAAACTTAGTTGAAAATAGTAAAATCCAAAACAATTTGTATCACATCCATATATGTGATTTTAGAGTTAGGAAAAAAAGGATACATAGCAAATGATTTAAAAGAAAATATTAATAATGGACCAACCTCTTTTGTAATTGTTGGGTACCTAGATTGGACCAAGCTGGACCCGATTTTAAACATTCATGTCCTCACTGTTCTTTTAGATTCTTTGACCTTTTGACTCACCCTAGTTTTGGTTGCAACTTTTTATTTTTTTGTAATGTTTGGACTTAACTGGCGGAATTTAATACTGCCTGGCGTAATTTGTAGACCGAATAAAGTAATTCAACTTTCTCTCGATTTTTGGTTTCAAAGAAGAAAAAAAACAAGTAAGTAATTCTGCTGTTTCGTACCTCACTTGACTAGTATTTGTTCAAAATGAATTGGTATTTAAAGCCTACACATACGATCGTCAGCGCTCTCTTAATCTTAGTGCCTCTCCTCCTCCCCCCCCCCCCCCCCCCCAATTATTCGTTTGGTGTACAATAATACTATGTAGTTTCGGAAGTTTGATTGGTCAATTGAAGTTAAAATTTAGTTATATTGACCAACATAAACATCAGTGGTCAAAGTTTTACAACAAAAATGCTACGAAAAGAAACTACAACAATCATCCTTTCGATCTAATCATTTTTGAAAAACTTTTCACTAATAGTGTTATAATGCACCATTTATGAATGATTAAAGATGTCTGATTTTCAATAACTTTTGAGACCTCTTTTTAGTTTTTCCGTTTACTGGAAGAGAGGTGTGGACAAAGGCAAGAGACAATAATCACAATTAACTTTAGTTGTTCCTATGAGGTCAAAGCCGATGACAGGCAGATTGCCAGATTCTGTTCTTCTCTTCTTCACTTGAATTAGTTTAAGTAAATCAATAAACAAACCCAAAAAAAATATTAACAATGGGAACAATTACAAAATAAATAAATATAACGAAAACAGACAACAATACGGTCCAAGTCCGTGGATCTTATCCCTCCTCCCGAATTTATTTGATTTTGATATAATTGTCTTAGAATATTTGTTTTCATTCGATAATGTATGTATCACATACAAACCTGTAAATTCTTGTACTTCCCGGCATTATATATGTGCAGAAGCAAGTTAATATTCCAACAAAAGCTACAGTCTGGATTTTTGTTTTTATTTCAATTATTTATCACAGATATTCTGTATGTATTCATGCGATGTTTTGATTAGTTTCTAATTAGTATATGCTAGTTTTAATTAAATTGTGAAAAGCTTATAAGATGTCAAGATTGCCAAAGCCTAGACAAAAGTAACTTTTGAAGTTCAATCCTTAATTAAGACCAAAACATTGACCTGTCGGAGACTTGACAGTTACTCTGTTGGTAAGAAAAACGAAAGTTGTAAAAAGTGAAAACCGGATAAAAGGAGTAATTTGCTTTGGCGATGTAAAATATAGACAGTCAAAAGATTTTCCATAAAAGACAAAACAGTCAAACTATTTATTTGGTCTTGTTATGATCTATTTTGGTTATATGATTACAGGCTTGATGTAACAGAAGTAAGTGGGAGCTGTCTTGTGGGTCCTTTTTTCGTTCCCAGTCTTTCGCATTTTAGTTTGACCACAATTTATTGGTTTTATAAATAAAATACAACACACGATTGTTGAGAAAATTACAATCAGGTACATTTTTTTAGTATGGCTTTACATTATGAGTGACTTTGTGAAAGTGGTGCACTTCCACTTTGTGATTTTACGCCATTGTCCTTCTTTTATCTTGTTCATCTTGCGATTACTTTGAGATTTTACATTTTACTGCTGCCTTTTTACATTTCTCTTCTTCCCGTAAAACACCCTAACTCACCGGAATCTGTAACTCACGATTCACTCTTTCAGACCTTGTTCACTTTCCCTTTTTTCGTTACCCTTCCGTTTTCGTTTTTAATTGTAACCCAGATTCCTATCTCTTTATTCTTCGTGATATTGACCACATTTCTGATCCCTATTCTGCTCCAATGGTGAGAAGTTATGAAAGATATTTTTCTCTAAATCCTTAGCTTAGCTCGTTCTAGATTTTTATTTAGTTGGTCTCCTAAAAACTCCGACAGATCCGTCGTTAGACTAATTACTTCTCTTACTTGAATCTAATCTTTCACATCTTTCACCCCAAGGATCTGTTGATATCGAAGAGATGATTAGTGAAATTAAAGTCAATTTCTGTGAACACATCTCAGTCCTATATTATGTTTTGATTATCGTTTTTAAAGTTTCTTTTGTTGCAAATAATTCATTGACCGTACTTCTCTTCCATGACAACAGATGGGAACATCGAATCTGGTCGGATCTCGTCGAGGAGAGAGAGCGATTGAACTTTTGGATCTCAGATTCATAACTGAAAGAAGAAAAGCTCAGGGCTTGATGTTGTTCCACCGTTCCGAGCAGCTAACGGTAACTCTCATTTTCTCTTCGTGGATAGTTTTTGGTGGACACTTAGCCATGGATAGTTTCTAGTGGATGATTTAATTTGGATGCTTTGAGTCCATGGACAAGTTTATGCGGATGAATTGCTTTTATGTTCTTTAATGTTGCTTTTATGTTTTTTCTCGTGGATGCTCAAGCAGCGGATTTTGATTTACCTGCAATCCGTTCTCCTAATTTCATCCGATTTGCTACAAATTCTCAGATTTGCTAATTATTTCTTCTCATTCTCAATCTCTCAGCCATTTTTTTGTAGAAGTCTGTAACTTTAATTTTCTCTCTACTTAAAAGAGTGACAGATTCTGTATTCATCATTTGGCATTGGTACATGAAAACCGTAAAGCTAGAAGAAGAATAAATCAACGTATGGCATTAGTCAACGAAGGGCCAAAATGTTGCCGAACCTCTTTTCATGGTATGCACTTTTCATATGCAATTTTGAGTGCATTTGTTTTAGTATTGTCCACTTTGATCCTCTACTTTGGCATAAGAGCATCTCTCATATGAATTTTATATGGATGTCATTATGTTCTGCATTTACAAATGCAAGGCCATTTCTGTTTGTTTATCATATACTGCCTCGGCCTTCTAATTTTTGCATGAGAGCATATGTTCTTGCTCAAACTATTCACTCATTCACATCCATACTTGTGTTTACATCGTCTTCTATCCACTACAACAATACATTGCTTTTATAATTCAACTCTCATCTTCTCTTACCTTTTACTTTACACATGGATAGTTTATAGTGTTGGAGGTAACAAGAGAACGCATCTTAATCATCGTCACTTGTAGTTTCTCTATCAAAGAACCAAGATATAATTCTGGAGAAGACAATAAGCTGGACCACATCAAAAGAGAAAAGAAAGGAATTCACGGACTTAAAGAGAGAAGAGAAAAGTGAAAGGAAAAACATTTTGGGGTGCCATTTGCTTGCTGCTCCTTTGTTAAATAAATAGGCTCTATCTGCTGTATAATGTTGGATGATGATTCTAAAGACTTGAATGAGCTTTTGTTGCTTAGCTTTTTTAGTTATTTTTATGCACTTTGATTTGATTTTATAGTGAATGATTTCTGTTCTTTGGTTTGCGTTTGGTAACAAAATAAGAGAAGCGATGGAACCGTGGCGCAACAGTTCGTCCACACATGGTATTGTCCAAAAGGTCATGGTCCACGAAAAATTACTAACCTTTCTGATTTCTGTGAGAACGAGAACAGCGTCCAACATCGAATTGTACAAATTAATTCTGTACACTAACATGAATCGTGTCAAGAAACCGTCCACACCGAATAGTACTGTCCAAAAACTGAAATCAAAGAAATTTAAGAAGACGGAGAATTAATATCAGAAGATCCAATAAAAATCAATGTCAATAAAACATACCCTCAAAACCAGAAACAATGTCAATAGAAATCAATGTCTAAGCGTCCACGCTCCTCGATCGTACAAAAACACCTTTCACTTCCATTACAACCAGAAACAAATATCCATGTGCCTTTTAAGAGAGAAAAATAATTGTATATATATCCAAATCGAACTCTGTTTGTAGGATTTTGGTGAGAAAATGCATGTGATTCAAATCTAACTCTCTATTTGTCCAAAGTTGCTGAAATCAGTTTCAAGAAAAACTGTCGATCTCGCCGGTTCTGCAGTCGACGATGTGACGAGAACTCCCCAAATAACTTGATCTATATTTTTCACCACAATTTTATTAAAGGTAGAATTGTCATCTCTGCACACTACACTCCGAACAAAAGTGCACCTGTGAGAAAAAGTCACTCTTTTTGTAAACAAAACTCCAAAAGTCACCTAAAATGTAAATCACTCTACTATTGTTATTTATTTGAAACTTCATATAAATATATGGTGGATAATAATAAATTTGCTTGTTGTGATTACTGTATACAACTGGAGATATGATTATTGACTATGAATAATTAAGAGAATAAAGATTTACTATTACAAACTTTTGTTAACAAAATCATTTGTAAATTGTAATGAACTCATAGTATTAGAGATAGATATCATTGTTTGATGTGATATCTTTATATCGAATCCGAAACCGAAATCGTATACACTTGAATATAGATGCCTTAAGCTTCACTTTTAAAATTAGATATTTTCTTCCAACGGAAAAGTGTGATTTTTCTCAACCATGTGTTTGAAAAATTAAGATCTTGGGACCTATGGCTATGAATAAAGCAAATGGTATAACAAATTATTACGATCTATTAACAGAATAACAGTAACACACACCATTTAACATCTATGTATGAAAGTTGCGAAATTTTATAGTTATCTTTCTTTGATGAGGATTAATATACAGTATTTAAATGTCTCACACTTTACAAATACAAATAATTTCTAAGCTAAAGAGGCCAATTTATTGTATCAAGTAACTAATTGTATAAAGAAAACGGAGAAATACAGTATTTTTAATTTAATTTTGCTATATGAGCAAACCAGCATAGTTATAAAAGCCACACGTGTGGCGCATAGCCTGCGCAGATAAAATCCTTCGTCTTCCTTCTCTCAAATTCCCAAAAATCCTCAAAGCTCTGAAGTAAACTTACAGTTCCTACAACAACAAAAAAATGCCGGGGAATTTAGAGCCGTTGGATCTCGGAATCCAAATACCTTACCATTTCAGATGCCCAATCTCTCTAGACCTAATGTCCGATCCAGTAACCGTCTCCACCGGCCAGACTTACGACCGCACCAGCATCGAGTCATGGATCGCCATGGGAAACACCACTTGTCCCGTCACACGCGTCGCTCTCTCCGACTTCACTCTCATCCCTAACCACACTCTCCGCCGTCTAATCCAGGAATGGTGCGTCGCTAACCGCTCTAATGGCGTTGAACGTATTCCCACGCCGAAACAGCCGGCGGATCCAATCTCCGTTCGATCTCTCCTCAGCCAAGCCTCCGCGATTTCGGGAACTCACGTCTCCGTTCGCTCACGCGCCGCCGCGATTCGTCGTCTTAGGGGATTGGCTAGAGACAGCGAGAAGAATCGCGTTTTGATCGCCGCTCATAACGCGAGGGAGATTCTCGTGAGGATTTTGTTCGCCGATGTTGACGCCGGACGTGAATCTTTGTCGTCGGAGCTTGTTTCCGAGTCGCTGGCTCTTTTGGTTTATTTTCATTTGACGGAGGAAGAGTGTGAGTCTATCGCGTCGGATCCTGGTCGGGTCGGGTTTATGACCCGGTTGTTGTTCGATACTTCGATTGAAATCCGGGTAAACGCCGCCGCGTTGACGGAGATTGTGTTGACTGGATCGAAATCTCCGGATCTGAAAGGGATAATCACCGGATCGGATTCAATTTTCGAAGGCGTTCTCGATCTTCTAAAAAATCCGATTTCATCGTATCCACCACGGCGAGCTCTGAAAATCGGAATCAAAGCGCTTTTCGCTCTCTGCCTGGTGAAACAAACACGACACCTCGCGATATCCGCCGGAGCTCCGGGGATTTTAATCGACCGTCTTGCGGCGGATTTCGACAGATGCGACACGGAGCGGGGTCTAGCGACGGTGGAGCTCCTTTGCCGGCTACCGGAAGGATGCTCGGCGTTCGGTGAGCACGCTTTGACAGTGCCGCTTCTGGTGAAGACGATATTGAGAGTGTCGGATAGAGCGACGGAGTACGCGGCGGGAGCATTGCTGGCTCTGTGCACGGCGGAAGAACGGTGTAGAGAGGAGGCTGCGGCGGCGGGATTGGTGAATCAATTGCTGCTATTGGTGCAGAGCGATTGTACGGAGAGAGCTAAGAGGAAAGCGCAAATGTTGTTGAAGCTTCTCAGAGACTCATGGCCGGACAATACTCTTGCGAATTCTGACGATTTTGGCCGTAGCGAAGTGGTGCCGTTTTGATAATTTTTGTTTTTCGGTCAAACAAGTGATTTATTCTTTGTTAGAAATTTAAAATTAGTCTTAATTATGTAATTAATTTTTTAATATAAAAATTCAAGAGAAATACTGTAGTCTTTTCAGTTTTCTTGTTAATTTTTGGATAGCTGTTTTAGTTGGAAAAGTTGTTGAAGAGGAAACGGAAGCTATAAGTATAAGTCATGTTTATTTTTGTTTTTCAAAAGATTATTCGAAGTAATCAATTTGCTTCCTTATTTTTTTGTTGAAAGTTTAGTTGTTTCCAGTTTCCACTGTGATTTTTTTTTGTAATTTTAATTTTCTGTAGCCAATTCGTAACAATAGCCAGTTTTTCTCTTAAAGGCTATCAAGGATTGTTAAATAATGACAGACGCAAGCATACATACTCTTCAACTTCTTTCATTTAAACAGAGAGAGTAAAAAAGATTTAACGTACTTAATTAGTTTGCTTGTAGCTATCAAATTAATCTCCACTATGATATCTTTTGGTAGGCACGCGTCTATTGTATCAACTGGGTTATCACTATCTCGTAAGACTATACCTGAAAACATATTTAGATATAAAGTGGACATGAAACATAAGTACACTATATATCACGAGTTTACGAAACTGGTCCGAAACGAAGAACAACAGTTACAAAAACAAATAAAGAAAGTAGAAACAAATTGTTTTCACCGTTTCCACCAAGCCAGACTATTCAGTTCATTGATGAACAAATCCGAAAATGCTTCTCAACAATCAAATTGTTGGATGGCCAACCAAAGTACGAAGATGGCATAGAATTGTGGTTCTCCAAGAGACCTTAGCTATTTCTCTTATTTAATCTTCCCCGATTCATTTTCCAATTCAATCTTTCAAAAAACATTGCACTTCTTGATTTTTTTGTTTCGAATCAATCTAACATTCGTTTCTTTTTTCGTTTAATTCACAAGAAGGAAAAATGGATTGTGGAGCTATAAACAAGAAGAATTTTTACGTTTAATTCACGAGAATCTATAAACAAGAAGATTTTTTTTCAATTTTATGATAGTTTTAGGATCATCGGAAATTTATTCACGTGTATAATATAGAAAAATGAGAATTTTGTGTTCTGTTTTAAACAAAGAGAGGTCGAAAAATGTTCGTTTGGGTAAATATAAATGCATCCAGGCGTTTAAAACAAAAGCATCTTAGCCTCGGAAAAGGAAATTACAATTCAATATCCCCTTGGACAATAGTTTCCAATACATTGGTTAACAAAATAAAATAAAAATGAAGAAAAAGTCACTAGGCAACAATGTTCGAAGACAATATCTTCTCTTATTCAATTTTTTTTTTGTTTTTTTTATAATGGCTTTAAAAGTGCAAGGTTGTCCAAACTAATTTCTCTCCATTCACATGGAAAGAAAGAACGTCTGGACAGTTGCAAACAAAAACAAAACTTGAAAGTACTTAAAACTGACAATCCAATACAAACGACAACAGACATTTATGATTCAAAGAGATGAAAAATACGAGACAATTTCTTGAGCAGCTTGCTTGAAAATTTCCCCAACTCCAAACCCATCTCCCAGTAACTGATTGTCATAAGGATTAACCTGTTTCAATCACACACAAGAAAAAAAAAAGAACCATTAATTGTAAAATAATAAATATCACCACAAAATATCATACGGTAAAAAATGTTAATATAAATGTATATTATACCTGTGTTTGGATCATGTAGGTGCTCCGGAAAACATTAGAGGAGACATTAGCAAACACAACTTCAATGTTGTACTTTTCAAACAAGTAGCAAACATTAGTGAAAACCCCGGTTTTGTCTTTAGGGCAGCACAGAGTGAAGAAAGCTTCACTCCCACAGATATTCAGCACCACGTTATGGGAGGACCAAGTATCAAACGCAGTGGTCGGGGCATTACAAGGGTAAGGCAGGTTCGCGGTGGTGGAAGATATCTGATCGACCAAGAAAGCTTCACGAGGGTAGGAATCTGCTGCGGCGGCAGTGCCTAGGGGAAGGAATTGGGAATTGTTTGATATTGGTGTGAGGAGAGTTGTAGGAGGAGAAGAAGATGAAGATGGATCAAAACGGAAAGGAGTAGTAGCTGGAGTTGTGTTTGAAGCAGAAGAATATTGAAGTTTCTCGAGCTTTTTCATTTGGAGTCTATGTAAAGTTTGTTCAAGAGTTCTGATGGAGCTCACTGCTTCGTCTACTATTGTTGATTTGTCTGCCTGTGCATCACAAATTAAAATATTATTTTAATTGATTTTGCAATAACGTAAGATATTGGACACATTAACAATTAACACCAACGAAAATAAATTATCAAAAAAAAGGAGGAAAAAATGGAACAAAGACAAACGAGAAAAAAAGGAATCGAAAGCTCGACGACGGCATTGCCAAATTTCACCAATTTAAGTGACATGTATTGGATACTTTTTAAAAATATATATTTATATAAAGCAAAAAGATGTGAACTTAACCTGTAAAGTAACAAGCATAAACAATTAGATAAATGGAAATTCTCAAGTATAACAAACGTCGGAAAGAGAAAGAAACATAAGATTTTGAGAATTTCCTTTAACAAAAAAAAAAGATTTTCAGATGTAATAGATAACAGAGTAAAAAACTAAGATCGTCTATTAGTTGTGATTGTTAGTAAACAGGATGATGGTAACAGAAAATAAAAGTAAATAAAATCTGCATATTTCTGTTATTTCCTTTCACAGAAAGATTCCCTTTGTTACCAAATTAAACCATGATTTTTATTTCTTTACCAAATGATATTTTCTGCATGAGATTGTGTTTTTGAAATAGATATGCACATCCGCAATTTTATTCTTGGTATTTCATACACAAATCGCGTTATCAAATAGTTAACACAATTCAACTGATCCACATGCGAATTACCAAAAGAAACAATTGAAATTAGTATGAAAAAATTATGCCGACTGAAACAAAAATCACTGAGTCATGCATATGTTATTATTATTGAATTACCTTAGGAGGAAGTTGGGGAAGCAAAGCATGTAGTTTGGCAAACATATCCCTCATTTTCTTCCTCCTTTCTCTCTCAGTCCATATATGTATTTCATGATCAGGTGATTCGTCTAAATGATTATTATCATCTCTTCTCGTTCTTTTTCTACCTTTTGTTACATTTTTAGCCGTTGAGGTAGGAATTTCCAACGGCTGAGAAGGTTGCGGTGGAAGTGGTTGTTTCTCGATTCTCCGATAAGTATCCCCGGAATAATCAGAATTTGATATGCCCCATATAAACCCATCTTGCCCCAACTCTTGAGCATTATTCATATTGAATTGAATGCTCATTTTTCCTTTTTTGCTTTATTACTGTTTATGAGTGACTTATAAAAAGAAAGAGAGAATTATATGAAAAGAGAGAGAATAAGAGTTTGATGAACTATGAGGAAGAGGCGTTTAAGGATGGTGAAAGATAGGGGAATAGGAGGAGGTATATATACAAAGAGTTAAATGAACTCATAGGAAAAGCCCAAAATATAATCATAAGCGCGAAGCCGTTACTAAGACATCAAAATCATAAAGGATATATGTTAAAAAATGTTTTTTCTTTTTGCCTTTTTATGAAGTTCTTAAGGAAAAAACTATTAAATATAATAAAACAAACTTCTTTATACAGCCAAAATATTCTTATTTATCAGTTACAATAAATTATATACGCGTTTTCTCTATCTCAAGATATATAAAAAGGTATAGGTAGTAATATTATTATATACTTTTTGGTAAGTATATCACTACATATACAATCAAACTAAGAGTAAAAGAAGAAATGCTATATCCTCTCAAACTAGATAATTTTTCACTTCAAACTCTTTTATTTCCATTTAACTTGATCAATTAACTTCTTATATTTCCATTAAACTTCATACTTCTTCCACCAAAAACTGTATGGTCAATGATTTTTTTTTTTTTTGGTAAGATTACTTTTTTTTTTAAACTAACACCTGAAATCATTTTCTTAACTCTGTTAAAATAACTGAGTCTTGTGAATCAAATTGATGGAAAAAATCAGGAATCAAGTGATATTTCTGTCATCAAGTTTTACAAGCTACAAAAGCAAATTTTATTACAGAAAATGACAAAAAAACATATATAAACACAGTTAAAAACCAGGTAAAATCATGTTGAAGCCATCTCAAATAATTCAGAGTATATACATATGACATTAATAATCAAATCCATTATTGTAGAGTTCTCTTCATTCACCACATCAAAATTTATGGTATTATATGAAGCAATCCTTGTATATTTACTCTAAATTACAGGCTTTGCGATGAAAAATATGTATTAACGTTAACCTTACACAGATTTAGACAATCTGTAAAGCGAAAACATGATTTCCCTGTAAAACCAACATTAACGTAAAAGACAATTGATTTGCGTTTTAACTATCATGCCACCACATCCTAATTTGTCTTTGGCGTATTTAGTTCTCAACGTTCGAAAACTTACAGAACTGTTTTTGTACTATATATGAAGTATATTTAGAAAACGTGTAAAGACAGTATCTAGTATATATATTAATATATGTATTTCTTTGGAAACTTCGACATATATTGGTTCTAATTTTTGTTTTTTTGTCAATCCATTCAAAAAATTTATATATGTAAATGTCACCTGAAGAAAATATGAATGCAAGTTCAATATTTGGGAATTTCAAAAATATACTGTTTGTTGTCTATTTTTAAAAATATCAAACTTTATAAAGTCATATATTTTGCTTGTAAACACAATTTTTTAAAATAATGTTTGATAAGGTTGTCTATATTTTAAACCTAATTATAAGGTTCGTTTTAGAAAATATTATATTTTGTTTACCAAAATATCAGAAAACATTTAGGGAATTTTATTTAACACACATATATTATAAACATAATTTTTGATATATGCTTTTCTGTTAGTTTCTTATTATTTTATTGATAGTTAATTTATTACAGCATACCATTATTAATATTTTAGTTTTATTTTCATTCTTAAATAATTTCATATTTTCTATAAAAAAAATATATTAGTTATTAAGAATATTTTATCATTATTTTGGTTACTATTAAAGAAATCTTATTCTTGTTATAGTCTAATAGTTGATTTGATATCATGTCATATTTCTCAGAAGTTTATTCTAATTCAGTTTTTAAATTTTGAGTCATTTAAAAAAAACATTTGACATATGTCATACTGATATAAAAAATATCTAAATTTATAAAACTTCATAGAATCATACGTTAGATTGTTTGATGATTTAAAACTTTTTTCTTTCCATGTTTTATGTAAATGGTGTCATTTTAAATTGTTATAACTGACTATTAAATATTTTCAGAAATGTACATAGAAGACAAAATTAAAAAGGGAGAAGTTATAAATACTATCAGATTTAATTATTGAATAGCTATATTTTGGAATAAAATCTTAGAGTATTTAAATTTTGTATACTATTGAATTTACCAAAAAAAATAATAACATTTACACAAACATAAGTTAAAAGAAAGGTAAGTTTATCTAGTTTTACTTTAAGGATTGATACACTAAGAAGTAGGACTATAAATTTGAAACCATTAAGTAGAACTTCATACTAATAAATACTACTTGGATGATGTAATGGAGAACAACTTTAATAAAGCCAAATTCTATTATCTCATTAACCAAATATGTTACAGTATGTGCTGTAAGTCTGAATTATATAATCTTTTGTACTTAAAAAAAAAGTTGTTAAAAAGAATAAAAAGGTGAATTTAAGATCCTTAATTAACTTGTGATTATCCTAACTGTCTAATAATTATGGGGTGGTAAAAGTGAGCGTTATCTTTATGGTTTTCAGTGCCAAGTAATCATTGCTCGCCAGAGATTGAAGTGTCACTTTCTTTCTTCTTTTTACGTAACATAAAGAAACTTTTTGTATTAAATTCAAATTGTCTGAAACTGTTCATTTTCAATTTCACTTGCGAGTTTTAAACTTAAAATGGGAACGGACTAGATTTTTAATAAATTCTTCCACGTACAAGACAAAACTGGGTATTATTGTTTTGGGTAACGTGGCGATCATTCACACATCACAATTCATGAGGCCATTACAAAACAAAAACGTAAATGTAAGACTCCAAGTCTCCAACTGTATCTTCTTGTAAATGGGCTAACATATATAATGGCCTTTGCCCTTTGGGCTCATTTAAAATAAAAGAAATTTGAGTTGGGTTTGGGCCAATGTCAAATTTCGAATATTCACTTATTTTGGAAAATAGGTAAACAAATCCTGAACTATTCTAAAAACATAAAACAAACTCTGAGCTATTTTTGTGGGTTTTTAAACCCTCACCTTGTAAAAAAGGAGAATTCAGCCCCTAAGTTAATATTCCTTTGCTTTCTTAAAGAAGCATCGTCTCTCTCTATTTAAAATGATACAACATGAGCTAGCTGGAATTTCATATCTAGATCAGAACAAAATGAAATTCATAGATAACGGCTGAGAAATGGTATTTATGTCTTACACGAGCTTTTTGGAATGTTCGGGTAGGTGATGGATCGGTCCGGATATGGAAAAACTACGCAACAAAGGGTAAACAAAAGCTTGTTACAGGATTTTCTTCAATCCAGGGTCAGAAGCCCGGTGCACGTGACTTAAATGCTGTCGTGGACTGGCAACAACAGTCTGGTTACCTGGTTTGTGATTTTCTCAATGACGCTATGCAGTGTTTCTTCTTTTGATTTCCAAGTTACGAAACCTGGCTTATTGTTGTTTGACAGTATGCTTCTGGGGAGGTGTCAACAGTCACACTGTGGGACCTGGAGAAAGAACAACTTGTCAGATCTATTCCCTCTGAGTCAGAGTGCGGAGTTACAGCACTTGTAAGTCTGTATGAATAACCTTCTTCTTTATAAAATATAAACACTCTAGAATGTCATGATTTGCTATCGATCCATTCCACTTCTTTTTGTTTGTACCGGAAGTTCATGGTTATCCTGCTTTTCCTTGGCCAAAGATCTTAACATCATCTAAAAGAATGTGAGGCTGGTATTAATAGTTACTCTGAGAGTAATGTAGCCATGCGCTCGTTGATTGTCTGTTGGGCTGATCTTAGGTTATAATATGAAAACGAATTATGCAAGTTTGTTAGTTCGTAGCAAATGGTTGTTCAAACTTAGAATGAGCAAGAAGAAACTAACAACAATACCTCTAGATAGTCTCTTAAAAATACAAAACACGGGAATTTTGCTTACGGTATGCTATCTTTGTAGTCGGCTTCTCAAGTGCACGGAGGTCAACTAGCTGCTGGTTTCGCCGATGGATCTTTGAGACTTTATGATGTTCGGTCACCTGAACCGTAAGTTGCTTTATACTTTATAGTAAATTCTTGAACAGTGAATTAGAACAAGAACTCCCCAATTATAATGAATTGACGACACCAAAATGGATTTTGATACATTGATTGATATCATTTCTCGTATTGAAGGCTTGTCTGCGCGACTCGGCCTCATCAGAAAGTTGAAAAAGTGGTTGGTCTCAGTTTTCAGCCTGGACTTGATCCTGCAAAGGTTTCAAGCTAAAACCCATTTTCAAAAGCTCTTCAATTCTTTGTCGCTTTCCCGAAGCCAATATCTGTTTTTTTTTTTTATTTTTTTATTGTTTCAGGTGGTGAGTGCATCACAGGCCGGTGATATACAGTTCCTTGACCTTAGAACAACAAGGGACACATACCTGACGATTGATGCACACAGGGGTTCACTCACGGCCTTAGCTGTTCACAGACACGCTCACTTTTCATGTCTAGCTGGCCGAAGCGTTCGAGACATGAGCACTAACATTGTGCTACCTTCATCACTTTTCAGAGAGCACGAACGAAACAAGTTGAATATTAAACGGCGCAAAACATGAAGATTTATCTGCATTTTATTTTGAGACAAGTTTCTAAAAGTTTCCATACTTCTACTTACGTTTGTGACTTTCTCTCGTTCTCTTATCAAATAATTCTTTTTTTATCTATGAATTTCATTTTGTTCTGATCTAGACATGAAATTCCAGCTAGCTCATGTTGTATCATTTTAAATAGAGAGAGACGATGCTTCTTTAAGAAAGCAAAGGAATATTAACTTAGGGGCTGAATTCTCCTTTTTTACAAGGTGAGGGTTTAAAAACCCACAAAAATAGCTTAGGGTTTGTTTTATGTTTTTGGAATAGCTCAGGGTTTGTTTACCCATTTTCCCACTTATTTGTTTCGAATAAGGTTTTAATTACGATATTTAACTGTTTTCAAATGTAATTTCACGAAAGTGATGTTGAATATGTATTTTCCGTTTTTGTTCATTTGTCCATATGCATTAATTGGTTTTTAGTGTAGTCACGAGTATTATTCTGTTCTTTTTATGCTTTTCATTATGCATTAGTTGTTTGTCAGTTGTGGTGCAGTTACGAATGTAAAGCATAAAAAACGTAGCTATAAATTCTTTCCCAAGAAAAATGCAATTTGAACTCGATTTCAGATTGAATATTCAATTAATTTCCAACTAGTGAGTGTATCAAACGCTTTAGACCAAACGTTTTAAACTTTTAAAACGTTTAAAGCCGACGAAGCATAAAAATGGTCAAAACTCTAGACAAAAGCCAAACGAAATCTATCATCATCCAATGAGGAATGTGTAGATAAAAGAAGGCGAGAGAAACGATCAAAAACTTCCCAAAATATTAAGAATATCAAAAAACAGAAGGGAAATGCTAAAATATCTCTCGCCAAAAAAAGCAAAAATCTCAAAATCCAAAACTTCTTGTTCTGATATCCGAAAAAAAAAGTGCATAAATAAACTCTAAAGAAGGAGGGATATAAACTGAGCTGTTTCAGGTATAACTTAGAGCTCAAGTTACGATGTTGTCTCCAAGGGACAGAGAAGCTAGCTGGTCAGCTGCACCACCGGCTTGTTGCTGCTGAGCCACACTCCTCAGAACATCCATTGCCTCTGCAACTTTAGCCTTTAGTGCATCAGGAGACTCCAGCAAGTGAAGCACTTCGGTTTGGTCCATCTCAAGAAGCATTCCTGTGACTTTAGCTGCTGATTCCGGCTCCAGCTGCTCCACAAGCGGGTATAGATTCTCACCAAGCATCTGCATGATAAAAATGAGAAAGAGAACAATTTAAGAATCCCATTTTCTCTCTTGTGTCTTGCTTTCCGTTAAACAGAACAACAATTGGATGTTTACCGTTCTCTGGTGCTCTGGAGCTGCATTTGCAAGTGATGTAGCCAAAGCTCCAATAGGAACAGACTGAGAAGCAGGCGCATCACGATGATGCACACCACCAGCACCACCAGGCACGTCATATGGGACAGAGAGCATGTTTGGAGTAAGACCAGGCATTGCGTTGACATCTCTCTGTGGATACCTATACATTCTACCTCTTGGATGCATCTGAAGAAAAACACAGTTAAGAGGCAAAAAATGTAAGAAAGCTTAATGATTTCCAAAGCGACAACTGCTGCAAACCAAACTTTAACCTGCTGATGCTGCATCATAGGAGAAGGTTGCTGTGATTGTGGAAGAGGACCTCCTCTTCTACCACCACCACCACCAGGTCGTTGCTGCTGCTGCTGTTGGCCTTGTTGCATCATAGGCATGAAATAGTTTGGCATTGGGGAACCACCAGGTCTCATACCCGGTACAAGCTGCTGTTGGTACCCGTACCCAGGCTGTTGAAGAAGAAAGTTAGGAGATCGGTTTTACATGTTTCTTGATAGAAAAAAAAAATTGAGCTATATACCTGAGGAGGAATCATAGCTGGAGGTCCTTGACCATAGAAGAGTTGTTGACCCATTGGTGGACCACCTGGTGGGTAAATTGGCATCCTAGGACCAACCGGAGGTGGCATGTTCATAGGCCTCATCTGTGAAAACTGAGCCTAAAATGAAAAGACAGTGAAAGTTAAGCATGAGCACGATGAGAATATGATTATGTCAATCCATCTTTAGAGTTTAACACACAAGTACCTGTAACCTGGCTTTGCGGTCTTCTTTCCTCTGTGCAAGAGCAACATATAGTGGCTTTGTAACAATCATTTTTCCATTCATCTCCGCAATCTGAACCAAAGAAGAGAAGAGAAGACAGTTTTTAAGCATTGAGATCCTTCAGGAGAAAAGGTAAGATATTTAAGATCTAGTTTTCTTAATATAGTAGTCACTTACAGCTTTAGAAGCTTCCTCAGGAGTTGAAAATGCAACAAATCCAGATCCTCTACTCACACCACTAGGGTCACGCATCACCTGTCACATACAAAATGGTAATAAATTTTAATCCAAATCTGCTGAAGATCATAATAATAATAACAAGCATGGCTTCTTTTATTGTGTCAACCACAGACCTTGCATGATGTAATAGTTCCAAAGGGAGCGAAATGTTCTCTGAGCTTATCATCTGTGACAGTCTCATCCAAGTTCTTAACATACAAGTTAGACCCCTGAGACTTATCAGCAGCCTCCTTCAAACTTTGCTCAAACTTTTGCTTGAGTTCGGTTTCTCTCTCAGACTTCTTTTGAGCTCTCCCAACAAACCACTCCTTGTCATCAAAGCTCTTCCCATTCAGAGCCTCAACAGCTTTGGCCGCATCTTCAGCGTTCTCAAAGTTGACAAATCCAAAGCCTTTAGACTTGCCTTCACCATCTCTCATGATCACGCAGCTAGTAGTCGATCCAAACTCTCCGAAAACTTTGTTCAGCTCCTCATCAGACATGGACTCGGAGAGATTCTTGACATACACATTGTTGAACTTCACCTTCTCACCCGAAGGATCTCTCTGCTGCTTGTGAACAAAAGGTCCAACATACACTTGCTTATCGTTGAGAAGCATTCCATTCAACTGGTCTATGGCTTTCTGAGCCGCTTCGTCAGTGTCGTACTGCACAAACCCATAGCCTTTCGACTGGCCAGAAGGATCAACAGCCACTTTGCAAGACAGAATGGGACCAAAGGCAGAGAATGTCTCATGGAGTGCTTTGTGATCAATTGCTCTGTCAAGATTCTGCCACACGAATAAACAATTTCACAATGTATCTCCAGCAATGAATGTATAGAAGATCAAATATGGACAATGAGAAAAGAATGGATTTCAAAATCTGTACCTTGATAAAGATGTTACCAACTCCGCTTTTGCGGAGACTTGGATCACGAACAGAGTACATAACTCTTATAGCTCTCCCATTGAGAGCCATGAAGTTCAGCTCATTCAACGCCCTGGAAGCTGTTGCCAAACCAAGAATATGATGAGAAGCATGAACAATACCAATATCTCGAGTTTTGATTTGTTTAATCAATCAAAGTAACACAAATGGCACAATGTACTCTTTTCACACAACACTAAAACTCAACAATGTAATCAAATGTAATCACTCTGCAAAATCAACCTTAAAAGCCTACGCATTTCAATAGAGATTTCCCAAATTCAGATTAGCATTCCAAGAAGGATCTCACAAAACATGATTTAGCAAATTCATTAAAACAAAGAGACACGATTTAACACAAAATCCCCAATTCAATTAAGAAGCAAAAACGATTAAATCCCCAAATTATGAGCAAATCTAGAGAAAGTTACCATCTTGAGGAGTGGCGTAGTTAACGTAGCCATAGCCGAGAGATCTCCGAGTGGTCATGTCCCTGCAAACACGAACGGAGACCACCTGACCCGCTTGGCTAAACGCCTCAAACAGCTGCGAATCCGTCACGGTCACGTCCAGATCGCCGACGTACAGAGACGTCGTCCCTGGCTGCGCCGCCCCGGCCGCTGCAGCCGCCGCTCCAGCCGCAGCCGCCGCAGCGGCACCGGAAACCGCCGCTCCACCGTTGGCATTGGGACCCTGATGCTGAATCTGAGCCATTTCTCACCAAATTACACCAAATTTCCTCTCAATCGACAACAAAACAAACCGAATTGGAGAAATCAAAAGCAGATATTCCTCAATCAATCACCGGAATGATAAAAATTGGGTCTTTTTTGCGGAATTGGGGAGGGAAATGGAGAAGCAACCGGCGGCGAGAGTTGCAGTGTTGAGCCTGATGAAAGGGTCGAAGGAAGTGACCTTATCAGAGAGAAAAGCTCAAATGAAAAAAAACTGCAAAGAGGATTGATCATTTTGAGGTTTGGGTATTTATATATGGAAGGTTTCACCAAACCCTAAAAGCTTTGATGGGAATTGAGAAATCTCAGCCGTTGGATTCAGTTTTTTAAGTGACGTGTTTGAGGTCCCACGTGTTGGAAAATACATCTTCTTTGGTAAAGTAATTAAGTTAGTAAGAAGATGAAAATATAATCTTCTTTGGTAAAGTAATTAAGTTAGTAAGAAAATGAAAATATAATCTTCTTTGGTAAAGTGTTTATCACTTTATGTCCAAACGTAATGTCAGTCAATACGGAGATAGATTTTCAGACAAGAGAGTTAATGAGGATGATGTAATTATTTTGAACCAAATTGAGATACGATTCAGACATGGTTAATTATCTAGACAACAAGTACATGGAGATACGATTTACAAGATAAAACATGAGGATTTTTTTTACCTTTTTCTAGCCTTTTCTTTTATTTTTTTAGTTTTTTTTCGAAAAATTCGAACATTTAGATATTAAAATGGGCCAAAATTTTATAAACTGGTTTATTGAATGGGCCAAAAGTTTGTAAACTGGTTTATTGAAGGCTTGAAAATATATGGACCGAATTTCTATCTCGTATAGGACTCAATCGAACACATTCTCTAGATCTTTGATGGGATTGCCACATCTTTTTACTTCATTCTTTTTACAAACTTTGATCTAATATTTTGATTTAAAACAAGTTGTGAATCTTGTAGCTTGAAAAAGTTGTACTAAAAAGTTTGGTCACTATAAAAAACAATTTGAAATGATATATCTATCTTTATAGATTCTTACCTTTTTTCAGTTTCAAAACTTCATACTACTCATAAAGTTTATCCTACAAAAAAATTATTTGGCAAGAAAATACATCTTGAATTTGATACTCCTAAATCCTAATCAGTTAATCATAATTCATACATATGTAATTTACTTACATTATTTGAAAAAGAAAAAGATCAAGAATGATTGGTACCTCCCACTACCCAAAGGAAAATGTCCAATTGTCCATTGACTTCTCAAGCTTTTTATGAGTCTTCTCATTTTCTCTGCTCTAAAAGCATCTGTATACATAGTCCCAAGCCTATCCTCAAAACTCACCACATAATTTCATCAAATCAATGGCTTCAATTTCATCTATTCTCCTCCTCCTTCTTTCACTTTCATATCTCCACTTCACTCTACCCACCGGAAGCAACCACCTCACCGACAGAAAATCCTTAGAAATCATCATCGGCGGCGGTGACGACGGCATTCCACCACCGTCACCTTCAGAGGAACCCGAACCGGAACCTGAATATTGCCCTCCTCCAATTCCTCCACCTCCTCCTCCATGCCCTCCTCCAACTCCACCTCCTCCTCCTCCATGCCCTCCTCCAACTTCACCTCCTCCTCCTCCTCCAAGCCCTCCTCCTCCACCTCCTCCACGCCATCCTCCTCCTCCACCTCCTCCAAGCCCTCCTCCTCCACCTCCCCCAAAAGCACCACAGCTTCCACCGCCAAAACCGCCACATTCACCGCCTAAACGGAAATCTCCGCCTAAGCCGCCGGGGCAGCCACTGATTTTTGAGAGCAAACTACTAGAGAAAGTATATCCAGTCCTCCAAGCTTTCAAGAAACTAGTCACACACGATCCAAAGCACATTCTTGATTCTTGGAACGGCTCCGACATTTGCGGCCAATACCGTGGACTCGAATGCGCGATATTCCCGAATACAAAACAGAAGGCTCTCGCGAGCATCCAATTTAACCAGTTTAACTTCTCCGGCAAGTATCTTCGGCTAGATAACTTCCTCGACAAGTTAGATACAGTCACCATCTTCCACGCAAACTCCAACAATTTCTTAGGCTCTGTGCCTAAAGTTGGCCACTTGAAATACTTGTTCGAGCTCGATCTAAGCAACAACAAACTCACCGGAGATTTTCCGGCTTCTGTCTTAGAAGCCACGAATCTCACGTTTCTCGATCTCAGGTTCAACACTTTCTCAGGCGGTGTTCCTCCTCAGGTCTTTAATCTCGATCTCGACGTCTTGTTCATCAACAACAACAATCTTGTTCAGACACTTCCAAAGAATCTTGGATCCATTACTGCTCTTTACCTAACATTCGCCAACAATAGGTTAGATTTCATTCATCATAACGTTTTTAACATTTTTTTATTTTTTATTTAGATTATTCCCGCTAAAATTAAATATTGTGTCCCTAGTTACAGCTATGATAGTGTGTAATTTATTAAGTAGCTAACATTTTTTGTTTTGTATCTTTATTGTGATGTGACTTAGGTTCACGGGTCCAATTCCCGACAGCATAGGCAACAGCAATCTCAAGAACCTACAAGAAGTCCTTTTCTTGAATAACCAGTTAACCGGTTGCTTACCGTACCAAATCGGAAATCTAAACCGAGCCAGTGTTTTCGATGTTGAGTCTAACCAGTTAACTGGTCCAATACCATACTCTTTCGGTTGCTTAGACATGATGGAACAGCTCAATTTAGCAAGAAACAACTTCTATGGAACCATACCGGAGATCGTATGCGAGCTTTCTTGTCTCAAGAACCTCTCTCTTTCCTATAATTACTTCACTCAGGTCGGTCCAAAATGTAGAGAACTCATCAAGAGAAACGTTCTCGACGTTCGTATGAATTGTATACTTGATCTTCCAAAGCAGAAAACGTCACGGGAATGTGCTGACTTCTTCATGCGGAGACAGACTTGTCCTAATTCCAAGTCTATGTTACTGATCCCTTGTGGTAAGGATCCTAACCGGTTTAAACCGGATCAAGAACGATTGGAGGGCAAAGAAGCTCGAGTTTCTTCTCCGGTATCTTACGGCGCACTTAACCCGGACCGCATTCGGAATCTATAACCCTTTTTAAAAAAACTACGATGTGGCCAAGAAATATATGGCCAAGTGTATTATATTAATATATTTGTGGTTTCTGATACAATATAAGTGAATAAATGCATTTCTTGCGTAGTTACGGATTATCGCTATAATTATATATTACATGTATCTTTCATTGTTGGATAATGTATAGTCCATTTTCTTATCTTCTTTTTTTTTACCCTTTTAACATTCATCTATTTAACTACAATTTACGCATCTCTCATTTTATAGTCCACTTTCTTTTTTAGTGTATTGGATTCACATTTTTCTGAACCATATATAACATCTCCATTACCTTTATATCAACTTCATATGACACTTTCAGTAATACATACTACCAAAAATAGACATTAATTCAGTGTCACAAATCTTCAACATCTAACATGTAACTATGTGTCTTTTTGTTCTTTTTCTTATTATTGTTTTGGAGCTTCTTAAATGGATTTACTCAAATTATGTGGTTCCTTTTGCGATATTTTGAATGTTGTTTTCTATAATATTTGGCAACTAGTGTAAACAGAAACAAGTTGAACCATGCACTACCGTAAGTAAAGGGCACACCAAGTCACCAAGTGACAACAACTGTTTTTGACGGCACCAAGTGACAGCTTAAGTTTGTTTCATTTGTTCTTTTGTCATTATTATTATTATTTTTTCGTCTAGAATTAAATATATTAGAGAAATCAGGTGTAAACCACCAGCCACACCATACAACGACTCAAACACCAAAACCACACTTTCAGCCCAGAAAAATAAGGCCTCTCTGCATCTTCTGTGAAACCAAAGAAGCGAGGAAGAAAGAGTAACCAAAAATACCAAACCACAATTCAAGAAACAAAACACAATTTTACCAAAAAAAGAAAGAAAGAAACAAAACACACCTCACACAGAGGGTAAAACTTTCTCACTGCCATTAAATACCATGTTTTTTTTAGAGCAATAACAATAAGTTGGTAAAGCTTATAGCATTCCGAATTACTAATCTTTAAAAAACTGGTGACCTGACTGACTTTTGCATTTTCTATGATCATCTAACTATATAACTATACAGACCATGCCCATGTTATAACAAACAATGGGTTACATCATTACATGTTATGGTCAGATAACACATGTTTTGATTGTAAATTTTATCTATAAACATTTGATACTTAACTTTAAAGTTAACTCAAGAATTAATCTGATTTGTAAAAGATTCTAAGGATTTTTTGTTGCTCAACATTCTCGTTCACTTGTGTTTTCATTATATAAAACACGATCTATAGATGAAGATTATTCCGTATCTTGTTCATGTATGATTCGTATACTAATCTCAAGAAAGAAAACAAAATTCTAATCATTACACTAAAGCTTTTACGAGAGAAGTAACACACAAATCCCAAGTTTGGGTCGGTTTGGTAAATAAGTGACCAAAGCCTCTGGGTCATGGGAGTTGCCTCCGGTGGCTCAGTTTTTCTTTACTATCCACACTTCCCGTTCGCCTGCATTTTTTTTGTAAAAGACTTTAAACCAATTGCACAATTTACCTAACAACTTCTGATTTAAATATATTACATACCTGGCACGCAGCAAAATTGTCACAGCTGCATATCAAATTGGCATTCGAAACATCAACCGCTTGTGGAGCTCCTCCACCATCACTTCTCTGAACAGACACAGACAAATGTTACTACTTATACTGGATTGTATAATAACACTAATCTTTGGAAACTACAACTATACTAATATATGTGGATATTACCTTGTAGAAATCAACTGCTATGAAGTTAGGCCAACGTTGTCCCGCGGCTTGGTAACATGTCTTGATGGATTCAAGAAGAGGAGCAGAGTTTTGTTTACATGCTACAATCAAATCCGGTGCATCGGGAAAATGGTTAACAAGAACAAGAGATTTCGATTTATCGCTCATCGCTGCTGATTCACCTCTGTTTGGACACACTCCTTCTTTTAACCCTCCATTTCCATCTGCGAATATATATTAAAACATTAACAAAAATTTGTTCATGCAAATACAATATGGTTTTGCAATCACATGTAGGACGACTCACATTGGTTCTCAACCATAAAATTCCATTGATACGCGATTCCTTCTGTTGCTTCTTTACTTCTATCGGACGTAAAAACTACCAACCTTTGGCTTTGTTGTATCATGTCGTCAAGCGTTGGCCAATCTCCTCCATTTTTGGGCATTCTAGTCACCGGAAACATGAACTTTTGTAGTCCGGCCGCATTAAACACTTTTGTGAGACCCTTTGGTGATTTCACATAATCTTCGATTATAATCGTTACAACTTCCTCACTGTTCTTCTCTAGAAACACTTTAATCTCCCTTAAAACGTTAACCGCCGGTTGCTACAATTGCACACATAAAAAAAACACAAATCACTAACATTTTCGTGTACAATAACACAAGGAAAGAAAAATGAACGAACATATCAAAACTTACGAAAGAGGTGATATTGCAACACTTTCCGCCGAAGGAATGACAAAGCCAGATATCGTTATCGAAGTCGTACATGTCGAGCATAAACCCTCTTACACCGTTCTACAATAATAACCATTAAAAAAATATTTACTCACACTTTTGCAAGAAAAATTTAAAAGAGTTTACTAAAACTTTGTATTGCATTTGGAGGGAAGAATCTTACAGTGAGTTGGCTAGTGACTGAGTCTTGCTGATTAGTAGGAGCCAAAATCAAAGAACCGGTCTTTGATATTGCTCCCAACCGAGCAAACGAGTTGTGAGTTGTTAACCATGAGTACTTGTTGAAAGGCAAACCCTTAACCTTTTTGTATATGAAGATTGGTTAATCAGATTAAACGACAATTAGTCCATGTGATTAAAAATTGATAAAGTTACAGAAGTGTGAACCTTGGAGATGGGGTTGATGGGTTGTGTTCGAGAGCATCTGGGTCTGAAGTTGTTGTTGGCCAGACATGTCTCGCAGTGTAACCCAGCGTCACAGTTCTCGTTCAATACACATGTTTTTCCCTCCTAATTAAGATCCAAAACCAATAAACCAATAAACCAAGAAAAAAGTTAATAATTATGTTTTTTTTTTTAATTGAAAATAAAGATCTTTACTACAACCCATTTCTTAAATATCTCAAAGATTAGCAATAAGTTTATCCAAACCGAAAAAGGGAAGAAAAAACAAAAAGTAAAAACAGAATTGGGGAAACAGAGATCCTCTGTTTGTCTGAACAGAGGACAGGTACAAAGGGAAGTGATGCAAAGTTGATGAGATTTGCTTACCTTGAGAGCAGAGGAAATCTCAAAAAGGAAAGAAGATTGAATCAGGAGGGCAATGAGAAGCAAGGGTAATCTTTGAGACATAGTTTTCTTCGCCAAGAATGAAAGAAGAAGAAGGATCATGCTTCAAGCATGTAGCTACTTCATCATCACTTGTAGATTAGATTGGTTGTTTGCATTTGCGTGAGGGTTCTTATGTCCCAGAAACATATTAAAAAAAGTAATAATCTGAGGGATTTAAGGATAAAAATAGAGTGAACGTAAGTGCGCGTGTTGGTGAAAGCTGCAAAAGTGGGTTTGTTTGCCGTGTGCCTTTATTATTTCATGGACTATTTCTTTGATTATTTTGTTTTACATTCTTAAGAAGAATAAATTTTATTTTGTATTTATGCAATATGGTGGTGGTCACTGGTCAGAGTTGAGGATTACGATTGGTCTACAAACTCTGAATAACTCGACCAAGTCAATATTGAAAAACCTAAAAGAGCTTTCGTTTTCTCTAATGGGTCTATGCTTTCCATCTTTGGGTAATCATGATTAGAATGATTTTTTTTGACAAAAATGATTTTCTTTTCCAAATGTAGTAGCTATAATGAATTCTCCTCACTTGAGTTTGGGAAGACTAATTCAATACTCTTCCAACTAACTGAGCTAATTGCGCATGATTGATAAATTGAAAGTTTTTTCCTCAAGAAATTGGATAATATATTAAATCCTGTTGTGCATGCGTGAGTTGTAGGTTACTGACAAAAATGCATTGTATAATTTTATCTTCCTAATTAATCAACTAAAACAATATGGATAGAACTAGAGTTTTTGTTTAAAAATCTACAATGCAAAAAAAAAAAAAAAAAATCATTTCATAAACAAAAATCAAGTTTTTAAACAACACTTATTGTATAGCCGAAAGTTAGCATCCTAGTTCTGGTTGCAACTTATATAGTTGTTGTTTTGGTCAATAACAAGTTATTTACAAAATAACAATGAAAATGGAAAGAGACATACGTACCAATATTTCCACGATCGTTTGTTTTCTCTCAACAAGACTAAAATGTAACGTAGAGAAGACGGTTCTAAAGATTGAAGAGAGCCTCCCCCTTAGAGAGTCTTGACGAAATTACAAGGCAAGTATTATGGTGCATGAGCCCAGAAACCCTTTGTAAAGACTAAAGATTGCACGCAATCTCAAACCTTCGTTGGAACAAAGCTTGACACGTACCACAAACTTTTTTCACAGTTGTCAAATTTGCTATATTAAAAACCATTGACCGAGTCAACAACTAGACAAATCAACTGGCCCATTATAGCCCCACTTTGCCCCGATTCTAAACCAGTTCTGTTATAGTTTGCTCTGTTATTAATTTATCAAAAGACTTTGGTCTGAGGCCGGCACATAACAATTTATACACCATGAAGATTTGGCATAACGACAAATCATTTTGGTATAAGTTTGAAAAAAAACGGTACTATAACACTGTTTTTATTAGGTAGGGACCCAAACTTCAGCTCTAGTTCACACTCACATAGTCACATTCAAAAACTCGTAAATTTTTATAGGTTTCAACAATTTATGGAAATTTTTGCATGCTCAATTAATGACTTGTGCAACCCTTGCTAATCACATATGTATGACCCATTCTACAATCTACCTAATCATATAACCCTTTACACTGACCATAAAACTCTTTGAAGTTTGTATATGACATTTCAAAAATGCATACAATACTTATCACACAAAAAAAGGAAATGCATACAATAAATGGATCTAAATCCTTACAAACAGAAAAAATGCAGTTGATGTCTGAGATATGACAGACTGTACACATGTGAGTGACCCTACCAACGTTATGTAGAGCATTTTGGGTTCACATCGCTACCTTTTATTTGTTGTTTTGAATTTATTTCAATACAAAAAAAATGCTAGGATAATTTAAGATCAATCCCAAAGGCCTCGATCACAGTAGCCAGTTTATCTCTGTGTCGCTTTCTCTTCCGCAAACACTCAATAAACAATACCTTTCTTTATCTCCAAGAAATGGACCGAAGGGTAATTGTTCTCTTTAGCAAAAAATAAGATTGTTTAGAAAAGTATACTAATATTGAACTAAAGGTTTGTCGATAATCATAGTCTCTTTAAAACAAACAAAATTATATAATTACAGAAACTGCATAAGACATCATCATAGAACAGATTATTATGAATAACATGGGAGCTCCATTTAAAAAATTCTTTTAATCACACTAATCATCCAGTGTTGTTGGTTCAATGATAGAACTTCACATTGTTAGAGGAACTAATGACTCGGAACTAATCTTTAGAGCTTAGAATGATGACATAGTAGCAATCTTTTATTCATTTGAAAAGAACAAGTGGATCCAAACAAGAAGAGATTAAAAAGTTGGGGACTTTTTTTGACAATTTCGTCGTTTATTTCATCACGAATTGAATAGTGGTGTGATTCTTTGTCTCTTTCCTTGTCAGTGAGAGAGTATACAGACCCTCGATTGTCATATCATATCAGAGGACCTTCCATTAACCATTTTTATACTCTCTCTCTTTCTTTCTTTCTCTTTCTCTCTCTCTCTCTTTTTCTTTCTTTCTCTTTCTCTAGTAGCTCTTGGCCATGGTTGTGAATAGTCAAGCTTTCTTGTTGGCATTAATTGCATTACTTGCAATCCAACTGCCTTCACTAATGGCATCAGGTCTGTCTTTCCCGATTTTCCTCTGTCTCGGCTAAATCAGGATAGACAGATGTTCGTTTTCATTAAAAATCACATTTTGAGCTTTTGGGTTTCGCAAAGTTTGTTGCTTTCTTTAGAATTTGCACAGTTTCTGGCTCATTTGTTGAATTGGGTGGCAATTCAGTTGCTTACATGCAAATACTCTGTTTTGGACTGAAAACAGATCTCGAGAAAGGAAAAAACTTGAGGCTCAAATTAGTAAAAATTAATGATTTAAGCTATGGTTGTTACAAAGTCAAAAGCTTGAAACATTTTTGGATTATCTCTTCTGAAGCAAACTCTCTCAGACACTTAATGCTGCATTGTTATGTGTCTGTGTTTTTGGCAGATTGTCCATTAGATTTGACTTCATCAAACTTCACTCTAGTAGCTACCGTGTGCTCCAACATAACTAACAGAGGCAAATGCTGCCGCTACATGAACGCTTTCGTCGCCGTATCCGTGGCACGTTACGCTAATTCCTCAACCAGTCTCGGAGTTGCATCAGACTTAACTCAAACCTGCATTGCTTCCATCTCTCAAGCCATGGAACTCAGCGGAGTTTCTAAAACCGCTACTAGCTTCTGCGGTTTGGGAACCAAGATACTTGTCAAGTACAACTGCCAAGGCCTAACCACAGTGACACAAATGCACCACTCTCCAAGATTTGGACATGTCACAAGAAACTGCAGACTCCCACTCTCCGCTGCAAACCGTTGCAGGAAGTGTTTGAATTCTGGTATCACTTACCTTCGTGATCTCTTAGTTGGAGAGACTAATAACATCACGTTGAGTACTTGCCGAGATGCTACTTATGCTGCATTAGCTAGCCGAATCGACCTTGCATCTGCTCTTGAACTTCTTGGTTGTTTCTTTCAAGTCACAGAGCTGACCGTTCCTTCAGGTTTAGACATATGACTTACTGCATTATTCTTAGCTTTTGTCATTTTCTTTGTCTGATTTCATTCGCGTATGGACAGAGTCGTTTCGACCGTTTGCTACTCCAGAACCGTCTCCAAGCCCTGTTGGTGCTATTATCAGTCCAAGCAACAGTGACTCTTTAATGACTACAAGTGAAAGAAACAACAATCCATATCACTTAACAATGGTTCCAACCATTGGGATTGTTGTTACAGCTGTTGCTCTTACGATGCTTGTAGTTCTTGTGATTCTCATCCGTAGGAAAAACCAAGAGCTAGATGAATCCGAGAGTTTGGATAGAAAATCAACAAAGACTCTTCCTTCTCCTCATCCTGTATACAAGATTCATGAAGGTGACAACAACAAAAAGAATTGAGTATTTTGTTTTCTTATATCAGAAAGACTTTTGAAATCTCTTTCTCTCTCTCTGCAGATGATTCTTCACCTTTCCAAAAGTTCAGCTACAAGGAGATTGGAAATGCGACGAATGATTTCAACATGGTGATTGGTCACGGAGGTTTTGGTACTGTTTACAAAGCCGAGTTCAGCGATGGACTGATTGCAGCTGTGAAGAGAATGAACAAAGCTTGTGTACAGTCTCAACAAGATTTCTGCATTGAAGTAGAGCTTTTAGCTAAGCTTCATCACCGTAACCTCGTTGCTTTAAAAGGCTTTTGCATCCAAAAGAAAGAAAGGTTAAGAAGAATCATACACTGAATGTTTTTGCCTATCCAAAATGTTCTCATCTTTTTTTGTTCTCCAATCTTTCAGATTCCTCATCTATGACTACATGGAAAATGGAAGCTTAAAAGATCATCTACATTGTATGTATATGCTTATTCTACATTAAGCTTAAAAGATCAGACAGCAGAGTGTTGAAACTTTTCTTTGTGCAATGCAGCTACAGAGAAGCCTCCACTTAGTTGGGGAACAAGAATGAAAATAGCCATCGATGTGGCGAATGCTTTGGTAAATAGTCCAAAGTCTCTTACCTCCATTTTCTCTGTAAACTGATTGATTACATATATATATCTTTTACAGTTTTTGGTTCTTGGCTGCAACGTTGTTATCTCCTCCAGGAATATCTTCATTTCTACTGTGATCCACCTCTATGCCACAGAGACATTAAGTCAAGCAATATACTACTCGATGAGAATTTTGTAGCCAAAGTATGTATCTATCAAAACATCTAACTGGTTACAGAACGTTTTTTTGACTTTGGCTTTGGCTAAATCAAGAATGTTTCTTCTTGGTGCAGCTTTCAGATTTTGGCCTTGCTCATACGTCTAGAGATGGCTCTGTTAGCTTTGAGCCTGTGAATACCAATATCCGTGGAACTCCAGGTTATGTAGATCCGGAGTATGTAATAACGGAAGAGCTGACAGAGAAGAGTGATGTGTACAGCTATGGAGTTGTGTTGCTGGAGATTATAACCGGAAGAACAGCGGTCGATGAAGGCAAGAACCTTGTGGAAATGTGTCAGAGGTTCTTCGCGACGAAGTCAAGACACAAAGATTTGGTAGACCAGAGAATCAAGATATCCGTTGATGAAGATGATGGATTGAAAAAACAGCTTGAAGCGGCTGTGACGGTTGTGAGAATGTGTACTGAGAAAGAAGGACGGTCTAGGCCATCGATCAAGCAAGTCCTGAGGATGTTGTGTGAGAGCCGAGATCCGTTGCATGGCGGATTTGCTAGAGCTGTTGAGGAAGAGATAGGCCAAGATAATATGAAGAGAACCGTTTTGAGATTTCAAAGAAGCGATAAACGGATCTTTGGTTCATCGTCAAGGACATTTTCCAGCCGGAGTTTACCTCACTCTCCAGTAAATGGACTTTCTTTCTGAGTTAGTTAGTCACTTTTTTCTCTATAGCTGTATCTCAAAAGTTTACATATTTTATATAAGTTATGAATTCATATTGAAAAAGCTCTCATACTCTGCACTCAAAAGGTTTTTCTACATTGTAAGCGTCTCTGTATCTCTCCTGTACAGTAGCACTATCTTCTGTTACATTTTAGTCTTTCAAGTCCCAAAGCTAAAGCCAAAGTCTTCCTTTTGATGGCTCTTCTTGCTTTTACTTCGTCTTCTTACCACGGGCCGGTGAGTGTTCTTCTCAAGCATTGCGTTTTGGCCATCCATGGACGCTGCTTCGGCGATTCCTTCAGCTGTAAAATTCAAAATAGGAGTGTCAGTGAACAGTACCATCAAAAGAGACAGAAAATGTCTTTTTTTGCTGCAGATGATGTAGAGACAAGGTTAAGGAGGAAGAAAGTTTTACCTCATTCTTCTGGCTTTTCATAATTTCCGCCTGCAACATAGAGAAACCTAAGTTAAAGAACGGAGCCAGCTAAATGTATGAGGAGAAGCAAAAAGTGGTAGTAATAAAAACCTGTTTTGTCTGCAAATCTTGATTCAGTTGCTTGAGACTTTCAATCTCTGCTTCTAGTTCCAAGGTGTAAGCCTAAAAGTTAAACCGGAACATAAAAATAATCAATATCAAAGTTCTTGAAAACAAACGGTAAATGACAGTTCGGTTAGATTAACAACACTTTACCTGCTTACGAGCCCTTGATCTAGCAGCTGATTCCCGATTCTTGATCATTCTCTTTTGCCTTCTCTCAACAACCTTCTCCATTCCCGTATTGCTTCTTCTTCCTCGACCGAACACATAAGGAACCGGTGATGACCATGCATTGTTCTCTGCACTACTTGTTCCAGGAGAAGTAGCTGCAACAGTCACACCTGTTCCTCCTCCCATAGTAGCTAAACCACTATTGTTGTTCACCGAACCATCTGCAGCCTGAAACAACTTCTTCTTGTTGATCATACTCACAGGCGCAGAGAATGTCACATTCGCTTGTTTTGGAAAAATCGCTGGAGGCAATCTCTGCTGCTGCTGCTGCTGTTGCAAGATCATAGAATTATTGTTGCCGTTGAATGATATGTTGTTTTGATTTGGCTGACCAAATCCAAACCCCAAACCAGCAGAAGCACCACCATTGTTATCATAAAACGTCCCATTAACGTTTTCATTCTGTTGAACAGAGTCAATGTCATCTTTCACAACGCCAGCACGGAGCAAGAAATCCTCCAAAGTCATCTCCCCTAGAGTTCTCTGCCTCCCAGGCGCATCAGACCCACCACCACAGGTACTACTTCCCATATTCACATCACCACTCTCTTTAGACATCAAGTGTTTCCAGACCTCATCAACGGTTTTCTGACTAAGCGTTCTTGGCAAAGTCAAGGAGCCTTGCCTCTGTAGATGATTCCCTCCTGGATAAACAAAGCCATTATTACTAGGTGCCACGGCTGCAATTGAAGATGTAGTGGTCATGATGGCTTGAGTTTCCTCAGCAGTCCATATGTTCTTGAGCAGCTCGTCCATGTTCATTGACCCAAAATCTTTCCCTGGCTCACTTAGAGTGCTCTGTAGCTCATCAAATGTTAACGAGTATAACGAAGACTGCCTCGCCAATGGCTTTGACTGGCTATTGTTGTTGCTCCCATTCCCTCCAGAATCTCCGGCTAAGTTGTTGAAATTGATGTTAGTACCCATCACTTCTTCTTCACTCTAAAATTAAACGAATCAAACCCTTTTGAGCTTTGACCTATAAGAGAGCAAAAGGCAAAATCAAAACCGGTTTAAGAGTACACCAAACCAAAAGAGAGGAGCTTTCATGTAAATGTTTAACCTTTATATAGTTTTACCCAGAAGAAGCTATCATGAACATAGATAAGCAAAGTTTGATCCAGAGAGTATAAAAAACGGATCTTTTTGTTACACGAGATCATTAAAATCCAAAGTCGATAGCTTTGACCATTCTTCAATTTTTTTTTTAATGAATCCAAAAGATAAATAGAGAAGCCAACAAAAAACTGATGGATCTATTACAGAGGAAGAGCAAATCGGATCATAAACCACTCAAGAAGAAGATCAAAAACAAAAAATGTTTGAGAAGAAGATTCATAACTCCATTTCTACTACCATTAGTTACTACTGACTGATTTATACAACATACAGATAAAAAAAATACAGATCAAATACTATAGATTCGGACAAAAAAAGAAAGGATCAGACAAAGACAGATCTTAAATATAAGGAAAAACGGATAAATTTAGATGTTATAAAAAGGAAAGGTTAAAGATTTGTCACCTAATCTTATTGGCGATAGCGGAGAATCGAGAAGATTAGCGGAAGAGAAGAGAGACGACAAGTGTGCTTGCTACTACCTCGACACGAGCTGCCATTTTAAGGGGGTAAGCTTTTTCCTGTTAAGGATATTTTTAGATATTTTGTTTTCTTCTTTTTAGTATAAACAAATAAATATCCCCTTTATTATTATTTAAAAGATTTGTTTAGTTTAGTCACTTAATTGAGCTGACATCCACGTTCACATCTAGCCAATTAGAGGCTGTAACGTGTGAGAATATTTAGTCGTTGTTGGTCTTTTACCTTCTCACAGTGGTGAATAATTCAAGAAGATCGTGTTTGGAATTTTTCTTCGGACTTACAGTTAGTTAATTTTGAAACTATGTTATTGTCGTTCTTGTTGGACGTTTTGTAAAGTTTATGATAAATTTGAATTGTTTTCTTTTAAAATTTGGTTGATTATATACATAAATGCTGGCGAAAAAGGCAGAAGTGGGTAGTGATAATTTTAGGGTCCCATTCATGGTGTGCGAATTTTGATTCCAAGCAATAATTATACACAAGCAACCCAAAAAAAGGAAAACTGTTGCGTTGAGTTTAATACAATTTATTTCCAAATATGGAAATATGCCATCTCTTCATTGTAATTGTTTTGTCAAAATGCTGATTTATATTTTATACTTCTTTATCATTTGGTTTACTTATTTCAGGGAATTTCTACTTTTGTGTGTCACGCTGGACCAACGTAGAGAATGAGCATCAAGCCATGATAGAGTTCAATGTCTCTCCACTTCCATTTTATTATGAGTTTATCATAAATCATTACTATTGTAGTGCTAAATTTTAATTTTCTATTAAGCATTCTTTTTCTTTTGTAGCAAAACTTTTCACTTTTGATTAGCATTCAACAACTTTCTACAAACATAAGTAAATGGGCGAAGATATTTTTTTAATGTTTACAAAAAAATTGACCCCTCGTTGTTTTTCTTTTCAGATAAAAAGAAAGATTATATACTTTGGAAAAATCCTCAAATACTAGTTCTAGTGATTTTTTCATTTCTTGAGAATTATAATGAATATTAGAGTGAGGAAGTCCCACATTGAAAGTGGGAGCCTTTCTTCACTAATATATAAAGTAAGAGGCAATCCTCCACTTATAAGCTAGCTTTTGGGTGTAAGTTAGGCCCATTACTAATATGGTATCAGAGCCCAAGGTTAATCTCAACAAACGATTTCCCACAAAGAAAAACGGTTTCCCACATTGAAAGTGGCCGTATAAGTGGCCCCGTTTTGTTGTGGTATTTCCGAGATGATATGCGTTGTCCCGCGAGTTAGGCCCATTACTAATAACGAACTTTGAATTATACGATCTTACATACTATACCATTAGTCACTTGTATGAACTAGAGCTTGTAAACATGAACAAAGGATTTAGAAGGAAAAATCATGCTAAATATGTCAGAAATGTGAAGATTTCTGACGACGCGTTTGTGACTGCTGCATCGGAGAGCAATTATTTTGCGCTGGAAAAGAGTTGAGATCAGGCTGAAGGTATCTTGCAATGAGCTCGCTAAAGATATCTTACATGATGACTTGGTTTCTGATCACATTTTACCAAGGTTGCTACTTTAAAAAAAAAAAAAAAGGCTGCTAGTCAAAGAGCAAGGCAAACTCATCAAAGTTGCAAAATACTTTTGTGAACTCGAAGCTAATGTACCAAACACATATTGACGTCCTATCTGATTGCGTAAAACTATTCAATTTTATTGTTAAAAAAAAAAAGCAAAACATTAAAAAAAAAATTTGATAAAAACAATAATTTGTTCAGGTTAGACTGTAACTAAACCATATTTTACTATGGTTTGTGTTTTTCTTCATTTTTTTGGGTAAGTTTTGCGGCCTTTGCCACCTCTAGAGTTTCACATGGGATTAGTGATCGGCGGTGTAGCTGTGGCCGGCGGCTGAATTCACATAAAGCAAAAAAATCAAAACATTTCTATATTGAGTGATTTACAGTTAAAGGCACTTTGGACTTTAAAAGTAACAAAAAAGGCACCTTCTACGTTTAGGTGACTTTGGTATGTTAAAAAGACCAAAAAAGCCCTATTTCTAAATTGAACCCTCTTTTCTCCTTTTACCCAAAAGCCGCCGTTTTACTCTTTTCTTCATCTCACCTTCTTTTTTTACTAGAGAAACAAAAAAGTCAATAACTGTAAAACCCTATCACACCATCTAACGCCACCGCTTTCACCACCGTCTGAATCTCATGACTCTGGTCGGTTCTTAAAAATCAACAACGCCACCTCACACACTCTGTATCTTCACTGCCTCTCACTTCACTATATCCGTTTGTAATCATGTCGTCTCCTCATTCAATCGTCTCAAATTTTCACGATTCAATTTCATCTTTTTCTGGGTTTCTTCTCTTGAAGTGCGGAGAAGATGAATATATTTATATGTGGACACGACTGTGTGTACATCTACCTGTGGACACGATCGCGAGTTAACACATATTTATCTAGATTACAAGTGGACACGACTGGGTAGATGTAGACCTGATCGCAAATTAACCCGTAGGTATATTCATCTAACACGTAGATGTGGACACAAAGGCAGATGTGGACTAAATCAGAGGTGTACACGACTGCGTGTACATCTAGATATGGACATGATCGCGAGTTAACCTATATTCATCTACTCCGTCGTGTATCAAAGGTAGATGTGGACATGCTCGCGAGGTAACATATACCTTGGTCAGTACAAAGGTATATAATTTCTAGATATATTCATCTAACACATAGATGTAGACATAAAGGTAGATGTGGATATCTAGATGTGGACATGATCGCGAGTTAACACATATCTTGGACATGATTAAAGATATATGATTTCTAGGTATATTCATCTAACACGTAGATGTGGACACAAAGGTGGGTGTGGACTAGATCACAAGTGGACACGGCTGCGTGTACATCTAGATGTGGACATGATCGCGAGTTAACTCATATTCAACTACTCCGAATTTTCGGATACATTTAACTTGGATGGCTGGCTATCCATATGGATGCAGTTTCATGGATAGCACTAGTATGGACATATACGTTTATTAAAGAATAAATAGATGATAGTTGGATATAGTTAACCACTTTGATACAGGTGCATGGAGGACAAACACATGGATAGTTGCAGTTCAACAACGGCCTCGCACTTCAACAACTTAGAATAACATGTGGTCGTAACAAAGTGCCTTTGCTTGTTATCAGAGACGTTTGTTGCACATCTCTTCCGGAATGATAGCATAAATACGCATGAAGACTACATACCCACAGACGTATATCCATAAACATAAATCCAGAAACAATACACAATATGTACGCATATGACAGTGTACACTGACCCATCACCTCGTTCAAATATACATGTGTGTCCACTACCACCTATCCATTCGAGGAAAAAAGTTTTCAACATTCATTTTCTGTGTCCACGACCACCTGTCAATACATTATTGTGAACGTTTTCTGAGGAATGAAATCATCGATACACCACGCGGGTGGATGATCTGATGTGGATGCTTTGAAACGATGTCAAGTTAAACCATATTTCTAAATTTTGTGTAGATGATTTAGTTTGCAATGAAACTTTTAGCCATCTTTATTCTTAATCATCTTAATTGGATGTTTATAGACCTCCTTATGCCTGTATAGATTATTTAATCCTACCTTGTTATCTTTGTGTTTGATATATATTTTGAGAATAGTAAAATACAGAGTTTGACAATTTATAAAACTTAACGAAATGCAAAGCCATTTTCTTAAAACAAACCTTTGATATGCTTTTCCGATAAGTAACTTCAAAACCTTTTCAAACATATAGCTCGTCTCATCCTTCTTTGCCTTTAGATCTTAAGAAATGTTTATACTCATAGATGTAGCCCATCAAAAGGACATTAAAATGTTGATACAAATAAGAACAGGAAAGCGAGAACATGCAATCATGGATATATGAAAGTTGAAACTGTGGATACCATCAAGAGCAAAAAACCTTGAACATATGGACATAAAACCATATATACAATCAAGAACAATAAAATGTGGGAACAATCTTCTTTTATCAATATATAACGTTTTATTGAATGCACAACGACATTATGTTTAACAATAGAGATAGAAGGAAACAACAAATTCTCTTGTATCACGTACTATCAATTAATGTGAGTCAAACAATTGAAAGTCATATCCATACAAACCCGTCCACGAGTCACAATCTATGTGTTCAGTATATTAGTTGCTTCAATGCTTGACACTCGATATTACATATGAGCATGATGAATTAGTTTAATCTGAGAATGTATTACATTTGTGTATATTTCTATGCTAAAACTATGGCAATATTATTGTATTTTAGACCTCTTCACTGTTTACAGTCTACTATCAATATACAAGTGTATTCATGTGGTTGTATCTTTTATGTTTATGATTTTGGAAACGGTATGCCTAGTAACCCTTTGTTAGTATTTCGTTAGTATGTCTTTCCCACAAGTTATATTAGTGAAACAAACTTATTTCACTTGCTACACATACAAATTCGATGGTGAGGTTTGAGTTTCGCCATATCCATTCATATCCCAAAGCAATTATCCAAACAAAGACGTCCAGATGGACTCAAAAATATCTGGACACAATTGCGTGGACATCTAGACGTGGACATGATCGCGAGTAAACTCAGATTTATCTACTCCAAACTTCAACAAAACTGATATCAGATATATTCAGCTTCTCCTCACTCCAAGAAAAGAAACCCATATACGATTTATCTCGCATAATCTTGTTATTAGCTACGTCTTTGAAGTATTGAAATCTTTGGAGGAAAATAGGGAAAACTTTTTCCCAACAGATTGAAATCTTTGGAACAATTTATTATTATCATCTAAACCGCCCATTACCACATATACGCAGGCATCCACCATATCATTACCACGAAGACAAAATAATCTGTAATATCCCACAATGAAACTGCTACATAATATTTTGTTAGTTTGTTGCGTATCCACGCTGGCTAATCCATAAAAGTAAGTCCAAATGTGCGTCATCCATTGTTTGTTTGTGTCCAATATCACCTGTACATATCTTTGTCCATCAATGACACTAAATCTCAAACCCAAAATTATTATTAGTTATCCACGATGATCAATCCATGATACTAAATGCAAAAGTATCCATAAAAAAAAGTGTGCAACATCCATATGCAAGTATATCCACTACTCCTTGTACATATGTACTTATGCTATTAGTTACTACGTTTTCTGTTAGAACTTGAAACTATCGTTACGCGTTGCTTCGGTGTTGAAAATCTCAATTTAGTGCTAGATTTAGATTTGGAGGAGATAATTGTTAAAATTGCAGAGGCAAGAGGCAAAATTGGATGTTATTTTCAACAGCCCAAATTTTCTCAGATCAGCAGCTTCTTCATCATAGCCTCTCAGAGCAAGCTCTTCTTCTTTGTCTTGTTATGGTCTTCTTCCTCCGATGCCGGTGAAGAGTTCTTCCGTAACGGTAAAAAAAAGTTCAGAAACGTCGATAGCAGTAAAATTCATAAAGAAGAAAATGAATCCAACTTAATAAAAGGCAATTTTGAATTTTCATTCCTTCAAAAAAAAAATGGGCAAAGTCACTTGGAGTGGAAATGTTTATTTGTAATAAGACTTTGTCAAAGTGTAATTTTCTCTTCTATATTATTCACTTTTCTCGTCTTCCCTAAATATCAAGTCTCTCACTGAAAATCAAAACAACATTTTAATCAGTTAACAAGAAGCTTCTTTCGTTGAAACCTCAGAAAAGCAAAACCTTTTTCCTTCTCCTCGCCGAGAATTGTCCTCTCGTTTCATGGGTGTTTTCTCGAATCTTCGAGGACCCAGAATTGGAGCTAACCACGATGAATTACCTGTAGCAAATGCCTCTTCTTCTTCTTCTTCTTCTCCGTCTTCATCTATCAGGCGAAAATTCTCGAATTTGTTGCCAATCTGCGTGGCTCTAGTAGTCATCGCCGAGATCGGGTTTCTGGGTCGGCTCGATAAAGTCGCTTTAGTCGATACGTTGACCGATTTCTTCACCCAGTCTCCGTCTCTCTCGCAGTCTCCCCCGAGGAGATCCGACCGGAAAATCGGATTGCATACAGAGAACTGCGAGGATTGGCTGATGAGAGAAGACTCAGTTACTTATTCAAGGAATTTCACTAAAAATCCAATTTTTGTCTCCGGTGGTGATAAGGTAAACGCCACACAACTTAAAAATCCCATTTTTAGTTCCTCTGTGACCTGACTTTGGCTAATCTCAATGTTTCGAACTCTGGGCATAAACAAAATTTAGGCTTTTGTTGTCTGATGATCATTACTAATGTGTGAATCATGGAATGAGCAAGAATTCATAGTTTCTAATGTGCTCTCTCTTGTGATAGATGATTGATTACATTTTTTCTCTCAATTGGGTAGGACTTTCAGTCATGTTCTGTGGATTGTACATTTGGAGGAAGCTCAGGTCAAAAAGCAGATGCTGCGTTTGGATTAGGTCATCAACCTGGAACTCTTAGTATAATCCGTTCAATGGAATCAGCACAGTACTATCCAGAGAACGATCTTGCTCAGGCACGACGGTGGGTAAGCACAATCTTGACAGTACTTAAAAACGTTATTTTTCTCTCAGAGGACTTTTGTTTTGGTTGAATGTATGGACTCACTTCTTGTTCTTCATCAGGAGAGGTTATGCTATAGTGATGACCACTAGTCTTTCATCAGACGTTCCTGTTGGGTATTTTTCTTGGGCGGAGTATGATATAATGGCTCCTGTACAGCCAAAGACTGAGAAAGCTATTGCAGCTGCTTTTATCTCCAATTGTGCTGCTCGGAATTTCCGCTTGCAAGCGCTTGAAGCTCTGATGAAGACTAACTTCAAGATTGATTCTTATGGTGGTTGTCATCGGAACCGAGATGGAAAAGGTAACGGAAATTTTTAAAGCAAAATTGTTCAAATTTAAACAATCTGAGACCAACGAGGTTTTTCTTATAATGAAAATCATATGTAGTTGACAAGGTTGAAGCTCTTAAGCATTACAAATTCAGTTTGGCGTTTGAGAACACTAACGAGGAGGATTATGTCACCGAGAAGTTCTTCCAGTCTCTAGTTGCTGGTATGTTTAATAGCTTCCTCTCTCTCTCTCTCTGTGTGAGTATATCTGAAGAATTCAGTAGACTAAGAAATTTGTTAAACACTTCCTCTCAGGATCTGTTCCTGTGGTTGTTGGTGCGCCGAATATAGAAGAATTTGCGCCGTCTTCAGACTCGTTCCTTCACATTAAGAGTATGGAAGATGTGGAGCCAGTTGCAGAGAGAATGAAGTATCTCGCGGATAACCCTGCTGCTTATAATCAAACACTAAGGTTCGTTTTTCTTCTGCATGAATGATTGTAAATGTGTGTAATCGCTTCTTCTTGAAAGCTTCATGCTTTTTGTTATTGGTTTAGATGGAAGTACGAGGGTCCTTCAGATTCTTTCAAGGCACTTGTTGATATGGCTGCTGTACACTCTTCTTGTCGTCTCTGCATTTTCCTGGCTACAAGGATTCAAGAAGAAGAAGAAAAAAGCCCGGATTTCAAGAAACGGCCTTGCAAGTGCTCCAGGGGAGGATCAGACACAGTCTATCATGTTTTCGTTAGAGAAAGAGGCCGGTTTGAGATGGAATCCATCTTTTTGAGGTAAGAAAAGCTTACCTAATCACACCCACTTGATCAAAACACAGAATTTTGATCATTCTTGTTCTGTCCAGGGGTAAAAATCTGACTCAGGAAGCTCTAGAATCAGCGGTTGTCGCCAAGTTTGAGTCTTTGAAACATGAGCCGGTGTGGAAGAAGGAAAGGCCTGTAAGCTTAAAAGGAGACGACAACAAGCTTAGAGTACATAGGATTTACCCGCTTGGCCTCACGCAGCGACAAGCTTTGTACAGCTTCAAATTCGAGGGAAACTCGAGTTTAAGTAGTCACATTCAACACAACCCTTGTGCTAAATTTGAGGTTGTCTTCGTGTAGTTTCATTTCCCAAAAAAAAAATGTATTTCAGGTATCGTCTCTCCAGCTTATAAAGAGTGTAAGAAACCGATTAGATGAAACAAAAAGGTTAATTTAGGCAGGAGACTGGGTTTGTGTAAATCATTCCAACTTTTGCAAATGATTTGTTGTTGCTTTCTTGGTTCAGAGATTTTTGGAGATTTAGATGAGTTTGATAGTTTAAAGTTTTCTCTTTACTGTTCGCTATTTACCTCTAAATCTTTCTTGGGTTTATAATACTTTGTAGTAACACAGTTTCCGAAACCTGATGATCAGTTTCATCATCATGATCAACTTGATCATCATCAAGATCTAATTCATGATGAGTGGATTGAATCTGATGATTTTATTTATAACGAGAACTCAGTCTCTTATCTCATTGATCAGTCATTGCTTGCTGCACCACTTCAATCATATATTCCTACATCTGGTGATTTTGAAGAGATTTATGTCAGACACAAGAGAGATTGCAATCAAAATTTCAGCAACCACAACACCTGATGGACCAACAAGTACAGTATTATAATCATGAATTCCTTATGCAACAAGTGCCTCCTCAATCTCAAGCTTTAAACAATCTTGAATTTCGTAAATTTTAGTGACAAAAATCATTTTTTTTTTTTTTTTTCTTTTTTTTTTTTCTATATACACACTACACAATCTGGTTTCTTTATTTTGTTCTCTCTCTCTCTCTTGAAATAGGTGATGGATCTACCAACAACAATGGATCAGAACGGTTTTAAGTAAATGAAATTTGATCTTATTATATACTCCCTCAGTAACCCAATTAGTCGACTCAAATTTGAGGACTACATAATTACCAAAAGGTCCCACATTGGAAGAAACGATATTTTTTCTTGTTGTTTATATAAGTTTAGTTCGCTTTAAAGAAACGTCGAGCTCAGTAACGTGGGCTTGTGATCCAAGTGGAGACTATAGGGTCACCTAGGGATGATGGGAACGTTGAACCCGACTTTATTGGGCGTGAGTCGGGAGTTGCCTCTCTGATGGCTCCGAGGGGTTAGGTCACGGTCATTCTGCCCTGCTGCAGGGCGGCTTACTCTCCCGCTCTTGATCTTCAAAAGGAACACAGAACCAGTGCATTCCTTCAGAGTCCAATAAAGCCGGACTTCAACTTGACCATCATCTTTTTGTTACTTTAGTTATCAGAGAGAGACAAGTTTATAATATACTAGAGAACTTTAGAACTGGCAGTGACAATGTCATGAAACGGGAAAAGAAGAGAACTCAAGTCTCCGTGTCATCTTACATATCGTATGACTGTTCCGGATTTCTCCATCACACACGACCATTAAAAGGCTTGAGGTTTGTATATTTACTTAACTTTTTATCCAAGTAACAACGTCAACTTCTTTTCTGTAGGGTTTAATGTTTTTTTCTTGACCCACTGTCTTGCGATACAAGATATACATCTTTGAGGTTTATCTTGAGATACAAGTATATCTCTGAGGAGTCCTTAAGACAACGCCAAACCTTATTCGACCAGTAACCAACAGTCCCATCAATAAAGGCAACTTCGTATATGCCCTTGAATTTCTTAAAGCACAAATACCAAAAAAAAAAGCAATAGGTGAAGCAAGAATTTGAATAAAAACGATGGTTGTAAATAGATTGCACAGCTAATGTCAACAACATGCAAATTGGATTTAAAGTCATCACAAAAGAGCCGACTTGATACTTTACTGGTAGAGAAGGTAACGAATTTATCCGAATTATATAAAACGGAATACATAAACACCAGAGAACAAGCCTTTGCAATAAGCAATTGAAAAGTTATCAACTCCTTTTTATGGGCGGACGAGGTACTGAATTGGAAAATTTATTGCAAAAAAATCGCATTTGGTAACTATATTTGAGGACTTTGACAAATTCCATTTGACAATGAACTCAATCCCTTATAACTCAATCCCTTAGGCCATAACTGATGACATGTCTCTACTTGGATAACAAGCTCCCGTTACTGAGCTCGACGTTATGTAATAGTTAACTAAACATATATATACGTCAACAAATATCTTGTTACTACCGATGTGAGAATTTGGTTGACTTTAAAGAGATTGCAAAACAAAGATGGAGAATGACTGTGATGGATCCACCAAAAACAAAGATGGAGAAGTGATTCCGCCATGCTGTCCAGTTTGAATTGGCAGATGTAAGGCCTGTCTTCGTTAACCGCATTGGCAACACGCCCGCCACTCGTAAATCCTTCGTGGGTAATCCGGACCACATCACTAGAGTTTGCCAGAAGAGCAATGGTTGAAGTAGATCTGCTCCAATTTCGTTGTTGACAGAGAGTAGAATCACATTAAAGATCCTTAGTTCACAGGACTCCTAAACTGAACTTAATACCTTGAAAGTTTTGACTGGTTTGCTACAGCAGAAGCTACAAACTCTTCTCAGTGCACTAAAATCCTCAACAAAAGCATTCAATGGAGTAGTAAACGTTGGACCAGAAAAATTCAGTACATCCTCAACAAGTATAGTCATATTAGGGTTTACTTTTTTTTTTGAAAAAAAGGAAGCAATTAAATAGGGAAGGAACAAAAAGAGTTTGTCAGAAGTGGGATTTGAACACACGCCCTCTTACGAAGACCAGAACTTGAGTCTGGCGCCTTAGACCGCTCGGCCATCCTGACTCTTACAAACATTAAGTCAAAGGAATATTTAGAGTCCAAATGGAGCAGATGTAAGCGTTAAAGCTTTATAGAATTATTTAGACTGGTCTTTACATAACTTTAGAAAAAAAAAACACAAATATAACCCAATCTTTGAGAGTTACAACTCTTAAAGGCTGTTTGGCGTTATTTTCTCAGTAAGACTGTAACTAGTGCATTAGTACACATGGACTTGAAAGTTCTGTTTACTTGTCCTCTTTGAATGGGAAGCACTCAAAATGCGTCCCAAGTTTAACTTGAGAGAGTGACATTCCAAAATAACCTACATGTGTTCCCACTGAGGTTATAATTGGTCCTCTGTGATGCTTTATAGGTTGGAGACATTAATGGCGTGACGGATTCTTGATTCTAAATCTCCAGTTTTTTATATCATGCCTTTTCTACGGTATCCGTATCTCCCTACCTGATACTGAGGGCGGTCGTTGACGATGACCGAGAAAAGTAAGAGCTGAAAACTGATTAAAAACCCGACTGGCGACTACTAGGGTTTTAATTCATAGTCACAAAAAGTCCCACATTGGAAGAAACACTATGTTTCTTGTTGTATATATATATTCAGCTCACCTTTATTGTACGTCGAGCTCAGTAACGTGGGTTTGTGATCCAAGTGGAGACTATAGGGTCATCCCTAGGGATGATGGAAAGTTGGATCGTCTTCATTGAGTCATATATGCCTAACAAGTCGGGAGTTGCCTCTGCGGATCTCCCGCTCTTGTCATGGAAGGAGTGCAAGCTGTGCATTCCTTAGAGCCCCACTATGGTCCAATACAAGCCGAATACAACTGGACCATCATCTTTTTATATGATATTATTGTAAATAAATTCACGTGACCTAACTAACCAATAATACTAAAAACCAGAATTTATTATTAGAGGTAAAGCCATACATACCAAGTTAAAAAGGTATTTAGCACGTCCAAACATGGATTTTCCACGAACAATAACTCTGATTGAATTGTACAGAAGTCAAATCTTGCGTGCAATTCAATACAATGTGATGTGATCACACGCGACCATATATCTGATTTTCCACAAACAATAATTACGACTATGTTCTGGAATTCATTTTTTTTTATAAAGAACTATGTTGTGGAATTCTCCATCACACGACCATTAAAAGGCTCCAGGTTTGTATATTCACTTAACTTTTCATCCAAGTAACAACATCAACTTCTTTTCTGTAGGCTTTAATCTTCTTTTTCTTGACACACTGACACTGTTTTGCGATACAAAACATACATGTTTGAGGTTATCTTGAGATACAAACATACACTTCAAGATAACTTAAAGTATACAATTATTCATGTGTACTACGTACTAGTCTACACTTAGGGAGGAGTCTTTAAGACAACGCCAAACCTTATTCGACCAGTAACCAACAGTCCCATCAATAAAGACAACTTCCTATATTCCCTTGAATTTCTTAAAGCACAAATGACAAAAAAAAGCAATAGGTGTGAATAAAAACAATGGTTGTAAATAGATTGCAAAGCTAATGTCAACAACATGCAAATTGGATTTAAAGTCATCACAAAAGAGCAGAAACAAAATAACGAATTTGTTCGATTATAAAACGAAATAGATAAACACCACGGAACTGAACTGGAAGATTTACTGTGCAAAAAGTTTCCCCGTGTTGAGTCAAATCTTCGAAGACAATGCCAAATTCCATTTCACAATGTAATCAAAGGCCGCGTTCCGATCCGCATATCTCCACTTGGATAATAAGCTCTCGTTACTGAGCTCGACGTACATCTATGTTAACTAAACATATATATACAACAACAAAAATCTTGTTTTTTCCGATGTGGGACTTTTGTTGACTTTCAAGAGATTGCAAAGCTAATCACAAAAGAGTATACTTATGAGAAACGCAGATTAAAAACCCAAATAGTGTAGATACCACCACAATACAGAATTCAAAAAGCGAGAGACACGGGTAGTTAAAAGAAAACAAGACTAAGACTAGTTACACGAAAGTTTCGAGCCATTTTTCTCACGCAACACCAAAAGATTATACAAACACACACACACAAAATCCTTTTTTGTTTCTTTTTTTGTGTGGAAGCCTTCCTGCATCAAGAACTCAAGCCTCCATGTCATCTTACGTATCGTATGACTATGTTCTGGATTTGTCCATCACACACGACCATCAAAAGGATTGAGGTTTGTATATTTACTTAACTTTTCATCCAAGTAACCATCAACTTCTTTTCTGTAGGGTTTAATGTTCTTTTTTTCTTGACACACTGTCTTGCGATACAAGATATACATCTTTGAGGTTAT